GGATGAAGTCATTGGTCAATTTTTTGTCTGCAGAGAAAATTAAAATCTTTTGGTCCACATCCGATATGTTTGCAAAGCTCCGCAACTTGTAGGGACATAATCTATACTTCTTCTTTGTCGAAACTGCTAGATGGAACATTATTTCTTGATCTAGCTTTTAAATATTTTTAATTCTCATTTTGATTCTGTCTTAATCCCCTTCTCCATTTCTTTTTCTTCTACCCCGGAGCTTTCATTGATTTATGGCCGCGGGGTAAAAAAAAAAAAAGACTACAATTAAACTTATCAGATATGCGCAACTTGAAAAATGTTCGCCTCGCCGAGGTGCAGCTTCAGAGTGAGCTGCCATTAACAGCCACTGCTTGGGACACTGCGTCGGATGCAGTAATTTGCACTTTCGGTCCTACAGAGACCAATCCAGTTATTGAACTTAGGAGAAAACGTCAGGACGCCTATTTCTCAGAGCCCGTAGGCGCAGATGTATTTGAGTGCATCGCCTCGTGGGACGCACCATGCCCTCTGCCAGACCTGCCCGGTGACCGGGTCCTCTCTCTTCATTACTTTGCAGACAACCTTAGTGCCTGTTTAGTACTTGAGGGGGGTGATATCATCATTGTCCGTGAAGAACCTCTTCCCGGGGAGGACAAGATTGAGATTCTGGGCTCGGTCGATGTTGGCATCACTGCTGCTGCTTGGTCTCCAGATGAGGAACTCTTGGCCCTAACCACAAGAGCTAACACATTCTTGTACATGACCAGGGAGTTCGAGAATGTGGCTGAAATCACCTTCACTCCAGAGGACCTCAAGGCGTCTCAACATGTCTCCGTTGGTTGGGGAAAGAAGGAAACGCAGTTTCAAGGAAAGCGAGCCAAGGCGCTTCGTGACCCTACAGTCCCTGAAAAGGTAGACGAAGGAAAGCTGAGCAGTAATGATGACGGGAGGACGACTATTACCTGGCGAGGAGATGGTGCCTATGTTGCGGTGAACAGCATTGAAGCGGGCACTCGTCGTGCAATCCGCGTGTATTCTAGAGAGGGAACCTTAGACAGTGTGAGTGAGCCAGTTGATGGGCTGGAAGGTGCCCTGAGCTGGAGGCCTTATGGTAATCTTATTGCCGGTATCCAACGTCGTGACGACCGGGTCGATGTTGTATTCTTCGAAAGAAACGGCTTGCGTCACGGAGAGTTCACACTTCGCCTTACTGAGGAAGAGAAGTCATCGTGGGCGTCGGATATCTACTTGACTTGGAATATCGATTCGACGGTACTCGCTGTTCAATTCAAAGACAGGGTCCAGTTCTGGACTATGGGTAACTATCATTACTACCTAAAGCAGGAGGTCCCTGTGGTCATGAGCCCCAGTTACCCCATTGCTTTTGCCTTCAAGTGGCACCAGGAGAAGACGCTACGCTTTGTTGCAGGCGCTTCAGGTATTTTCTTTGTGCCTGATATTGATTAAAGAATATGTACTGACTGCATTGCAGAGTCGATATTGGACGCGGAGTTTGTGTTTGACGTCTCTCATGGTTCGACTATTGTGCCAAATGATGTTGGGGCTGTTGCTGTCATTGATGGAAGTAAGTTTTAATTACTTCCAAAGCTGATTTAAAGCTCCTCTAACCAAACAAAGAAACTCTCAAGTTGACTCCGCTGAGGTTTGCGGGTGTACCACCACCTATGGCCCACAATGAATTGACATTGGACTCGAACGTTATAGACGTTGCGTTCAGCAAGTCGAGCACTCGTATTGCTGTCCTGATGAAGGATTGTTTCTCTATATTTATGTGGCCCCTCAAGACTCGCCCAGTGGCTGCGCCTATTCTTGAGTCGAGCTATCCATTGTCTGATGCTTCGGACAGCAGGCCTCGGCAAATCGCTTTTATCAACGAGAATGAGGTTTATATTCTCAAGAATAGTGGACCGAATAATGCCTACATCGAGCGAACGACTTTGGAAACTAGAACAACGAAAATCGCGTACCAGGCGGCTGAGTCGGAACAGTTGGTTTCATTATTCCCATCCCTCAATCATGAAACACTCTGGATTTCTCACATCAGCCAATATGGGCAGCCAATTGCCTACTCCACGGTTTCTATGCCGTCTACAGAGGAATGTGTAGCAACCCCGTACACGCAGAGTCCTTCCGTCGACTCATATTGGGCCAAGGCCGCTCAGTTATCAGAAGACGAGGTAATGCTTCCTTGGTCCCTAGCTTGCCACTTATTTCTCGCGTATGCTAATTTTTCGAAGCATCTTTTGATCTCTATGTCAAGGACCGGTGCCCTGTACGCGAATAAGACTCTGCTTGCGAAGAATTGCACCTCGTTCCTCGTGACCCAATCACACATCTTGTTCACTACTTCTCAGCATCTCCTAAAATTCGTTCACTTGACTAGGGTAGAGGGTTAGTGCTTCCAAGACTACTTCCTGTGGCAGTATGGCTAACCCTTCAGCAGATATGGAGGTCCCTCCTGATACACCAGAGACCGACGAGCGTTGCAGAAGCATTGAGCGTGGCTCGCGCTTGGTGTCGGTAATACCTAGTGCGTTTGCCGTTGTGTTGCAGGCACCTCGTGGTAATATTGAGACCACATACCCCCGTGCTCTTGTCCTAGCAGGTATCAGGTTCTTCATTGATCGCAAGAACTACCGCTCGGCTTTCCTTACCTGTCGCAGCCAGATGGTAGATATGAATATCATTCATGACTACGCCCCAGGGCAGTTCATGGAAAATGTCCCATTATTCATTGACCAAGTGAAAAGGGTTGACTTCATCGACGAGTTCTTATCCCGTCTAAGGTATGTCAAACATGTACGTTCTTTCGTAGGGTGTTCCCTTCCTAACAACATACAGCGACGAGGATGTCTCTGAGACCCTGTACAAGGATACGCTGAAGACATCTAAGGTGGACGACAATGTGGTACCTGCCACCAAGGCCCCAGTCAAGGATGGTAAGGTTAATCGGATTTGCGATGCCTTCCTGGTTGCGTTGGAAAAGAAGATCGATACCAACCTACATAACCTCGTCACGGCACACGTCGTCAAATCGCCACCAGACCTCGAGGCTGGTCTTCAACTGGTTGCACGCCTGAGAGGTGAGTCTAAATCTGACCACCATACCTGACCAGCCACTCACCTTACGATAGATCAAAGCTCCGAACAAGCAGAAGACGCAGTCGAACATATGTGCTTCTTGTCTGATGCCCACCGTTTATACGATACCGCGTTGGGTCTTTACGACCTTGAGCTCACATTGCTTGTTGCCCAGCAAGCCCAGCGTGTAAGTAGCGCCAGCAAATCTTGTATTATGTTATTCTAAAGCCATACAGGATCCTCGAGAATACCTCCCATTCTTGCGCAAGCTACAGCAGCTGCCTGAGCTTCGACGACAGTTCGAAATTGATAACTATCTCGGAAGATCGGCCAAGGCTCTGGGACATCTTCATGCGCTTAACGCTCATGATGAGCTCAGGGCGTATGCTATCAAACATGTTCTGTATAAGGATGCCATCGATCTCTACAAATATCAGCAAGAGCAACTTCGCGACATGACCAATCTCTACGCCGACTACCTCTACGATCAAAACAAATACAAAGAAGCAGCCATCGGTACGTATTCCAACACATACCTCTCTATCCCACAATAAAATGTATCAGCTGCTAACTAATCCCAGCTTACGAGTCCCTTTCCCTATACACCGACGCCTACCAATGCTACCAGCGGGCCCATCTCTGGCGTGAATCCCTGTACTGCGCAATGATGGTCCCATTATCAGAGGAAAAGCTTAAAGCGCACGCACTCGAATTAGCCACCACCCTGACAGAGGAGAACAAAGACTACGTCTCCGCAGCACACGTCCACGCAGAACACCTCCACGACATCCCCCTGGCCGCCCGTCTCTTGTGCCGCGGGTCTCGCTTCGCCGACGCAACACGCCTCCTTGCACTGCACGGCAAGCAAAGCCTCGTCCCAGAAATCGTAGACACCGGCCTGGCAGACGCCATGGGCTCCATGACCGACCTTCTTGCCGACTTCCGGTCTCAGCTGAACGCCCAAGTACCACGTATCGGGGAACTGCGCGTTCGTCGCGCCACCGACCCGCTGGCCTATTTCGGAGGTGACCCCACGATGAGAGGAGACATGGGTGTCGATATCCCGGATAACGTCTCCCTTGCGCCTACGGATGCTTCTACACTTGCCGGTCGCAGTATGTTCACGAGGTATACCGGAAAGACTGGAAAGACCGGCAAAACGAATATGACAAGACAGACTTCAAAGACTCGTCGGAAGGAAGAGCGTAAACGTGCTAGTGGTAAGAAGGGAACCGTGTACGAGGAAGAGTATCTGGTGAACAGTGTACGACGGCTTATCGAAAGAGCCAACTCGACGGTGTCTGAGGTCGAGACTCTTGTTAATGCACTGCTCCGACGGGGCATGCGGGAGCGTGCCGCCGCTATTGAAAAGGCTATGCAGGAGGTGCTCAAGTTGTGTACTGACTCTCGAGTGGAAGTATTCGGCGCTGTCGCTCCGCCAGGAGGCGAACAGACCGACGGCCCTGAGGCTGTGAATACTGCTGAAGAGGTTTCACCCAGGGGTGGTCAGCGTGCTTTCGCGGACAGCATTGCGGCTACCCTAGGTGTTCGGGAAGCACCGGCAGTCAAGGAGCTGAAGCAGTCGGCGTTGCTGAACTGAAGCCTCGACATTGAAGGAAATGACCTAATACAACCACGAGTTGTTTTTATATCTGAAAAAGGGGTCTCAAAAAGTTGGAATATTAGAAATGTTGATCAATAAAAATATATCAAGTCAAGCTATGACCGTTTATTAACTGTAGACCTCATAATATGTACTCTGCTTCTGACATAATTCGCAGTTTAACTTAGGGTATCTCCTGTGGGCAAGATTCCGCTAAGATTATGTTTAAAATAGAAAGTTTCCAGAATTTCAAGGAATCACTCCGCCCGACAACGCTAAAGTGACCGTGCTTTATATCTTCTTTTTAGTTGGAAAGGATCTCGCCCGCCTCACTGACAAGGTGGTCGTTGACACTGACAGGACCTTCACCGACACCAGTCAAGATCACACGACTGACACCATCCTTGAGCACATCGACAGCCCTAGAATCCATCTTATCCAATGCCACACCCGGAGCGGTGAGGTTCTTGAGGGGCTCGTAGAAAGGACCATCCCAGCCCTCACTGCTGGCGCCCAGGATAGCCTTGACGGTACCAGCAACGAGTTCAGAATCCTTCTCAAGGTAGTAGATGACTGCGTTCGGACCAGCATCAAAAGTGTAAGCGCAAACCGTACGACCGACGGCACGGTTAATATCGTGGACGAGCCTAACAGCGGCGCGGGAGACATCGTTCATGTAGAAGATGGGAGGCCAGGAGTCGAGACAGGTGGCGTGGAAGCCGTTGGAGTCACGCATGGTGATCTCTGCGAACGCAGAGAAATCCCGCTTCTGAATGGCAGTCTCAATAGCTGCCATCCGCTCGGGCACAACAGATTCCGCGCGGGTTGTGAAGAGATTGGAAGTAGCAACGGTGGTTTGCATACCTTCCGTACTGGGAACATCCTTCTTCTCAGCGCTAACGACCAGGATGAGCGCACGCATCTCAGGCCAGTGAGATTCGGGAGCGACCTCCTCAGCCAAGCTGTCGCTACCATCGGCAAGAGTTCCGGCGCGCCAGGCCACATATCCGCCCATCAGAGACCGACAAGCGGAACCAGATCCCTGGCGAGCAATGCGGCTGAGGTCACGAGGGGATTGCGGAAGCTGGTAAAGGTCTGCGACAGCACGGACGAGCGCTGCGAAACCGGCGGCGGAACTGGCGAGGCCAGCGGCGGTGGGGAAGTTATTCTCGGAAACGATCCGCAGGGGGAGAGTAGACAGTTTCGGCAAAGAAGAGTCGGCAGCTTCAAGTTCCTGGCGGAGAGAACGCAGATTCGAAAGGCAAGCAAGGGTACGCTTGGAGGACTGGATGTCTTGAGGTTTGCCATTGAGGGTAAGCTCGTCGGCAGTTGGGTACTTGGCAGAGCATGAGGCTGTGGTGAGGGTGCGCAGAGAACGCTGCGAGAGTGTTACGGAGAGAGAGGAGTTCGTAGGCAGGTTCAGAGTGGCGTCCCTTTTACCCCAGTATCTTCAAAGCCATGGTTAGTATCAATATAGCCTAGTGACAATCGTGACACTCAGGGGTATGGACGACAAACTTGATAACAGCGATATTGACTGGGGCTGTGGTGGTGGCCCGAAAGACCGTACTGTCAGAAGGAGCAGCCATCCTGTTGGAATAGAGGGTGATAATTGACGGATAAGACAAGAAGAAGAGGTGGGTAAGGAGAGGAAGGGAGCTGGAGAATGAGGGGCAACGGATTTCCCTGTTGGGAAATATCATTTGAGCGCTCCGCATACAGGCACTAGTCCCGTTTAAGTAAGGCGGGGCTATGGGTATCTGATCTATACAATACTATTCAAGAGAGTGAGAATAGTGCTACGATCGGTTCAACTCAAAACTATTTCATTGCAACAATAAGCCTGCACCTGTAGCTGACCAATTGGTATTTCTGATAATCCTTCTGGTATCAATATGAGAAGATGACACTCAGAAGTGTGCCGTATTCTAGTTAATATTCTAAATGATGGATGGAAAGACCGCCTTCCCAACATAGAAGAAATGCGGAGCAAATTCAATTCCACTGAAAGGCGGTGAGTATGTCAGAATTTCTCTCCGCCTTCCGCAAGTAAATCTTCTTCGATAGTAATCAACAACCCGATTTGTCATCGGCATTTCTCGTCCACCCCTTGTCAATCAACTCCAGAAAATCAGAAAAGATCCGATAATGGGAGCTGGTGCGAGTACCCAGTCAGCATCTGCCGCCGAATCTGCACCGGCTGCAACATGTCCGGTGGATCACAAGACCCGTGAGATTTGGCTACAGCAACATAAGGCCTCGGGCGGTCCTCCTCATCCTCTACCAACGGAAGATGGAGAATCAAAAACAAAACTACAACGACCACTTTCAAGTGACCGTGAAGTGAGCAGTATTCCCAGAGCTTTCGACCAAGACTCGAAGCAACCGTCTCCTAAGGCTGTCGCGGAACCTCCATCCCCATATACTACACCGGCTGTATCGCACGGCACGCCCTCAAATGCGGAATCTGAAACAGGTCATGATGAGAACAGCGGGAATTGGATTTACCCATCTGAGCGCCAGTTCTTCGAAGCACTGATGCGCAAAGGCAACACACCGGCTTCCAGCACTTCGCCTACCGAATTAGCAACTTCTGTGGCATCCATTATCCCGATTCATAATGCTGTCAACGAGCGTGCCTGGCAGCAGATTTTAGAGTGGGAGAAGCAAGCGCCCCGGTCTGATCCTGGCAGCAAGAAATGTGGAGGTCCGAAGCTATATTCATTCCGCGGACTGGGCGTTGACCCCCAGTTCCTGAGCCCGCGCGCTCGTATCAATAATCTAATGGGCTACCAACTACCTTTCGATCGCCATGACTGGGTTGTAGAGAGATGCGATGGAGAGAGGATTGAGTACGTCATTGATTTTTATCAAGGGAAGTCGTCTGGAGCCAACGGTGGACCGGCCGGTTTGGCTGCTAATGCCGGACCTGGCAAGTTGAGCTTCTACTTAGATGTACGGCCGAAGTTGAACACCTTTGAAGGCTGCAGGATGAGATTCAGCCGCTTCACAGGCTTGTAAAGCGGCTCATCACTTACGTTCGCGATGCACATAAGGGCGATATGGAGTTTGGTTGCATATTGGGCAATGGTCTTTGATGTATAATCTTTGTATAACACACAAGCTATGTATGATACTCTAGAAGAAGGAACAAATAAGGATAGAAGAACAAAATCAAGATACACTTCCCTCACTCCGCATGCGCCAGCTAGTCGTAAATCGAGTCATGAGAGAGAATAGATAGTTCATAACAATACATCGCACTGCATACAAAAGGATATCATGAACAAAAGCTGCCATAATGAACAGTATAAGTAGACTAGGAACGATAGGTGGAAACAATAAAGCGTAACTGGATCGACTTATCCAATAGTAGCCGCCAGCACAATGATAGTTAGGATGACGGCAAGGATGACAAGGAGGCAGCAAGCCTTGTTCCGGGCGTTCTTTTGATGTCTGCTGGCACTGCGAAGCTCAACATTAGCTCCCCGGGTGTCGTTCGTAACATTCTCAACGTTCTCGCTGATTATATCGAGCTGGCCTCCTTGCTCGTGGACGATGTGGGCGACATCGCGGAACAACTCATTGAGTTCGCCAACGCTTTGCTCGATATTGCGAATTTCTGCTTCGCGCTCAATAATCAAAGACTCCTGGAAGTCCACCTCATCCTGGTTCGCAAGTCGAGGCTGTTCCTGAAGTAGCTGTTGCTGTTCTTGCGTAGCTCCTTCAACCGCTGGATGTTCACCTTCTTCCACGGCGGTGCGGGCAGCGACAGCAGATGCACGCTGCTTCTCCAAAGCCCGGCGCTGGACGGTTTGGAACTCATCCAGAGTAGCTTTGAATTCTGAAGATAGCTTTTGCTGTGTCCATTTTTGAGAAGGCTATCAAATGAGTGTCAGTAGCGCATTACGTCGAGTCTGGCTGCGTCCGCATACATTAACATCCTCCCATGCTTGCACTTTCTTGATACCTTCTCCTACTCCCTTAAATCCTGACCGAGTCTGCTCTAAAAGATTGTGAACTCGTTCACGGACTCGCTCCGTGTCTCGCCTTGTCCCTAGAAGCGCGATCTGGTCCGATAGCCGGGTAATGTTCGAGGTTAGGCTGAATAACTGATTTGAAAGGCTTTCCGTGAGTTGGTAGAACTCGGGGTCATCTCGATATTGTGGATCGTCAGAGCGACGTAGAGTAGTAGGCTGTGATTCTAAGGAACTAAGGCGGTCGAAAGACATGGTGGGCGATGCGACTCAGAGTGACGATGAATGAAATAGTGTTGGAGGGCCACCGGATAGAACGTCAACATGCGGATCGCCGGGCGGTCACCTGAGTTTCTGCCGGGATTTGCAGGCTGCAACAACATGATGCGTGGCTGGTGGGTCCATCACCTGACCGACGGGCTGTGGCTAGTGTGTTTTGATGCTTTTCCCTAAAAGCTTCATTTTATCGTCGCATGCTGCCGTCACTCGGAATTTCAGTTGCCCGTTTAGCTCATACATCGAACTGCCGCTCAATCTCTTATTCTGGGCAGATAGGAATAGTACTGCGCAGCAGTTCTGATCATGCTGTGAAATTCCATTCCTTCTCTACCTGAGAGATCTTGGAGCCCCCCAATTTAACTAGCACCATGGCTGCTATCCGGCCACGCCCATATCGGCGCATCTTGACCTCAGCGCTGCACCGACGCTTCGTCCATGCTTCTGCTTTAGCGCTACTTGTCTGTTACTTAGTTGCGTTCTTGATTGGGGATAAATCGTCCTGTAAGTAGCAGTAACCTTTTCTCTACTACAAGTGATCGATTCTTTGAAATGCTGCTTTTGAACGAATTGGTAGTTAACAATGTCACCTTTCGCCAGTTTTATGGGCTTGGTTTCCAATTGGAGCATGTGGAATTCGTACTGTCTTGCTCTTTATCTGCAGCCTCGTCGTTTTCGTATTGCGCGTTGGACAGATACACATTGGCTCGCGGACGACTGCCTCTCCCTTAGGCACTCTAAAACACCTTATCCCAATCGATGTCGTCCAAACTTTTGGATGGTATATTTTCTCGGCATGGTGGTTTAGTGAGATCTATAAATGGTCGTCTCCCAGTGGAGCACATTTGGAGTGGGTTAATAGAGGCCGGTATGAGCCCCCCCCCCTTCCCCTCGGGAGAACTTGGATTAAGGGAACTAAGAGAAATAGGCCCCACGAACGCGCAAGCTTAAATGAAAGACCAATTTACCTCTACACTTGCCATCTACTACTCGCAATTGTGCAATCTGTTGTCCATCTGTATTACGATTTCGACCGTGTACCTATTCCCGTTGCTAAACGGGCTGCGGGCAATGCTGATCAGAGAACCCACCCAGTGGAACCGGTGTCTAAGCGCATACAAGTTGCATTGCCTGGTCTCATAAAAGACGGCTTCACAAGAAGTGCTGTGGTCGCCGTAGCCTGCCCTGTCGTGTATACCTTCTTCCTAAGACGCCCGGCATGGAGCTTCACCATGTACTGGGCAAAATTATTCTGGGACTTCCCTCGGTCTGCTGCGGCTCCTCCAGGCCTTATTGGCCCCATTGGCCCAGGCTTGCTGCTACGCACAGTGTTCTCCGGAGGCCTCCTAGTTCTTTGCTGGCAAACAGCTAATCTTTTCTTCTCCGCATTCCTTAGCAAGGAGCCACTCAAGCGTGGTCAGCCATTGACGGCTGAAGCGAAAGATCCTAATGGCAGCTTATTGACGGGGTTGACCGCAAAGAAGGAGACCGTTAAATCTTTCGCATTCTGGGAATTATGCTTCATCAGTCAGAGATTCCCTGACCGACGAAAGGCGATCTTCAATGATATTGATCGCGACGGAGGACCAGCGTGGTCGCAGATCCTGCAATCTGCCACTGAGGTTATCAAGGGCATTTCTACTCGCATCGATGAACAGAAGAACCCGCCATCGGGTCCCAAGCCCGCACAAGCCGAACCGACCGAACCGGTTCTCCGCACTCTACCGCGACTAACAGACCCTCTCAAAGCGGACAACGTCTTCGCCCCCTCTCCCAAAGCAAGCTCGCGGCAGGAGAAGATCGGGGAGGTCTTCAGCTCAACAGCCAAGTCTTACGGGCAATCGGCAGATTGGACCCCTACGGCCCGAGCCAAAGCCCGCGATGTCTTCGACCGTGCATCCACTGCCATATTGAGCCCGGAGCGCAAGCAGAAACTTCTTGCTTCATCACAAGAACTTAAGATGCTCACAGGTCCTTCAACCTGCAAGCCAGAAAACCTTAACCCATTCATTGCACAGCTCCTCCGCTCTCCAGTAGGCCGACTCTTCCGACAAACGTACGACCGTCGCCTGTCAGGCATTGTCCTAGGCGCGCCTCACGCCAACCTATGCCCTATCGTCGACGCCATCGAGTCGCTCACTCGCCTCCTCATCGCAAGTCTGCAGGAAGACCAATATGGCAAGGTCCAGGCCGATGTGCCCGATGTCGTACGCCTCTTCACGAACACCATCATGACCTTGGAGCCCTTTATCCATGGCGGTCTTAACACCCACTGGACAGACGTCAACTTCCCACCATCAAGCAACCCCGAAGCACAAGTAGAGGCCCGTCGAGTCCCAGACGTGGATCTCGTACTCGACACCCTCAAGGGCTCTCTCAAGGATCTCCTATCCGCATTCAACCTCTACCTCAAGGACATCGGACTCGTAGGCAAGGACCTGCGGCTGGCAAAGGAGGCAGCCGGGTTAATCGAGGAAGGGCTTTAAAATTCGAAACAGGCGTCATGAGAGTATGCGGAGGATGGATTCTGTTTTGCTTTCTAAATTACCTGGTGTAGGCGGTCGGTGTATTTATACTTCGCCCATTGTCTTAATGAACATTGGCTTTTGGTCGTGGTATTTTTGGTTCTACTTTTGCCCAGTGGAAAAGGTTACGACTTATATTAGTTCCCATGCATTGTTCTGGCGTTGCGATGCATTAAATCCAATGATTTTGACACTGTTTTTTTTTTTTTTCATATTTTATTGTTGGCTATTGCCTGCTCAGAACGTCACTCGATTGCAGTATGTCGAGTTTTTGTATATCCTTTTCTTTTGGCCATATACAGAATTCTATTTACAGAGATACCAAGCACCCGGTACAAAGTCACAAGTGCCACATCATAACGACCATAAACAGGTGAGAAGAGAAGGCAGTAAGGGGATAGAGAAAAGCGGATATGAAGGAAAGAAAACAACCCATGCGCAATAAACGATCCAGACACAAACCTCCCAAGTCAATTTCTCCAAGACTCCATGTCCCCAATCGCCAAAAGGTGACTGAATGAAAAGATAGTATGAAGGAAAAGCAAGTATATCAATCATGTCACATCATGATGACAGTTCTCCCTTTCCATGCTAGATTGCCCTCCAATGCTTTATAAATCAACCATAATCCCACCCTATACCATGTCCTATTTGTCCCAGATGAAAAGTTTTTTATTGAACGCAGAAGTTGAGTGCACATGATGCATGGAAGAGATGCACTAAAAGAAATTGCACCCCGCCTACGCTGAGTAGCAGTAAACGGGCAGGATTCGGTGGAAAGTGATCCTAACGACGAAAAGTGGGTATTTAACCTTAGAAAAGGAAGATAAAAGCAAAGAAAAATGCAGCAAGTGCCCCGGAAACACGAGTTTGTAGTCATCTACAACGCGTCAGTGCATTGTAACTCCACAGAAACCGTGATCCAGTGGCGTACACCAGTGCAATGGTTGTCAGCAGCCGCTGAGGACCTCGTTGATCTTATTTGACGTAAGTGTCGTAGTCGTTCCTATTGCAGGGCCTGGTCCGCCGTTGCTAGTGGCGTTTCTGGGTTCAGGAGGCGCTTCCTCTTTCATACAGGCGTTCTCCAGAATGTTGGTCCACTTTCCACTGGTTCCAGCATGACTGTGCTTCAGGTGTTGTCTAAAATGGTCCGCCCGGTAGAACTTCTTTGCATTGTTGCACTCCCCAAATTTGTGCACTGTCGTCAAATGCTCGAACCTCCGGTCCCAGTCAGGTTGAGGGAAATTGGGAAATTCTTCACCACAGTAACCACAGGTGTCGTGCGAGGGCCCTGAATTCGTTTGGCTTGAAGGAGAAGATGAAGGATGGAACGCAGCCTGGTATCCTGGTAGGGCAGCGCATGACCAAGAATGACGCCGCAAGTGGAGCGAATTTTGGTGGCGCTCGGCTTCATTTTTGTTTTTGAACCGATTGTTACAGAATAAGCAAGAGTACTGTTTCTCCATCTCATGGGCGCTATTGAAGGGTTATAGGTTAGAGATTGTCGTGTCACCGATGAAATAAATTGATTGGCTATATTGAGACTTACCGAAGTTCCTCAGGACTGTCAAATTTCTTAGGTTTCTTGGGACAGCAATCGCAAATGAACAAACCACCCATCTTGGGACCAGCTTGTTTTGGTGCGTTCAAACTCGTCTGCAAAGACATTTTCCTTGCGACATTTGGATGGGGTGGTTCTAGCGTAGTAGGGCCCGGTGCAGCTCTCATTGCCGCTTGGTTTGGAACTCCGCCAGGAGAGGTAGGATTGAGATGGAACTTGTCATGGAATGATTCGAGGTCGGAATTTGGAGAGAGCCCCCCAGGCGACCGCTCATACACAGACGCGCTCGTAATACTGCTTCCTCCCACTGAAAGAGCTGCTGACGAGTAGGATCCAGAAGTTCGAAGGCTCAAAGATGACGCAGCTGAGATACTCCCATGGCTCTGAGCATAAGCGCTATTGACAGATAAAGTATTCGTGAACGGATGGCCAGATGTCCTTCGCTGCGAGAGATCGCCATTGCTTGTCGTTACATGTAGCGTGTGCCTATCATCGCTGATTGGTTCTCTTGGAGGTGAAGATGCTCGCCTTTTCATGCCGGATTTGGATGTGTCCAAATACGGCGGTGTTGCTTCACGAACATTAAATAAACGTGGAGGTAATGATTCGTCCGTCGAGAAATCACCTTCGATGTCTGAGAATATCCCTTGATCATAACTTCCCCGATTGGATCGACTCGGGAGGCTGAGCGAGTCTTCGTTTTGCGGTGTGGCTCCACCTCCCCGACGGCGGACATAGTTGGGATTATCGTAGTCTACTGCAGAAGAAGGCGCACTGCTCTCAACACTCGGACTCCGGCAACCGATATAGTCCCTCCAGCCAACTTTAGTCCCAGGTGATATCCCCCCGGACTGAGAACTAATGGACCACCTCACGTCGAGCGTAGACCCGTCGGAGCCACCAGGTGAGGGTAAGCTTCCAAAATTTCTCGAAGGTATAGGAAGTGTTGATAGAGGGCCTCTATTCTCGGTACCCAAACTTAGAGACTGTCGGGGTGAGAGCGGCTTCCCTATTTTAGATAGAAGATGCTGGTCATATGCATCAGACGAGTCCTTCACGCTCCGTCGAGAGAAGTCATGCTCGCCTTTCAAACTATCATTTGATATTAGTGACATTGGCCCAAGTGAAAGAGTTATAGCGAAACACTCAATGAAAGCACGTGGAACGACTATTTAAGCATGCGCAAAACCAGGAAGAGTGGGGGACGTTCATAATCGTCCCCCTGAGTACTTACATAGGACTGGTGTTTATGGGAATCGAATTCCGGAAACCGTCATCCGCTGGTGGTGGAGGCTCAATCCGTATATGAGCCTCCGGACTTCTCGATAGAGGCAAACCGCTGTGTCTGCCATCCAAATCGTCTAGTGCCATCCGATCGGATTGGGGTACGGATTCTAAACGGCGATGGCCCCCAAATAGACTCGAACTCGGACTTATGGGGGCGAGTTTTGCACCGGGTCCCTTAGAATTGGCATGCACCCAACCAGCATCGTAACCATCTTCTAGGTCTCTGATGCGCGGCGGCGGTGGAAGTGGCGGCGGAGCAAATGTATTTATGGAACTGGCGGGAATTGGCATAGGCCCAGGTAAAGAATATGATTGTCCAGGCATGGCATATGCGGATCGTTCAGTAGCGCTGTGATAAGAACCACTAGTGAAATCATGCACATTGATCGAAGGTGGCGAAATTCGCGGCAAGTCCATTGTACGACCAATGGCTCATCAATTCAAGATTGAAAGGAGAGACGAGTTTGACAACAAATCGAAAGCCCTCACCAAATCGTGGGTGATATAAAAGAGGCACGACGTTCGCTGTTAACTAGATGCGATTTGCTGAAGATAATAACTAGATAGACGATAAATAGCCCCGCTCAACTCCTCAAGAAGATCCTGCTTCTAGAGCCGGCGCAAAAGCTGCAGAAGTGCTAAAAAGAAGAAGAAGAAGAAGAAGAAGAAGAAAAAAGTCGGAGAAGGCAAAAGAAGTGGAAGAGTCAAACAGCAGTAGGAAGACTGCGAACTTGGTGGCAATAGTCGTTAGGGTCTGCTAAGCGGTAGCTGGTAAGTGGTCGGGTCACTTTGACGAGAGCTGGATAGGGCTGAGTAGATAGTAACCCACCTCCCTCGGCGTCCGTTTGGTTGCGTTGACCAGGTTTGATTTGAGTTCCAGGTGACCAGATCAGTGATTTCACTATTTCAACGGCTCTCTGCAACAGTCGCGCACCAGTTTGCAAAACCAGTCGTGTGCCATCAATTCGCCGTGAGAGCGGCAATTTAGTGAGGGAGGACGGCGCAAGGACCACAAGACATAGTGAAGACTTGTTTAGAAGGGGGGTTGGAGTGTTTTAAGTAGCCGCTGATATATTCGGGAGAAAGTTGCAGCGGAGGACAAGCGGTTATGCAATGTATGTCCTCGAAGAAAGGGAAAGGGTGGGTAAATGTTAGACAAGATGCAGGGAATCAGTTTGTTTCCCCACGATCAACCGTCTTTCTAGAATCCGGGTCACGGAACGGTAAGTTCGGAGAGGATGGAGAATCTCAGAGGAGAACAAAAACGGTCGCAGAGCACGTGTTGGTTTTGTACAATCCAACAAGGAATGGAAGGGAGGGAAAGTGAAGATAAAGTCAAGCGACAAGAAAGGGCCAGTCAAGGCGACGGCGGGCCTGAGGCAGACAAGGAAGTGCCTCAGGTAAGTTCAGTTGTATAGTAGTAAGGTGAGGCAGAAGGTAAGAAAGTTGGAAGGATGGTGGTGCTAACCACCGTCTTATTGGTCCCTACAAGGCTTTTTGGGCGGGAAAGAAAAAACGTCTGTAATTTCAAGACTGATTTTGCCTCCGTCCGTCTCACGAGGAGGGTTTTCCTTTTTCTTTTTTCTTTTTTTTTTCTTTTTTTTTTTTTGTTGTCTTTTTGATTTCTTTGTCAGCTATGTGAACATGGACAAATTTCAAAACTCGCGCCAATTGACTAGAAGAAATACGGGGTAGTCGTCGTAATAATACTTATTAGGGAAGAGGGAAAAAAAAATGTTCGTATGTATGGAGAGGCAGAGATTAGAAGGACAAGACCTAGAAACCTAGATAATAATAACCAAACTTCCATTATTCAACAATGATACAAACGTTGGTATTTGTGTCTCCGCTTTTACTGCAGTTTGGTCAGGGTGGACCCCGTAGAAGTTAGACTGGCCAACTAAGATGGAGTCCTTTTCCTTCGACAAGACTGCGGTAATGAACCAGGGGAAAAGAGAATTGTAAAAAGGGAACATATTTACAAGGCTGGAAAGGAAAAGACCCGAGGCGCAAGAATGGTCTTAAGGCTAGCCAGGGGAGCCGTGAATAGTCCTTTTTTTTTTTTTTTTTTTTACCTTTTTTCTCTCTCTTTGGGGGAAAAAGCCAAACAAAAAATAAACTAGAATAGAATAAGAAAAACCACCAATTTTGTTCCTCCCCCCTTAGGGAACACCTTGCATTTGCTTTGCTGGTTTAACTTTTGGGTCGCTTGTCAGACTGTTGCAGTACCACCAATTGTAAAAAATACTCAAAAAAAATACCACGTATGAGCACCGAGGCGTTACCCAGCAAGGTAAATTTGCACGAAATGTAAGGAAGAATACGGAGTACTTACATAGATAATCCGGGTTTCATGGCACGGTTACTTCGTATGGTACATTGTCCTTGGCTCTGGAACAAAAAATTAACCTCATGGCTGGACTTAAAGAACCACATCGTTTCATAATGCGCGCGGGATGGCAGGGCTGGTGGATGGCCACGTTTAATGGGATCTACTAAGAACTGTTAAATCATATTTAATATCACTGAATATGTCACTGGGACTTGTAGTTACTTTCCCTTTTCAGTAAGCCATCCTTTTGATTGTTCCTGCTATGAAAGTTAAACCTGCATTTTAGAGCCTTAAGACGAGACTACCACAAGACAATACAGCGGGGAATTTCCCCTCAAGGCAAACTGTCTCATGTTTGCCTATTGAAAATGCGAGAGAGAGAGAAAAAAAGGGGGGGGGGGGAGCAAGGAAGAAGTGGGTTCGCAGTTGTTCTTTTCTGAGAAAGATAGTAATCCATCATCAGCCATGGCCAAGAGGGAAACGCAAAGTTGATCATATGTTTACTTTTTAAGGTCTGTCTTAGCAGAACTCTAAGTCAGGCCTTTGATATCATTCTTTGGCCCATGTCCACCCCGTCATGAGGCACACAACAACACCTCACTCCAATAATAAAACCCCAGGGCTTTGAAGTGAGTCAGGAATAATTTATTAAAATTTTATTACCGTAGACTGGTGGAATGTTTGAAAATCTATTTATTAATATTATTATTGTTTTTACAATTTCAGAGCGGTGAGCACGGACTAGCGTGGAAGGGCTACTAGGGACGGATGCTTTGGAATGAGGCAGTGCTGGCAGATTCTTGCCATTATCATTCGCTATTATTTCATTTTTCATGGTTTGTGGTCAATCGGACTCAACCCATACCCGCCGTTACCACTGACAATGTCGCTTCGAACGTTCTGTCCCCATTCGATTCTCACACGCCATTGGATTCTCCCGATGCCTACCGCTGGACTAGAAACATGCTTTTGGCCTTAGGATGGGATTTTTTAAAAAAAAAAAAAAAAAAAAAAAAAGGGTTTTTACACCCGCTGAACAAAATGTTTGATATTCAAAGTTGCAGGGTGCCCGGTCGACTCCTTTGACCCTTACCAGGGACAATTTTCTCGCTAAGTTCGGTGCCTGGACAGATGGGGCCTCGTTTGATCTGATAGACAAAAGAATAAACATGAACATTGCAATTAGGACTCGTAAGGCTTCGCCAGAAGACAACAAGAAAGGCGGGTCACCCTGAGACCTTTCCCCCTTCCGGAAGGACCATTGTATCGTCGATATTAAAATGTTTGAATATGAAAGTATGGTCCTCAAGTCGACCTACCCAGACGGGGGTTTCCTCCGTACAACTTGAATCCTCATACTAGTATACAGTGTGCGGTGTCCAGTATTTCCTTGCTAATCTCTCCTTTTCCTTCGAAATGGGGTTTTTTTGTTTTATAACAGAAATGAATATATGTCTTGAATTTCACCAAATCAAGTTTCCAAATTTACCACAAGGTGTTCCAGGCAATACATGAATTACCTGTGAAATTCCAGAAGAACCTCATAGGAAGGGCACCGAACACAGTCCTCTCTGCCCAGGGTACCGAGTGCAGACATGCACCCGACTACCACTTACACTATAGACCCACTGTGAAGTGTGCCGACGAACGTCAGCCAACTATTAGTGGCCTTGTCGAGCTTGACCCACCTCCAATGTGGTCTAGTGGGACCCACTATGTCCTTAGATACATGCACTGCCACAGTGCTGTCATTTGGCATTTTCCGTCGCACCCCGAAGGCTCCGTCCCTGGAATTGGATGGATAAAACGCTTAAATTATCGTAGTATAGGGAGGAAAATGAGGGGTTGACGGTCTAAGAAATTTTCTCAAACCTAAAGAAAAAGGGGTAGTCGAACAAGAATAGTAGTACTCAAGACCTTGACCGGGGGAAAGTAGGAATGTCGGAGGTTTTCTACGGATATGATATCCCAACTCTATAACGCACTTGGGCCATGCGGTGAAGACCTAGAATAAATAGCCGGTATCACGTCGGGGTTATTTAAAAGTTATTATTATTTTTTTAGGAAAGAAAAATTAGAAAAGAAAAGCCCAATGTGGAAGACGGAGTACCATTCTTGTTTTGTTCCACTGGTCTTTTTTCGACGCCTTATGTAGTCTTTCTATTAAGCAATAGGAAGCTGCCGCAGGAATTGTCTTGAGAGCTTCACATCCTCGTTGCAGCTTTTCACTAGTAAGAAAAATAATTAAATTAATTTAAAAAACAATAAGGATAAAATAAAATAAAAAAGGCCGAAGAGGGGGCAAAACTATTCAAGGCAAGGGTAACTTGCAGACCTCAGTTGATTATTGTTCTACTCTATTCAGTAACGTTATCACTATTGAAATTTTTTTTTTCTCTTTTTTTCGCCACTACTGACGGCCCTCTGCACAACACAATCTGTATGCGGTCACAGTGGCGATCAGAAAAGGGGATCAGCTCCAATCTGGTCTGTTCAGCTCCTATTTTCCGCAGCTGAGAGACGTGGAAATGGATATGTCTTCCATGATCTTCACCCTCCTCTCATTGTTGAGTCTTACGCGCCCACTACAAACCGTCACCTAGACCACAACACTCACGTATGTATCCACCGGGTTGTGGCAATCCGGCGGATTCCATTTGCTCTGCTAGTTTTGTCGTTCATAAGCCTATAGGATGCGACGCTTATTTTTGCCATCATCCCATACTTGATCGACAATCCGATACGATTGGGCAGTCGTGCACAAGTCAGCAGTATAGTCGGCGACTGTTCACAGGTCCCGCGCGTAAGCACTATATATAGTCGGTCGGGGGATGTAGTGCGAGTCACACGTCTCTCGTGACTGGATGAGTGAAAATGTTGTCTTATAATTTACGTCGTGATACGGAGGTTCTTCGTAGGGACAAGGGTCAAAAGCGAGTAAGAAAAAGCAAGCATCCAAGTAAAGTTAGACTACTTGCCATACAAAAGCGCCGTCAGCCTTAAGCCTTAACAGGCTGCAGACTAAGTCCCGTGCACAGGCCTGCTGACAGTAATCAAGGCGCTAGTTACCCAGTATTGACTACTCAGACATGGCTAGCTGAACTGGCCTCAGCTAGTAATAGCACTTAGTACCCAATCGATTTTAGACTGTACAGTGCTCACTCTGCATGATGCACGAGAGTTGAGGAGGTCAAGCTTAATCTACCGTGATCCCAACTGTTCTCTTCGTTTTTTGCATTTTTGATTGATTGACCCTGAATCAGGCGTCATGTGAATATTTGGGGGGTTTTATCTAGAGTCGAGTCAGGGTCTGCTTCTACTAGTAGCACCCATACACGGCTCATGGTGAGACAGAAAACGCAATCGACATACGCACATCCCAAAACTTAAGATGACAAAATTTGTAAGGATGTAATCTAGACAGCAGTCTTAGTCCGGGCACTAAAAGTAGAAGCATATTTGTCGTCTATGGAATGAAAGCCGCACAGACTCCTGCATCACATGTGGCCAATCGATCGACGTGAGCTTTTACCATAGCAGACACAGTTTGAAACAGTGCAAATCTGAAACTATCTCAGGATTTGGGACCTTGGCGTTTACTCGACACCAATCATGATTGGGAAGAGGCTTGAGAATATCCGATTCCGTCCCGCACTTACGAATGAGGATGATCCTTGGTGCAGGAGTGCGGAGTTTTGATTGTATCCATTCCTTCCAAGACTTTAATTGACAACTAGCAGCACAGACATACGTGCACGCATACCTCCAAGAATCCAGTTTCAAGAGATTTTGGTTCCACCTCAGCGCTACAGTACTTAGTAGATCTCTGAGCCAACAAGTTGCGTAAATAGCCGACCAGGATGGATTCGAGAGGTTTGTCGCAGGGTTAGCCACAGAAAGTATGGTGTCATTGTCCACTGGGATATTTCAAGCTTCTAATTGGGACAAGTGATAGTTGACGTATCTAATCGAATCCATTCCATTCAGATTCAGGGTTCAAGGCTAGTAAGGCGGGGCCCCCAACCTTATTGCCTCAGGCCCCAACAGGAGGCTGCCCTTGCCCTTGCCCTACACCCTAGTTGCCGTCCCGTGCCGCCCTTGAAGGCCTACCCCTCTCCAGCCAATGATGTTCCGCCATCGAATTCTTGGCTTGAAGGGAGTATCTGAACCATGGTCACTGACTAAAAGGTTCATTGTCAACGATTTGCATTCCACGATCACCGACATACCTCCATCTTATATCTAACCTAGTACTATATCACTGTTCTTATGTGCATTAGTGTTACTCAAAGCGATATTCACAATGGCTATGAATCGTATTCCCGGTCAGAATATTTATATTGGAGGGTTGGTCTTACCTTGTCCCTCAATACCTGTATTAAACCTTCATTGCGTTGGGCCAGAATCCTAACAACGCGGGGCAACAAATATACTCTCGAAAGCCCAAATCAAGAAAAAGGAAGAAAATTATTATTACGTCGAACCGCTTACTGATATACAGATTTCACATGTAGCATTTTCTCGCTTAAGAACAAGGCAGCATTGGAAAGAGCAAACATTACCCACGTACTTTCGGTATTACGCCTGCAACCACAGGAGGAGACATTTGCAGGCTTCCAACATCACCGCATCGATGTGGACGATGTCGAGGATGAGAATCTCCTAGAACATTTTCCGTCCGCCATTAAGTTCATCCAGTCTGGATTGGATGCTGGTGGGGGCGTCCTGGTCCATTGGTTAGTCTACCCCTCTTCCTTCATTTCAACTTATGCCAATAAACCCGCATTGTCCCCATATACTTGGGTGGCCTGGCTGGCTGGAAAAACTCTATGATTATGGGCCCAAGCGTTTTCACTCTTCTGGCCTTACATCCCAATGTATACTCGAAACGAAGTTCTGATCTATGTCACGTGCCATTATCACGGGCATGGGTTTAACTTCTAGGGTAACGTTGTTATATTGAAATATTTAGATCGACTTCAGTGGAATGCTTAGATTAGAGGCATTATGGGTTTTTGTTACTGATAGTAAATAGTGCGATGGGAAAATCCCGTTCAGCCACCATATGTATCGCTTATCTACTCCACCAACAGCCAAGCGCACTGTCACCGCAGTCCGCTCTTGCCATTATTAAGGAAAGTCGGCCACTTTGTGAGCCAAACGACGGGTTCATGAAACAGCTGTCGATCTACCACCAAATGGGCTGTCCAGACGATGTGATCAGTCATCCGTTATATAACCGTTGGCTTTACCACCGCGAAGTTGAGGAAAGTGTAGCATGTGGACGCGCGCCGGAGATGAGTTCCGTGTTATTTGAAGACGAACAATCCCACAAACCCCAAGACAATACGGATCGAACGACGGAAATTAAATGTCGGAAATGCAGGTCAGTTTTCCTAATTTTAAGATAAAGATCTCCAGATGAGCATCCGAATGTTGACTATATCTGGCAGGCGAAACTTGGCGACCACGCCATTCATCATACCACATGGCCCGCAAAACGGTGCAAAAGGACCGACCGACTGCGCCCACATTTTCTTGCATCCCTTAACGTGGATGCGCCCGTGCCTATTCCCTGACGGTGAAGAGGATGGAGCACCATCGGGGGATGCGCCCCTGTCTGGTCGCTTGACTTGCCCGAACACTTCGTGTGGTTTTAATATCGGGAAGTTCGCATGGCAGGGTATGCAATGTAGCTGCGGCGACTGGGTAGTTCCCGCAATTGGCCTTGCGAAGGCTCGAATCGATATGTCCCAACGTGTCAATGTGGGAAGGTTACCTCCAGCTGCCCTAGGCATCCGACTGCCGCCTAGTATGAGGCCTAATCCTGCGGATGATTCCACAAATGGACGGGGTAATCTCTAAGTTTATGACGGTGACTGCGCCTCAGGCGAGACTGACACGGTGGGAACTTCGCGGATAAATGCCACTGCCGATTGAACACACATAATTCTATCTCTGACATCCAGCGGTTGAATGACCGACGAACCTCATATCACGTGATACGGACGCTCTCATTTACAGATCGCCGTGAAGACTGGATGCTGTGCGCCTTCGTCTACTTGGCCGAAATTAAACTATTTCCCGAAGTGGTGTAGGGGAAAGGGCACTGCGATGACGCCTTTGGGTTAAATAAAGTTGGGCCTTGCGTGTACGCGTTGGTCTTCACAGATCCACCGCACCAACGGGGAGGTAACTGATAACCAAGAGCATACATGAACAGGCGTTTAGCTACCATAAGACTTGGGTCTAGGCACGCAGAGTTCAGTCTTGGTGAGACCCATCTCTTCTTCTAAAGGACCCTGATGTCGATCATCCCGCAATGGAGTTGATCTACCAAGCTAGCAGGGACGAAATTACTTTCCGTTACGACAAGCGTGACAGAATCCGTACACTTGATAGCTCATAGACAATTATATCCCATAACTGCTGAGAACGTTGATCTTATGACATCACTGCTGGGAAACCGTTGCTTTACTGTTCTGAGCAAGATACGGACCAAGCAGAATGCCTTAGCTACCCGAGGTGTCCCAAGCGCTAGAACCTGTCAGGATTCAGGGCTTAACCCCACAACTCCACGAGGCTGTTTTTAAGGCAAGGCCCACTGGCTGGGAAACCCGCCAATGGATGAGCAGAACAAGTCCCGGGATCTACGGCGTGGGAAGATCGGGGAGGACAAACTCAGACTTCTCAATGGGCAGTCGTGCACAAGTTCCTGAGAAGGAACATTAGTAATCGGCGCAGGCGTATCGAGAGTCCGTGACCCGGTTCCAGGAGGAGACCAGGCTCCAGCAGGGTAGGCCTAGCCTCCTCACTAGCTCCGGCACGGGGGCTGTGCAAACTGCTCTTACGCAACTGGGGGGCGCTAGACCCATGGATGCACTCCTGCCGTAACTCTTTCGTATCAGGACCGTTACCCCAGTACCACTGTCGTAATTTTAAATTCCGGCAAACCCCTGACCTACTGTATTTCAATTACCGCCAGACCGCTTCATACTTATACTCCATAGTGGCAACAGCAATCGCAATTATGATGATCACTCACTCCGAAGGAGTGGACTGGATTCCCAGGGATTATTTTAAAAGATCAATGTTATTATCAGTGAGATACTGGCCTTGGCAATGGACTTTCGGCCCATTCATCATTCCCTTCCATTCCTCGGTGGTCGAGACTATCCACTCCTACATCCATGCAAAAGAAGAAGGTATTCGAAATGCTTCTAAGCCCATATTTTATCCATGGATGAATGTCGGATAAAAGCGACAACCTCCTTCCAGAAGCGACCCCGTATCGAAAATGACGTCACCTGCACACGACACTCAAAACTTCTCGTCCAGTCAATGCAGCCATCGACCTCATCAATCGGATGTCAATGAAACCCTCTAAAGCCCTAAGCGCTACGAGACACCACATACCACAACGTCTTGTAGAACCACCTTAAAATCAACACAATATTCGACTCGGGCAGGCTATACATAACATAATTCAACAACTATAGAACATGCATCCACATTAGTTCCTGCCCTCCTCCCAATACAACCAAAACGGAACCCCTTTAGATACTCCCCAGGCCCTGAAACTCGAACTCCTCCCCGTCTAACCGAAGGGGCCTAACGACAGGCAGCAGAGACTTGAGAGTGCACTGCCTCCTCCTTCCCCACTGCAATGCATACAGTATACTTCCTTATTCCCCACAGAGACCGAAAGTAGAGTAAAGAATCAGAAACAAATAAATGAACCTGTCCGTTCCCTGACATCATGGCGCTTTTTTTTTTATGCTTGAAGCTCTGATTTGCACAAATTCAGAGAAATCCCTATGGACGGATCGAAATCGGGATATGTAGTACTGTATGCACGTGCTCCGTCGTGAATCTAGTTTGCCTAGGCTAGGCAGAATATGCAAGATGTATCGGTGGCTCTGCATCGAGTGCCAGTTGGTCTGTGTTAGTGCATGACATGTGGGCTATGTTATGTATATGATGCTCCTTGCTTGGTATATCCTTGATTAATTATTCTTATTTGTTTCTGTCAGGTTGGGTTTTACGTATTGATTAGAGTTGTTATATACAAAGTATGTATACTATGTACGTATGTATATGCAATGCGTGGTTTAATAAGGCTTCATATAGCACGTAGTAAGGTATACTCATTGTCATATTGACCGGTTACAGTTGGGGCCTGTCTCCCGTATCATCCGACAAGTCACAAGCCCATTGCCGAACCGGATATACGGAATTTCACATATATAGTCCGAGCATAAGAGCACGAACTGTTGCCTGTAAGGCTGAGGTGGCTGATTTGGAAGCTTCCGCGTCGTGCCTAGTGCTGAACTATTGCATGTGTTGGGTTCCGCTTAGAGTGCCTTGCCTCTCTTTCGATGTTGACTGTGCCCCCGGGGTGAACCAGGCAGACTTCAGGGTTGCGGCATTGGATATTGCTGACGGTGTCATGTGGTTAGTGTTGGCTGATTTGGCGATCAGACCATTGGGACGAATTCCGAGCTAACTTGTAGCGCTGTTGTATTTGTCTAACGAAATTCGAGCAGAAGATTGAGTTCATGTATGGTTTATCGCTCAGAGATGAGGGTGGCACAATGAGTAACCGTGGCTTGCGTGAGCTTGTCGTTTATTTCATCTTCGCAGCGACGCTCTAATATGATCTTCATATTGCTGCGCTTAGATATATGACGTCGAGATCCCCGTTCAAACGAGCTGACGAATAGACACTTCACCTCGCTATAAACATCCTAATCAGTCCTGACGAGGCAAACACCCTCCCGCTCGTAAATTGACCTCATCAGAGCCCTTTGGACGGGACAGAGGGGAAAAACGAGGGATCCTGTAGGCGCTGACGATTTCTCTTGGCAGCCTCGAGATTACGCAGTCTGTCGATGCGCATCTGGTAGAAATTTCTGAGAGCCAATCCGGTCAGATCATGATGAGCTGGCAAAGGGAGTAAGGGTCCTGAATCGGGTTAGGACCATACTTATGCAATGCAAAAATACGAGGCCCGTCATCCGACGCGGGCGTGGACGTGGACGTGGACTGTGCTGATTTCTTGAGGGATTCGATCTTTCGTGTGTCAGCTCTAGCTTGTTGTTTGTCGTATCTGATTCACGTCCAGGGTCTAGGCGTGTGGGTGGCCTAAGGGAGAATGGGCAAGGGAGGCAGGGTAGGGTAGGGTAATGGACCTTATCGTCTTGTTCCTTCTCGTCATTGTCCGCCTTTTTGTCGGTGGATGATCCTTCTTCCTTCTTTGACTCTTCGTCGGACTTCTTTTCTTTCGACTTCTCTTTCTTCTTTTTCTGTCTCTCTTCGTACTCCTTCTTTACTTTCTCGATCTCTTTTGCTAATGCTTCTTCTTTCTTCTTCTTTTCCTCTTCCTCTGTGTCAACGATAGGAGAGCAGAAATGCCGATCCTTCAGATGAATAGGACAAATGTAGAAGAAATCCTTTAACGATGTTACTAATGCTGTTCCATACTAACCGAGCTATATATATATATATTTGAAAGAGCGTAAAATGTATTTACCTTGTTGTCGGGCGTAATCATCACGCTGCTCGAGGGCTTGTGGCAGACGTAGCACGCCTTTGCGGCGGTGTCTGCTACCCGGCGGAGATGGTAGATGTTTTGAAGGAGCCCACTCATTTCAAAGAAAAGTGGAGTATGGATCTAGTAGAAATAGATGTGTATATACGGGAGACAATCGAATAATGCTCTGTACAAATAAGTATGGAGGGGTCTAAGTAGTTTGGGAGATAAGATCTGTTTGGTCTTTATCGGTGCGGATAAGTCATGTCATGTGACTGATATATAGATGGATCGTACTTTGGACTATGCTTGGTATACGTAGACAGATCTAACTATGATTAGTTGCTATGGCTTTTTTCTTTCTTTCTTTGTTTGTTTGTTTCTTTTTTTTCTCTCGATAAGAGGTATAAACAATATCCCTATGCTTTTGGGTGTCCCAAAGACTCTAAAGCCTATACACCATACTATATGCAAATATTATTCTACACAGTAACATCTACTCAGTCACACTATCCTTGAGCCCTCTAAGAGCACTAAGCTCCCTCGACCCAGCAGGAGTCAACGCAGCCGCATTCTGCGACCGTCTCCTGGCATCCGTCCAGAGCATAAACTCGCCGTAACTCTTCGGCATGACCTGAATGTCCTTCTCAACCAAGAAAGTGTAGTTGAACTGACCGGTCGACTTCTTGGTGCCATGCTCCACGTCCCTGACCTTGGTGTCCACACGGACCTGGACCTTGGTGTACTTGCTGCCTGAATCCGTTTCGACAGGCTCTGTATAGGCAACTGTGGCGCGAAGGTACAGGACGCTGCCGACGGGAACGGGGTTTTCGAATGTGCTAGGATCAAGGGAGATGAAGTTGGGTCGGGCGTGGGAGAAAGACGCTACACAGCAGAATGCAAGCTCAAAGGTCTGCTTCAAAAGGAAACCACCGAAGATCATGAAGTTGTGACGGTTGCGGTCTTGAGGCTGCATGATCATGGCGGATTTTAAGTTGGTGTCGCTCATGAAGACCATATTCGATGGTCTTTGTTCGGGAGATTCGGGGCCTGTGTGGCGTTAATGGTTGTAATCAAGACAGAGCCTTGAAGAGTAGCTACGTACTCAGGTATGACATCTCCTTGGTCCACATGGAGTGAATCAGGTTACTCTCTTCGTCGTCTGGGGCCTTTTGGAGCAGACTTCGTTTTCTCAGCCCTTTCTTGGCTTGATAGTTCTCTTCTCCCTTTTTGAAAAGAAGACGTTCCTCGTCAGTTTCTAGCAAGAGGGGTGCAACATTGGCAGGCCTAAGGAGCATTAGTACGATACTTTGAGAATCAGCTACTCGGAACGTACTTCTTGGTAGCCGGATCAAGAGACACCATTGTGAAGGCACAGGTGATCAGGACATCCTCAGGCTTCGCCTTCTGCCCTTCAGGAGGGGCCTTTGCGACCTGCAGAGATATCTCCATACTAGAGCGTCCTGTAGCGTAGGTAACCTGACCACTGAGCTCGAGATCGCAGATCTCCATCAGAGGATGTTCGATGGTGATTCGGTCACATGCAGCGGTCACGGTCGTCACCGAGCCACCGGTGTGTCTGTAAGCAATGATACCAGCCAAAGCATCCAAGTCCATCAGTAACGACCCCAACCTGGCTTCATTAGCAATGACTCAAACCTCCAAGGCATAGATGTCCGATTGATTACCTGATATGCCCCGAGGCATTCAAATATGTATCAAGGAGCCATTTATCTTGTGCCAACGGCAAGATCTGTATCCCTGATTAGTTCATGACTCAACAAACGCAAAGATTTTACTAACAGCACTATAATGGCTATCCGACATCTTCTTTGGGGTCAGATCGGGCTTCGCGACCGGCGCAGAAGCTCCCTTGCCGGACTTCGCATCCTCTCTACTCTTTGTCAATGCTTCAATCCACGGTGTCTTGACGCGCATGGGCATCCATGTAGGCCGGGACCCCGCATTGGGTTGACTGGTGTGAAAATCCTTGGACGCAAGACACAATTGCGATGGGCGATGGGCTGCTCTTGTCCGGAGAATGTTATTAGTTGCAGATGTTAAGCATTTCGAGCGGGTCGCAGCGGACCGTCGCGTGGTTAGTCCCAACATTGTGTAAGCTTGATTAGCCCAGAGGACGTTTTGGAGGAAGGTTGGTTAGTTGATGGGAGAGTTTGGGGTAGAAATGGTCACTTGTCGGCATCGGGGTCATGTTCCCGAGGCGTGTTGGCCCGTTACCGATCTTTGTTCCGGAGGATATCGGGACCCGTCAAAGGTTTATTCCCTCGGGATTTGTTCATGGTCGAGGGCGAGATTCAACATGCCAGAAGAGTACATGGCTATCCTTAGATTATCGTATGGACTACGAGGGGAGAGGGGATGCTCAATCACTAGTTAGTATTCCTAGTAATGCTGCATGTCAATAAACATCATATTAGTTCATCTGCTCAATGACATCATTGCCATTCTCCTATCTTATCGGCCATTGAATGTAGTTACTCCGTTTCATGCAGATGCTACGACAGTACCATTGTTGGTGAAGAACGAACTATATTATTGCTTCTTCTGGTTAAGTGTATTCATACTCCTGGCAGTCAACAGCGATTGGCCTTCGTCCCTGTCAGGGTACATCTGCTCGACTCCACCATGTCCAGACATCTCGCCCAAGAGCTGCGTCAAAGTGAAGTCATAACCCATATAAATATCTAGAGAATTCGATGTTTGTCCTAGTATGACATTGTTTCTATCCATTCTCTTGCAAGACATAATTTTTAGACGGATAGACGAATCAGAGCATTCTGAACAATGAGTGACCCAACAAATCCCAACATCCAAAAAAGAACGACGCCACAATGGGCATTATACCAGCGCGAGAATTTCTGGAAGCTCAATGAGGGCCAGACGGCTCCGTTCAACACGGGTACGACATTGCCCTGCACTTGACTAGCAAAAGGAAGCACCTTGGGCTGACCGTAACTCGCGCCGGAATAGATCCCATCAAATTGGAGCAGTTGGCTCATGAGAAGCTTAGTCAAGGTGGTTGGTATGGCTCCAGCTTCTGCCACTAGAGGACGTGCATTGTCTAACACAACCCGTAGGTACTATGCATCCTCCAATGCGGGCATGTCCAACACCCACCTGGCGAACCGTCAAGCTTTCTTCCGTCACCGTATCATCCCCCGACAACTAGTAGATACTAACCTGCGAGATACCACTACGGAGATCTTTGGACACCGCGTATCAGCTCCAATAGGCTTTGCGCCCATCGGAATCAACAAAATCTACCATCAATCAGCAGAAGCTGCAGTCGCCAAAGTTGCAGGCGAGCTCAATCTCCCGTATTGCCTCTCTACAGCAGGAAGCACACCGATTGAGAAAGTCGCAGAGGCAAACGGCAAAGGCCCTCGGTTCTACCAACTGTACATGCCGCATGATGACGAACTGACACTGTCTCTCCTCAACCGGGCATGGCAATCTGGGTTTGATGCGCTCATCCTCACCACTGACACTTGGCAACTTGGCTGGCGACACGACGATGTGGCCAATTCCAACTATGCCTTCTACCGCGGGATTGGTGCTGACCTAGGCTTGACAGATCCTGTGTTCCAGAAGCGATGTCGCAAAGAAGGTATTGACCCGGAGAAGGACATCGTTGCGGCCTCGGCAAAATGGATAGACTCCGTCTGGCACGGCCGTGCATGGTCCTGGGAGAAAATCCCCTGGTTAATTGAGCAATGGAAGAAGATTTCTGGTGGAAGACCTTTCGCCATCAAGGGGATCCAGTCGATCGCAGATGCAAAGAAGTGCGTCGAGTACGGAGTCGACGGCATCGTGGTGAGCAATCATGCCGGTCGGCAGGTGGACGGAGCCATCGCAAGCCTTGATGCACTGGAAAATATTGCCAATGCTGTCGGTGACCAGATTTACATCATGTATGATTCTGGAGTTCGCGGCGCGAGTGATGTCGCGAAAGCGTTGGCACTGGGAGCCCGGTTCGTGTTTGTCGGCCGGCTTTGGATCTGGGGGCTCAGTATCATGGGAGAGGAAGGAGTCCGGCACGTTATGAAATCACTACTGGCTGATTTTGACATTTTCATGTGTGTTGCGGGGTTCAACAGCATAGAGGAACTTGATCGATCGATTTTAGGTATATTTTTGAGTCTGCGCGACTGTCTCTACCCAGGTTGCTAACACTTTTGTAGAATCATATCCGAAAGGATATACCCTAATTCCGGACAAGGTCTTGTGAGCCGGTGAAGTAGACTTATAATGCACCGCAAGGGGATATACGCAGTATAGAACAAGGGACACTGTCTACTAGAGCAAGAGTAATACACATGAAGACCTCCACATCCAACTTCCGCTTAGTTTCATGCACCCTCTTGTACCACTGCTATATTGTGTCTCCATGCCCACCAATTTCGAGCAGCCATCATATATAGACTATCGTCCAGTAAAGGTCAAGTAATCTATCTAAGCTTTTCAGCAGTGGACCCGTTAAGGAGATCTGATAACTATAATTCGATAGAGCCGACTCAGGTTCCACATAGTCCATCCTTAAGACCACAAGGCTGACAGATCTCGTATAGTAAGGAGACGATCTGTGCTGAGGATGGTGGTTAATATGCAACGATTAGTGTCTGGGGTAGATATAACTGGCTCACTGACCCCTGTTTAGCCCCGACACTAGCCCCCAATAATCTCGGTACCGTTACATCTGCTGGCATATGAATTATGCAGCCTGATATGTAATGACTGTCTTGGACTTGAGGTCAGTATCATCTTTCTTGTAAGGGTTTATCTCATAATATACTATTATATTAAATGTAACATATTGACATATCAGCTATCATTATACTATATATCAATCCCACGGTCTCAGATCCGATCAGGGCATAAGCCATTTATGCCAAATAACCAAGGCGTCGGGGCTGGGATCCTTGGGTGGTTTGTGTCCGAGAAGGTGGGACTTGGTGGATGGACTAAAGGGGGTCTAATACTGTAGAGAATTTAACTTGTGTTTCTTATGCTGTTTTCTGGGAGTTTCTGGGGCTCAGTGACGTATGGTTGGGCGAGTTTTTACCTTAATGGCACCTCTGAGGTCAAGGGCTATGTGTTAATTACAGTGCTATTGGCCTTTGAGGCAGTTGAACTGAATATGTTTCCTTGACTAGATAGTCCGGATGAAAAACTGATACTTGTCCGGGCTGAAAAAGTGGCTATTTACCGGTATTGAGATGGTATAACTCGAATATATAGGCATAGACTGGAGACATCACACATATATGCAAGGTGTGTCCCAGGAGGCAGGATGATAGATGTGTCCGCCAAGATATTGACAGGAGAATATACAGAAAGTCTTGAGGTTGACCACAACTCCAGCCGCTGATGCTATGGCCACCGTGTTCTATCGGATACTGGGTCGAATACTCCGTAGTAGTGTTATATATGCAAGAAATAGTAGCAAGCCTACTGAGAGTCGCGTGATCACACTAGGCTAGCCAAAGTGTGCACAGGACGACCATCAAGGCAGGCAAATAATGTATGCCGGCCTTCATGCCAGCAGAGGTAGATTCTGTCGTAGTTGAGCTCACAGTGGCGGCAGTAGCGGAGTCAGCCTTGTCAGTTCCGGTGGCACTGGTAGTTGTTGTAGATGTCTTTGCGCTGGAGTTCCCACGCACCGCAAACCCGACGCGGTCTTTGTCGAAATCAAACACTGTATACACGTTCTTGAGGAAGACATCGCCAACAAGCCATTCGTTGTCACCGAACATCTGGTGGCCGATGATCGTTGAGACACAACCCGACCCGTACTTCGAACCGACATAATCCTTGGGGGAGATTGTGTAACTCTGGCCTGAAAACGTGAGTTCAACCTTGGCGGTGGAATTGCAAGGGATAACGAAGTTTTCGCCTCCCGAGGCACTGGAACCCGGAATCAACTTATGCAATGCGGCAGCGTCCTTTGGCGGAATCAGGGCGTAGGATGTGCCGGTGTCGATGATGGCCGTTTTGTTGACGAAATTGCAGGCATTGCCATTCACGCTGGCATCATCCAGAGGGATGGTCCAGCGATTATTACCACTGAGAGCGTCGGTGTACGAAATGTTCCCGGTGAATTTAGTCTTGTCGACGCCACCAAAGGTCACAGCACCATCCTTCCCTCCGTCGGCGGCGCGAGAGAGGCTGAAGCTGACAATATTTGACTTGAGGGCTTTCTGCTCTATGACGGCCTCCATAAATGAAGGACCGTACGACCCTTCCTCAGCGCGGCCAAGGCCGATGATACCATCCATGGGGTAATTCTGGAACTGGTCCGACGCATTGGAAGCCAGCCCGAACAACATACGCACATTCATACCAGCAATCGAGAGGGTGTCATTTCCGAGGACTCCACTAACCTGCCCGGTTCCATACCCCACGCCCCATTTCTTGTTGGTTAGTAGGAGGCTCGTCGATGCGTGTTCACCAAACGTGTTGTGTAGTTTGCAGGAATTCGTCGTGCAGTCCGACCCGAAGAGCCATGTATTGACACCACCGGAGTCGAGCATCATCCACATCTTCTGACCTTGAGAGCCAACCTTGACGGCTGCAAAGTAGGTGTAGTCATTGCCGCCTTGGTTGAGCGCGGCCGTGTTGGGTGAGGTCGGATCATCTGATAACATGATCTTGAAATTGTTGTCACGGCGAAACGAGGCCCTTTTGATGTCCAGGGTGAGAGTATCATCCCCGGTGGATGATTCCAGTTCATCCTTCACATCCTCTGACGGCAACTCATATGGGAAAAAACGACGCTGTAGCTTATCACTGGTAGCATCGGTAACGGATTCACTAAGCTCTATGTGGTAGGGCACAAATGCCGTGACACTAGTGTAAAGAGATGTTGTAGCGAGAAGACATTGTAAGAAACGCATGACTTTATGTCAATTCTTCTAATTAGAGAGTAGAGCGAACGGGCGCATTCGTGGGAAGAGACCGACAAGCGGCAGTCAGGTTGAAAAAGGCTTTCTGGACTAGTATTGATAAAGAACGAAAGATGATAACCAAGTCTTATGCAATGCAAACTCGAAGAACGCTTTTTTTCTGAGCAATTAATTGAATAAGACCCGACCAGACCAGAAAATTATAAATAGAACCGCGGAGGGAGAAGAATGCTTCGAGAAAAACTATAAGTCAAAAGGAACCATGCCATGCAAAGGAGCGAAGAGAGAAAAGACAAGCAATGCAGCCAACAGACATAAAAAGTGAATGGTATTATGCAGCGATAGCCATGAGGGGAAGGCCGTTCTCCGTATAAAGAGCCGGATGCTGTAGGCATGGATAGGGAGTCCAGAGTTAGTAGTACATTGAGTATCCATCCTCCACCACTCAGGAGCAAATAGTAGCTGGAGGCTTCAACGGCCAAGCTCTTGGGCCTTCTCATGAGTGGCTCTGGTGGGAAACCGGCGCTGCTCTAGGCCCCGATCTACAGCTGGACCGAACTTCTTCCAGGGCTACCGGGGCTACCAAGTGGAGCCGAAGAGGGGAGACTCAGACAAAAAAGAAAAATTCCCAGTTGATCCCCTGAATTGGAACTTTTGGTTTTTCTGGTCATTGCATCATTGGATCCCTAAAAGTGATCAGCGGTGGTGCGAATGCAAAGACAAAGCAAAGAATATGGGGAATGAATGCAACGGCCACACACACACATACATTAGTCTGCTCACATCACATTCCTTCTTGGTGGGTAGAGTTTTGTATGAACATGTCGAAATTATCGTACGAACCACATCAGGGGCAACATCTTTTTTTTTCCCTCCAAGGAACCTCGGAAGTGTTTCAAAATCCCCTCTTGGCATGACAGTTGCCGATCCACTCGCTCAAGGCAACTCATTGAACTTGGTTAACGTGTAAATAGGAGAAATCTGATCAGTCCCCTCCCCCCAACTTGAGGTCCCCAAAAAATAAGCCAGTTGATCTGTCTCTTTCCTTGCAGGTGTTGATCGATCTGATTCACTACAATGAATAAAACAACGGGATGTTTGGTCACGACCAAAGTTCTAGACTGCAAGCTGACGCACTCTCGGGCGCCCCACTGCCCTCATTTTTCGCCACGATTTCAATGTGACTGTACTGCGGGTTATACATGACCTTAAGAGGCGTTCGTTATACGTACGCGAGTGGCTGCGGTTCTTTTGTGGCTGCTAACGTAATGTTAGGCACTGACTCTAGTGTCTCCACGATGGGCCCACTGCTGGAACTCTGTCCAACAGAAGTACTGCTCCTACTGTGTACTATGGTATCGGAGCAGGTTGTATGCCGTCTCCGTACCCCAGTCGTGAGGGAAAAAAAAGTGTGACATCGTGACCATTAAGCCGGCTTCAGGGTATCTTTTGTTTTTTGATAAGAGTGCCAGCCGTGCTCTCTTCCTCCTGGGTGGAACACAACAGCATCTTGAGAAGAAGACAAAGGATGCCGATCATGCAAACACATTCGAATACGTCCGTTCCTGCATGGCAACCCTTGAAATTTGGCATTCTCAAGCAGTAGTCATGCATACGGAGTAAGTGACCAGTTGTTTTCAGCCTGTCCCTTACCGATTTCCTGCTTTTGCACAAGCGAAATATCATCGAATGTGCTTTAAAGCTCGCTTCTCAAGCGCTCACCGAGAACCCCGTGCATACATACTCTGTACCGAATCTTCAGATCTGCCTATCTTGCTCTATCCTGGTTTGCCAGGGTGGCTTCCTACTCATCCCACGTGATATCACACGTGCAAAATACTATCGGTAGACTATGGGATCTAGAACTCCACTCTCTATTTTTATATCATCACAGAACTCAGAAGGTGTGTCTTGGTATAAAGGTATTAAAATAGATTCTCGGCAGATCTAGAAGAGGCCAGGTGAGACACCCAAAACAAAGGGAAAACACTAGTTGGTGGTTATTATAGACAAAAGTCGTTCTAGTGTACAATTTATACTATTTTGCTTTTTTTTCCCACACGGATTAACCTGTTGCAATTTTGGGTTATATTAAGACATCTGGGATAAAGGGTTCTTAACTAGTGCTGATTCTATTGTTTCATAAGCAGGGTTCTAGTGCTAGCGAAGGGCGATCTACGCAAGGGATTGGTTTGCTCGCCTTGCTGCGAATCAATGTGAGTAAGCATCAAGTATACCCCAGACTCTCAAAATATCCAGAGTAAGGTCATTCACCATCTGTAAGAACGTAAGTATTCAAAATCTCAAGTCCCATTCAACTTCAGGCCCCAGCCAAGGCAAAGCATCAGCAACACTCTGACCATCCTTGTCGCCTCTCCCACTAAGATTCAGAACAATGCTCGTTTCCCCTTTCTTCATCGTTTGGCTAGTTCCATGGCGCCAAACACGGCATGTGAGGACTCTAAAGCCGGGATGATACCTTCATACTCTGCCAATACCCGGAACCGGCCAGGGCTTGGGCGTCTGTGGCAGCAATAAACCGAGCCCGCCCGCTGTCTTTCCAAGACCTCAATTGAGGTCCCACGGCTGGATGGTCCAAACCAGCAGAGATAGAGTGCGTCCCAGAAACCTGACCATGCTCATCCTGTAGAAGATAGGTATAGACTCCGTGAAGCACACCTTACTGCCCGTAGAAAGCGTTGCTGATTGATGAGACGTATTGAGACCATCGCTACCAGCCTCCACACCTAAAAGCTGGACACCTGACTCTTGTAAAAAGGGATAGAACATGCCAGATGCGTTGCTACCACCTCCAACGCATGTAACAACAGCATCGAGAAGCCTGTCAATGGACTCTTTTATTTGTTGCTTAGTTTCTTCGCCTATCACAGATTGAAAGGTGCGTACAATGGTTGGGAAAGAGTGTGGCCCAACGACAGAACCAAGGATATAATGTGTATCCTCGAGTTTTGTAAACCATGCCCGCAGCACTTAATTGACTGCTGCATCACGTAGAGTATAGCTACCAGTTGTACTGATAACAGCCACTACCTCGGCACCAAGAAGCTTCATACGGAACACATTCAAGGCCTGCCGACGGACATCCTCAGCACCCATATAAACGGTGCACCAACGAAGTGAAGGGAAGAAGATGAAGCGACGCGGAGGGGAAGAGAATAGCAGGGAGGAACAGGGCATCACCAGGCTGAAGAATGAAAGCACCCCAAAAGAACAATGTTTGGCTAACTCCATGACTCACCTCTCTGGATTTTATTGCGTGCGCTGATATCTAAATGGTAACCAAATAAACCTGGTAGGTTCCTTGAGATCATTAGTTGCATCGAGTATTGTCTCTTCCCGCTGACAAAGCGGACGCCGTTCAACAAGATGAATCATAAATAGAGGTTAAAGCAGCCAGACGAAGAAAAACAGCATGGCATTACTTACAGGCTTCTAAGATGCGTTCTATTTAGTATTATTCTCTACTTGGATTTGGGGAGCATTGTCGTGAGAACTTCGGGTTCAGTGACTCCTGCGTCGTAGGGGGCCGGTTGGTTATTACAGGCCAAAGTACTGCACATCAAAATAATTGAATGCTTAATACCCATAGGATAGCTGGAATGCTGCACCTTTTGACCCTTGGCCAGAAATATTTGCCCAGAAATTTAAAATTCTCCCAGGCATTTTTTAATGTGAGAAACCTAATCATTCACACAAGTAGACAGAACACACTATTGATGAGAATAAGACTGGGCTGGGACCATGTTGTATTCTATCTATGATGGCTCTTCTTTACTAATCTGACTTTATCTCTGGCCTACCAGGGTACCCTCTCGCCGAGGTAGTTAACAAATTGACCAGATGTAGTTGACTTTTGTGCCTCATTGATCTTTAGTGAAGTCAGCATTTCCATTCGAAAACGACGAGGATAAATTATGCTTTATACGCACCTGCTTGATAATTCCTTGGACGCTCTCCTGAACGGCCAATGGAGCCTTTTCTAATCCAATGGATTGTGCATTACGACTACCCATGTCTGTTTGGACAAGTCTGATCAAGGTTAGTATCCAAGGAACTATCCTGAAGTCGCCGGACAAGGAGAAGAATTATACGGTTAGGACATACCCAGGGTCGACGCATAAAGCGATCAGGTTCTTGTGCTCTGCATCAATCTTTCTGACCAGGTAATTACCCGCTACCTTGGACATTCCATAAGCCGTGGCCAAGGATGGAAGGCGTTCGATCCCATCAAGGCTTGCCAATAAAGTAGAGGTGTAGACAAACTTGGGCTGACTGGCGTTCTGTAACAATGGCGCTGTGGCCCTGAACAGTCTCAGTGGTCCAAGGGCATTCACTTCTAAGTGGGAAAGCATGTCCGCGTCAGTCATGTCCGCCACAGGGCCCCAGTGGTTGCAAATTCCTGCATTGGAAAGGACAATGTCAATGTGTTCAATGTGATGCTGCGTTTGTATTTCGGCAATTGCGTCGGTGGCGCTCGATGGGACGTCGAGGCTGAGCGACACGGGAATCAACTGGGAGCCAGGGCCCTTTTGCAAAGAACGTAGTTCTTTTGTGTTCTCAGCTGAGACATCTCGGATGGCTGCAATGACACTGGTGTCCGTCCCCCTAAGGTAGTGTGCCGTAAGGCCTTTCCCAATGCTTGTATGGTCGTGTTATCCCAGGTACACCATATCTGAAATGTGTTGGAGACTCACCTCGATTTGCTCCTGTAATAAGAATAACCTGGCCCATCTTGAGAGTCACCGAAGTTAAGTAGTATGTGAACTGGATGATTTGCTTTGGAAGGACGAGATTAGAGAGACTGGTCACGGAGAGGCAGTTGTTCAACTCGTTCTCTTCAGATCACCAGTGGCAACCTGGAACCAAGACAGATACTATTATTAAATATATAGTACTTCGGACTAAATGTGGGGGCGTCTATTACGGCGGACTAGATCCAGCTTCCGGTCAACCTGGTGGAAGTTTGAGTAAATTTCCATCCTCAACAGCATCGCACTACTAGTATATGTCAGCCAATTGGAATAAATCTACTTATTAGGTTCCACTATAGTACTTATCTGCCAATGGACGGGGACCGTCTGACACTCCGCCGACAATTTGACTGTTGAATCCATGTTTACAAGGCCCATTGCAAAAGACCCTTGTTCCGTCCATATCTTCACTCCATATATCCATTTTCAAACTCATAATCAGCTCTGCATCTGCCACTATCGTCTAAGTGCATACCAAACCAGGTCTTCAAAGTTAGTCTCTTCAGTCGGCACCGATACAGCGGCAAATCTGCTCCGATTCAGTAGACTCAAGTTTTGCATTTGTCGGCACTCAGGGTCAACGGGCCAAAAGCTTCACCGTACGGTGTATTTATGCCCCAGTCGGCACGGAAATTCCAGTAGAATATTGGCAAGTCTCTCCGAAATTGCATGTCATATAGAGCCAGTGGTTTTCCTTGTTCCCTTTTGACATCTGGGAGTTTGGAATAGAGGACGAGAACATCAACGAGTTTGTCATGATATTTGGGAAATTCGCATGCTCAGAGCAGTAACAGGGTTCATAAATTGCCAATGTCTCCTTGGACAGCTGGTGATAACCTGAGAGATGTCACCTGTTCGGCGGCTGTCTGTGTATATATTCTTTTTGACGAATAGGTCTCGTAGGACAATAATTGATAAAGGGTATATATTCGGTATTCTTCTGAGATTTCGAGCAATTTTGAAACATATATGTAATCTGGGGTTGATCATTCACGATGTTGGTCAATCTAGCATATTGCTAGCTGCCATGATCCTAGTAATTCTTCGTAACGGTAGGCTGACTGACTGATGCCATGCGCTACTTACTAGTTGCACCATCTTTCCGTCATGGTAGGTATGCAATCATTGTATAAGCAAAGTATTCATCCATGGATAGCCATGTGCTCGATACACCGTAACCGTTCCACATCAGCATGACTTCACCTCAACTAGACCAATGAGGAACTGAGTACAACCTGAACTTGCAACGCATCGCGAAAATCCACTTTCCTCTCAAGGCCAATAGGGAACTGTTCCTTCGAACTCGTTCCAGAAAGGAGGACGCGTTCCTCTTCCGTCATTGTTGTTGAAGGGATGCCTGGACGTTGGTCATGGTTGGCCTTAGGCGAAGATGTACGACGTTAGATGGTGCGCAGTAAGCAAAAACGTCATGAATGTGAGATACCAGGGCAATGATAGCAGGGATATACGGTTCTACCTTATTGTAGGATAATTTAGCTTAATCTTTTCGTCCTTCTTTTTCGTATTTATCCAAGATACCAGTGTATTGGAGCTTCAAGCTCATTTCTGAGGCTGTAAAACTTGATGTCACAAGCTTTGGGCTGTATTGGAGGCCCCTTGTCTCTTTGCGTTTGCGTTGAATGCCCGCCACTTGTAAAAGGTCAAAAGACGATACAGACCGTATCTAGATGTGCAGGTGGCAAGCAGATACAGGGCGGAGTCACCATCTCCAATTCGCGGGTGCTGAAGTAACCCAGACATATGAATCACTTCTAGGATCATCAAATCCTCGGATTGTTCAAGAATACAGAGAAGTTCCAATGTGACCTCCAAGGACTGAAACCCAGTTCTACTATGCACTCGGGCATCAGAAATCTACAGAATATATCGACCAATCACCGGGCTCTGTCCAGAATTTAAGATGTTGACTCAAAGATTAGGGCAAAGCTATACTCGGTATCGTTAAGGCCTATTGAAAAGCATCGTGAGATAGGAACAGTAGAATCCACAGCCAGGAAAATACCACTGTTCCCCTATGAGCTTATTATTGTCGTCAACTAGTCGACAATGACCCCGATGAATGAGCACAAGCTCATCCTAGATACCACAGGTAGATACAGAATCGGACTGTAACTCCCACGCTTCAAAGAGGACCGCATATCCGTACTGTATGTTAAGCCAGGAGAAGGCGTGCTGCCGGAATACCCGAATGCCTTTTCGTTTCACGTAACTATACTGCATACTTGCAACATAGCAAGCCCCATTGACTACCGAATCTGTAAAATAAGTATACGTCAAGGCACATAAATGTTATACGTAAGTATTACCGTCATAGATCCATTAGTCTAACTCTGGCTCATTTCCGGATCTAATCTAATTGAACCGGTAGAAAAGGATCTACGGTACTTTTGACTCACTGTAAACCATGGCCTTATCTCATTTGTCTACAACACCACCTTTGGTATTTACACAATTGAAAGTCGAAAACATGTATTTACTATGAAATCACTGGCAAGAATACAATATGGGGATTTAAATCGTGGACCCTAGTTTCAGATTAGACCATAAATCCCCAGTTCACATGCCGCATGTGATTTATGGAGATCTTGGATACGGACTCTTCAGACATCGGAAGAGATCGGAGAACCTTAATCGTTTATCCCCCCCATCGAGTAATGCTCCATATTTCCGATCATCGTAATCAATAATCATACTGAATAGTTTTTGAATCTTTCCCGAATGCCGAAGAAGCATGCCTTGTGCTTACCTAGGTTATTAGGGTTATCCTGTCCCTTTAGACTCGGGGGTACGGAGTGACTGATTGGCTGGTCGCCTCGTGGATGATCGACGTCAATTCATAAGTTTTGAGGTGGTGTGACTCTTTTCCTATTCTCGAGTCTGGAGTTCTCTGGTTGCGATTAGGAGATAGTGCTCACTACGATGGCTTTTCAATAGAAACACTGAGATATTGAACCACTTTATGTTCATCAAATTGTGAATAGATAGCATCACTGAGCATCATGATGATAGAATAAGTATCAGAAAATAGAAAGACCACTTTCAGTGGAAATCAATCGTCGCTAAAGTAAAACAAGACAAACAACGCTAGTCAAATCAGTGCTGCTTCTGGTAACTCTGCTGCTTGGATCCTAAAATATCTTCCAAAAATCCGGTCCACAGCTCTCTTACAACACCGGGTTCCTTGGAACCGTTCTGGGACTTCAAGAGCTCTTCGCCGAAGCGGGATTTGCCAACCGTCTCGGTTAGCGAGAATGGGTCGATATCCACCGAGTTGTTGTCAACAACTTCAGCCATGGGGCTGACTGCGACATCGGCCCCGCCCCCGGAAATAGTGTGTACCTGGGGCTTCATGGGTGGGTTTGAGGGCTGGCTCGAGTTGTAGTTGGTGTAGACATCGGAAAGGATCGGAATGCGAGTATCGGCGGGGCGAGCAGGGGCATCAACCTCGTCCATGGACGGCAGGTATGCAAAATCCACAGTGGATGAGTCATTGACGGCCTTCAAGGCACGAGATGTATTGAATTGGCGGGTGGAAACAGATTGACTAGAGTGGGGAGTGATGTCAGCGTTGAGCCCTTTGTGCCGAGGTAAGAGAGCAGCTCGAGGTTTAAGCACTTACTCTGCTGCAGAGCTGCCATTGATTCTTCTCATGGCAATGCTGAAAGCACGGGATTGAAGGAAGTCATGGTTGGCAAGGCGCTCAACGAGCTGTATGGGGTGGAAGTGGTTAGTTCGGGTACGATGGGAAGCTATGCTCGAAACATTAGTGATACGTACCTCACTCTGGTTGCCGCTGGCTCCCAGTTTCCTCTTGTGGCACTCCCTCTGAAGGTCTGCCAAGCTGCGAGTAGCGTACAAAGACGTACGGTCCGGAACGTTGACAGGCTGTGCAGAATTGACACCGGTGATGTGCAGACTCCGGCGGACACAGGGTGTGGCAGTATGTTGCTGAGAGAGCAGGCGAAGGGCGCGCAAAGAAGTAGAGCGAGGAGCTGCCATTGCGAAAATAGTAGCGCAGTTAATGGATGTTATGTTCAAGAGAAGAAGAAGGTATGGGGTCTTAAAGCTGAGATGCCCGGAAGGGATATGGGTATGTAGATGCTATTCGAGTAGATAGTGTGAATTATAGAGTATGAAAGGATATAACGTAGGTAATATACGCCAGACGATTCAATAAGGAAACGAAAAGAAGGAATCCAAAAGTATTGGGTAGATGAGCAGGAACTGGAGAGAAGGAGGGAATGGAATGCAGTCGAGGAGAGCTCAGTACTTGTACTTCTGAATGTTTGCAGGAACCGTTGGGGGGGGGGAAGAGTGAGCTATCCACTTTCACCCTTCCGGTGGACGCAGACTGGACTGGGGCGGTCTGGCCAAGTCGACGGGTTGCTAATAGTAGTAACCCACCAAATTCCCCGACTAAATGGATCGATCGATGGTGTCGCCTGGGCGGACACAAAACTGGGTATGTATTAATGTAATTAACGAAACACAACGGACTATTTTTCTTATTTCTCCAATAGTGTTCAGATCTACTCGTCGCACTCAAGCAGATCTTCTCGCTTAAACAACTGTATCATAATAAAATCAAATAAAATAAAAAAAGAGAAAATAATCCAAAAGGAGGGTAGAGGTGGGGTAAAATGCGAAAATTAAAAAAAGAAAGAAAGAAAAAGTAATGATGGTTGGTTCCATACATTACATATCAGGTCTTCAGCAGGATAAGAGTCAAGTATCAAAGTATGGGGTACACTCAACGCATCCGTGGACCTCAAGGACCGGATGTACAAGCATGCATATTCCCCGGCGCTACGGGTGGTAAAACAGCCAATAGATCAGGCAATCCAGGAATTTCTATGACTACGACTCGCTACACCGGGGGGAATGGTCAGTTGATGATCACGAAAACGCTTGCCCGTCCCGGAACCTGTGGCCATTAGACATTGGTCAACCCTTGGTGCATCGAAGCTTGATGCACCGGTCTGCCCTGAGTTTCCCCTCTCTTCCCTCGTGCTTTTCAATAATCTGTTTTGAATTATTAAAATGATTTCTAACTGACTTTAGAACACATCAGAGGGGTCTAGCGTGGTGTATAGAACCAATCCAATCACTTCCTCTCTTCTTTCGAAACAGAAAATTCCATGTCACCACCATGACTCCACCAGGTAGGTACTACTTGTTGCGATCTTCCAGCAGTGGGGCTGGATAGACTACTACTAAATTTGTCGCCTTGCCCTCGCGAGGCACGCCAGGTGGTGCTACAAGTAGTGGTGAACTCATGGGTGGACGACGTGAGAGAGTCCTCAGCCAAAAATATGACACAGAGACAGCGTAAGCGGACAAACGAAAGTGGTGTGGTAATACTAGTAACAGCAGCCCTACGATAGGACGGCACAACATTGGATGTTCTCTATTGCTACCTACTATCTCATGTAGTATGCAGTTTGTTTTGCAATGAGTACAGAGTAGAGTCAGTGACGCAATTGATTCGTGAGGACAAATACCGCGGGGAAGTCAGTACCGTCCATACGGAGTACGGAGTACATAAATTACGATTAGTATTTCCCGGATGATAAGCGGACGGATCAATGACGAAGCTTCCATAATATTACCGAGTTGGGAGGATTCTTACCCTTTACAGGAAGAGTAAATGAATCCCGTCGTCCGCATGATTCACAATAGTCCATCTTAATTTCTAATCCCGCATTATTTCTCTCAACTGTTGAGAGTTTGAGACTCAGGCGAGAGGCGGTGAAGTGGGGATCCAAGCGACCTTGTTGTCGATCGGAGTTGGCCCCATTTTCCGGGAGGCATTTTCATTCCAGAATTAGTCTAAACGACACGATTATTATGGGGACATGACCAAAGGTACTGTGTAAAGCATAGACTGGGATTCAAGATACCGCGTTGAGGAGAAAACGGGTGGAAACATTGGGGCAGGATCGAAGGTACGCAGTAATTCGCAGTATTGTAGGCAGTAGGATTAAACTTACGCAGTACTTTAGGGGCTGGGATTCAAGATGCACTGTAGTATAGGGAATGATCGACCCCTGTTTTGCATGCCATCCCATTGGGGGAGAGTCACGAGAACAAGAAATTCAATGCCCCGTAATATGTTAATTGAATGAAGTAATTGATTTTATGTCTAACCCAAATTTTTTTTTTCTTTTCTTTTCTTTTTCTTTTTGGTTTTCTTTGATTTAATTTACCCAACTCTGGTCCTCACCTTACCAAATGATGATGATGATACACCCCAGTCACCTCCCTGTACTATATATGTAACCTTCCACTTTCAGTCTTCGGTGATGTGGTCAATATAAACACGATAACGGGTATCTCATCTTCCTCCCAGGTCCGCTACTCTCACATTGTTTCTTGCGCCTTTAATGCCTCTGATTGGAGGCTCGACCAGGTAAAGCATATGTAGTACTATGGCGTAAATTATTATCACGTGCCGTATTTCTCATCCCACGTATACTTTTGATATGTCACCGCTAAATTATTGAAACACCTTAACGATCTTGATAGCCATTTATCTACGTACTCTTAACACACGGGCCGCTTTGGGTATATCTGCATCTTATCAAACCTACAGACTGCGATCGAGTAAGAATATCATAGACCAATAGGAGACCAATACATGAACGTGATTAAGTTCTAATCCAACAATCATGTGCCCGCGCTGATCGAAATACTCGAAGACAAGCTTTTCATATTTTTTAGTGGGTATATACAACTCTGTGGGTATTCCACAGCTGTTCAGAGCTTGGAGGAGTGCAATGAACGTCGCCCTTTGGCAACTTTTCGTGCATATGGGTGCTGGCGGGATTCGGGAACCAGATGGTCAATGTCAGCTGTATGAACTAGATGTGGGCCGGCTTCGTCTAGTGTGGTAATCCCATTGTTGCGCATAGCTGTTTCTAACTCGTCCTTAATGACTAAGGTATGGTAAGCGATGACTAGAGACAAAGTCTAAAGGGGACGAGGCTCATCACTTACTCTCTATCAAGTGCTCGACACCCTCCTGACCATAGTTAGTAGCGAACAGCATACTACGCCCCATGCCCACTGCAGTTGCGCCCAAACAGATAGCCTTCAAGATGTCGGTCCCGCGTCTAATCCCACTGTCCACGTAAATCTCCATCTTGTCAAAGATTTCAGGACAGCGCTTCTGTAATTCGAGAAGCGTAATGATCGATGGAGGGCTAGTGTCAAGGTTCCGCCCTCCATGGTTGCTAAGTAAAATACCGTCGAGGCCGGCTTCCATAGCCAACATGGCATCGTCTGCAGACATCACGCCTTTTAGACAAACAGGAAGGTGTGTATGCTGCCGTACCCACATTAAGTCTTCCCAAGTCAGTCCAGGGTCGATGAAACCGGCCATCACACGTCCCAGCCCACCTCCTTTGTTGTCATTCTTCGCTTTGGATGGAGCCATTGGTACGGATAAGCCTTCATCGGCCTTGACACGTTCGTCTGCTTCTCTTTTACCCGGCCAAGCCGCATCAACCGTCACGAAGATGGCTTTCACGTTAGTATTTGCCGAACATTGACGGAGGAGCGCAGCTGACTTTTCACGATCTCGGTTGACATATAATTGGAAAAAGAAGCTCGCCGAAGGTGCGGTGTCTCTAAGCTCTTCCATTGTGTACGAGGAGTTATTGGAGATCTGATAGACTCGTTAGACGGAGAATAACAGATAGGGGAGTTTACCGAGCTCACTCCTTGCATAATACCTTTGTTCCCACAAGCTCTAGCAATAGCGCACTCGCCATCGGGATGAATGAGCTTTGCCATAGCTGCAGGACTCACAAATAATGGCAAACTGCTGTCGACCCCAAGAATTTTAGTCTTCGTATCTACTGATCGGACATTCCTCAGCACCCGTGGCCGGAACCAGATTCGGTCGAAGCAAGACTTATTGGCGTCCCGGGTGATAAGATCTGTTGCGGCACTGGAGTAAAACGCCCATGTCTTCTTACTGGCAGTCTTTGACGCCACGAGCTCAAAATCGTGCGAATTGATTAAGGTATGCAATGGCGGCTTCTCATGGTCATGGACAACTTTGGGATTCTCAGTAGGTGGTTGCTTGGCCCATTCGTCATCGATCGTGGACTCATCCAGCACACCCATATGCTTTTCTTGGGGTAAGTTCGCTGCCAAAACGCTTGGAGCATGAACTTCCGAATAAGCCTTGGTGGCATCGCGACCTGCATATTTCAGGATGACTGCATAATTAATGCGACCGTGTTAATATCTGTAGTGTTTAAGTGTGGATGTATGTCTCACTCGAAGATCCTCCAGGATGTTCTTCCAAGAATTCTGTCACATCCCACACCTGTTTGTCGACAACAATCCAACAATCCTGCACTGCATTGTGCTCTGAGATTTGCCGAACAGACAGAAGTGCCTTGTCTGCCATTGTAGAAAGAATGTGGGGGTTGAACTATGAATGCCGACGATTGTTTACAATGTCAGAAAAGAGGGCGATTTAATGATCAGATGATAGAAGTCGCATTTTGCGCAATGCTTGCATATAAGTATTATACTTATACAGCCTAGGCCTCAATAAAACGGGGAAGCGCCGAAGTAAAGAATAGAATGCGTTGTTATCGATGGTGTAGAATCAGTGGTAACAGGGCACCTCCGCAGAACTATCGCAGAAATGCGGAGAACGTAACAAATGAAAGGCTCCACAGCGGCCATCGTCCCGAACGCCCGGGTTAGAAGAACCCGACCTTCTCAGCGCAGAATACAGCTTCGGTATGTATACGGGCGCAGACAAAGTCCCTTGTAGCCTAAGCATGTACAATACATACAAATGGCATAGAATGCGCTGTCAATCTCCTATGGAGACAACATGTCGCAATGAGTTGGTATCTCCATGGATGTTCCCTGTAGTAACCAGAAAAGTAACAGAATCCAATGAGGAACAATGAATTAACAAGTGAATCGGAGGAGCACCGAGATCAGTCACTGATCATTCGGACACTTCTCCGCATCCCTAAGATCAAATGACTCAGCATAGTCACTAGCCACGGAGGCGCAGCACTTATGTGGCTGATGGTGGGCTGCTGTTGCCAAGAGGTCCAGCACCGAAATTGTCTCGCGGATATCGAAAGGAATGGGGACCGTTTCAATAAAGAAGCTGTGAGGGCAACAGGAAAAGAGTATCATTGCTTTCTGATGCGTGTGGCTTTTGGCGTAGAAAACGTTTCCAGGATACTTGGGAATAGTAATACACCCTTCTCAATTTGTGTAAGATCCAAAGGAACCTGCACCGCTTTTTCCTTGCCTCGTTCTTGCCAGCAGCATAGTGGAGGTATGTTCAACACTGCCCAATGTCTACGAGTGTTCTGCCCCAGCCAAGGCTGAGTAGATTGTCGGTTTCTGTACCTATAACTCACTTGACACACAGTACCTTGCAGTAAACCTTTTGTGTCCCAAGTTTCTCGCTGTTTTATTCTCGGCAGAAAAGCATTCTCTACAGGGTCAACCAAATATTTAGCTGCAGCCAAGATGGGTGACACCAGTAAACCCCTAAGATATGTCGACGTGAGTTTTCTTACTCTTTCATATATCAACGTCTCAAGAGCTGATAAGAGGGAACCTTTGTGTAACCAGATTGGGATCAATTTTAGTGATCCTGTTTTCAGGGGAGAGTACCATGGAAGGCAGGTCCATGAAAGTGACTTGGACGACATTATCCAGCGTGCTCGCGAAGTAGGCTGTGAAAAGTTCATGGTTACGGGTTCTGATGTAGAAGAGTCCCGGCGTGCTATCGAAATTTCCCAGAATTATCGTAAGTAATACTGCTTTCTATACCCTTTTCTCTCCTTCCCTCAGGTTTTCTTTTTCATTTTCATTTTTTTCCTTTATTTTTTTTACCCCAACTTGTGCAACCCATCTAGTCTAATAACGTTTGGCCCTAACTGACAAGTCCCGTGAACAGCTGGATTTTGCTATGCCACAGTTGGTGTTCATCCCTGTCAGGCGAAGCTCTTTGATGCATTTCCGGGTGGTCCGTCGAAAATGCTTGACGAACTGAGATCCCTTGCACTTGAATCAAAAAAATCTGGATACGCAGTTGCGTTCGGTGAAATAGGTCTCGATTATGATAGATTGTTCCTGAGCGCAAAAGAACCTCAATTGAAATATTTCGAAGCCCAGCTGGATCTCGCGGTAGAGATACAACTACCTCTCTTCCTCCATTCCCGAGCTGCTAGCGATGACTTTGAGCGGTTACTGGCACCCAGACTCGAGAAGCTTCCCAAGAAGGGTCTCGTTCACAGTTTTACCGGGACTATGGAGGAGATGCAACGTATGGTGGCCCTCGGTTTGGACGTTGGTGTCAACGGTTGCAGTTTAAAGACGGAAGAGAACCTGGAGGTGGTGAAGGCTATACCTCTGGAACGACTTCAAATAGAAACGGATGGCCCGTGGGTAAGCAAACAGCTTCTTTCCAACCATTTGCCTGGACTTCATTGTTGACAGGACTTTCTTCTAGTGCGAAATCCGCCCGTCTCACGCATCCTCCAAATACCTAGAAGGTGCACCGACGCTACCAAAGGCTGTCAAAAAAGAGAAATGGCAAAAGGGTTGTATGGTTAAGGGTCGCAACGAGCCTATTGCTATCGCCCATGTCGCTCACGTCATTGCCATGGTTAAGGGCATCACTGTTGAGGAAGTTTGCGAAGCGTGAGCATTCCCCCAGATTGAATAGCCCCCCATCCATAGATTGCTAATCCTGCGCGTTCTAGTGCCTGGAACAATTCCGTTAGGATGTTTGGACTTGGAGAAGGAACATCGTAGCTCGATCTTTATCTTTTCCAAAGACAATGCTCTACTCAAACTTGTCTTTTGAACTTATCTTGATAGCTTGATAGACCCGGACTTCGGAATCCCCTTGCTAGAGTCTAACCATTCTTGCTTTGCTGTGATGATCATAGATAGATGAGTCTGGAATTTGTCGTTACTTTACGGATCCCCGGATCTCCCCGAAAAGACACAGGGTCCCAACCATGGTTCAAAAGGGCTTTCAGGGCTGCACCTGGACCTGGAGCCGCCTATTGAGCACGAAACAAGCGAAAAAGAAAAAGGAAAAAAAACTTAGACTAATGACCACTCTACTTCACGGCGTTGCTTCGGAATTAGGAGTACCACAAGAGACCCAGCGGCCGCCCTTTGCACTTAAAGCTTCCCGTCACGGAAGTGGATAATCATACCGCTTTGTCCATCAATAAATCAGTCCCCCAGTATTATTTTCTTGCAAAACTGGGGTTCTTTTGTTCCTTTTTAAAAAGCCGGTTGCTTCCTGGTAGTGAACTTTGACGGCAAAGGTCTACAAGAGCAACTTTTCTGCTCCTTCTTTTTTCCATCAGCTCACCGCCCCGAAGCTGCAAAAGTGCAACAGTCTTGTTTCTTTCTCCACTCCCCTAGACTGTTGGATTGCTCTCTCAAAACTCCCTTGTTCCTTGCTCGTCCTAGCCTAACAGCTCTTTCGACTATAAACTCGTCAAAATGTTTGTCTCGCAAAGATTTTCGTCTGTCTGAAACTCTCGAGACAGACTTCTTCAAGTCTCTCTCAAGTTTTATAGACCACCCCGTCATTTTTAGCTGGACGACTTCTCAGCACCTTCTAAGCTGAGAATAGGCCTTTCCTCCGTTCAAAATTGGTTGGAAGACTAGAGGGTCTTGCTTACTGTCCTTGCGTGCTGGTTCCTCCGCCCGGGGATATCAGCCCCTTCTATATTCCAAGGCCCTCGAGGCATACAGCTACCTGCCGTGTTATTCCATAAACATGGCTAACATGGCCATGGTTATCCCCTTGGCGCAGAAAACCTCCAGCAGTTCTCTTGTCGGTCAAAATGGTGAGCGTCTTCCTACTGAATCAACTATGAGGGTTCTCTATCGATACCCACTTTCTGTATTGCTTTCAAGCTGACGCACGTCAGGTTTTGTGACAGAAAGAGCACATCTTAAAGGTTCGTTGGCAGAATCCGAGCCAGTGTACTCTGAATTACCCCCGAACTTTGGGGAGGTTGTGGAAGGAATCTATCGCAGCGCGTTTCCCAGTCCTTGGAATCTTCCCGCGCTCGAGAACCTGGGTCTAAAGACTATAATGTCAGTAGCATTTTCATACGTCGCGTGGGCTATGTGTTAACATGCTACGTAGCACTCTCGTCGAAGAACCGTACGGTGTGAGTCATATGAGTTTTCTTCGCGAGAATGGGATCGCGCACTTTCGCGTTATCGTCCAAGCAAACAAGGATCCCGAAGAGAAGACCCCTGATCATGTAATCAATGGTATCCTTGAAATTCTCCTCAACAAGGTCAACCATCCGATTCTTGTTCATTGCAACAAGGGAAAGGTATGTGGAGGTTGGTTTTTTTTTTTTTTTCTTTTCTGCGTTATGTATCTGCTCTAACTGATCATTTATAGCATCGCACTGGCTGCGTAGTGGCCTGCTTCCGAAAGGTTCAAGGTTGGAATTTGCGCGATGTTCTTGACGAATATTTAAGTTACTCCTGGCCAAAATCTAGAGCTCTGGACGAAAGGTTTATCGAAGCGTTCGACGCAACCAAACTCGACCAGGTGGCCAAGGATTCTGGTGCTAAAATGTGGAAGCCCACAGGTAACCACAGAAATCCAGATCACCATGCGTTGCGTTCCACATTTTGACGGGCATCTCAGTTGCCCGAACCTGTTAACCATCACGACTTATGACAGCTTGCTACCTCGAGAGAGATTTACGGGATTTTTACAAAGGTCAATGCATTTACAGGGATTAAAGAGCGCACGTTTTGAGGGTTATTGTGCATTAATAGAGCAATTGCTTTATATTTGCTATATCTGATGTCCCACCCACTTGATGCTTGTCAGTCAACCCCCTGGCGTTCAATTTTCTATACTGGACTTTTTTTTTTCGCACATCCATGGCATTTTCTATTGCTTTCTAATGCTACGTGTGTTTCACCATGACCATTAGATGTTTGAGCTAGGAAGTGCCATGCGTACTACTCCACTCACATGAAGTGGACATGTCCACCGTATACACATGTTGCTAACATGTGGATCATCAGCTAACGGTTTTCGGGTCGCTGGTTGCTTTCTTACCTTTTCCCTTCTAGTATATACATAGCACATTATTGTAAATACTCACTACTTTGCTTCTTTATCTCTTTACTTTTATCTTTGGCTATCTTCTACAGCCTATAGTAGCTCGCGTAGACTCTTCGTATAATATATACGATAAACATTACACTATCAGATCAAACTAGGATGTCTTCACAACTGGTCGCACAACATATCATCGCTCTCTTTACCATCAGATCCCTCTACTTCGATGACAGGGGGTATACATGATATGTAGCCATCGAATTGATCCCACGCAAGCATTTCATCGCTTAGCGGATCTACGTATAATGAGTTTCCGGCCGATACACATTGCCTGCCGCGATCGGTTTCCCAGGAGGAATTTGGAGTTGTATGGCTATACTCCAAGCAATCAAGTTGGCTATTCTGACTTTCCATGATATCAGAGTAAACCGATGTATTCTCCCCATGCGACAATAAAATGCTTATTCCATCTGGTCTGTATGATTCGATATCTTCATTGGTGCCTCGATAGAAGTCTAATGTTTCTGTTTCGTGGAGGTCCCAGTCGTCGTGGAATTGGATGTTCTCTTCGATGTATTCTTTGGTTGCGGCGTCTCCCTGAAGTGGAGACATGTTGCAGGGCCTAGGCGTAGGCCATAATGGGCTTAGCTTTTGCGAAGCTTCGGGTTTATAGAGTCCTTTCTGGGCGATGCACCAAAGGGACGTCATTATTATGGTTTTCAGGTCCATTACATCAGGCACGGTAGATAAGCCCTCAAGCCGATGGCGTTGTGATACCTCAAGGGCAGCAGCTTTGTCTTGTAGCGATTTGTTTCGTGTAGACTTTAAGATAGAACACATGGATTTGGCAATCAGGGGTATCAGTTGCGATCGTTCATTCATGGCCTACAGATATATTAAGTCAGATCTATATGGTTGAGTACTTGGAGATTTTCGGTTGCTCACTTCGCGGTATCTAAGACTGAATACTGAAGGAGCAATTCGAGAAAGAGACTGTAACTTGCTCTTCAGCATTGGATATTTGTATATCCTGGGTGGATTGTCACACACGAGTGTGCTGAATCCGATGTTGAACAAGGATACGAACTCCAAGACTTGGCGGGCGTCGTTGGCCAGTAGTATACTTGCAGGGGCAGAAGAACCTTGAGAATATCCAACAACTTCGTCGACGCAATAAGGACTTTCCATGCGCGGCGTGACTCTGCTATTCCCAGGCGCTATAAATGGAGATATATATTGCAGGGGTTGGTAGCGGCGACTATATATCATCGAGATACTAAGCGCAGATATATGGAAAGCTGGAGTATATAAAGGAGGGACTGCATTGGCGAGGGACTTCAAGTTGACCAGGGCTGGTCGCTTTGATGTTTCGGCTGTTACAGACCCTCTAGGCCTTCTGCGCAATCCGAACGATAAACAAAAATTCGTAATGGTCTTTTCGGTCCAATGGTCACAGCTTTTGAAAAGAACCCCAAGACCTAGTTCCAACCAGCACTATGTAGGTTGTTAAACGAATATTCGCTCATCGCATCGAACCTTTCTCTGGGAATACCTGAGAGTTGCATAGCCCGTCCCCCATTTGAGAGGCAAAGACTGACAATGAACGACCCAAGTCCGATTCGGTGCTGACATGAATATTCAGTCTGAGCTCAGGCAGCTGGTCTACCCATATTGTACCAGAATAGAGTGCGCTATTGAGGTTTTCAACGGATCGCAGTCCTGTTGTACCCGCTGGGACGAGTATCTCCACTGAAGTATGCAGGGTAAGATCTAAATCAAATTTGGTAGAATAGAAAGTATCTGACCCCAAGTCGACCGTGTACGCCATTTTAGACGCCGACTTATGGTGTGGTCTGTTGCCCGCATCGTCGGCCAGGCCTTACAGAAAGGGTAAGCGTGCGGGTTACTACGAGTATTGAGTTCCTAAGGCGGAAACACCTGACATGGTAGCAATGCAAATAGTATAAATAAAGTCTGCGTAGTCCGTTTGGCGGGATCTACTAGCTTGAACTATACTTCAACGGCACTCAATAAATGTTACACCAGTAATCTGTTATATTCCCCAAGGGAAAATATCAGGAATCAAGAATACAAGAAAAAGAAGAAGTAGTAAGAGGAGGGAAAGACTGCCTATCCCTGTAAGACCATTTCTACCAAATTCGAGCGGGATATAATTCGTGGACGCAGGAGATAACCGAATAATCTTAACTTAGGCTTATTGTCTACTCCGAGTAATGATGGTCTATTGATTCTTGGGGGATCACGCTGATTGGATGGTGGCTATAAATAGTGGTACTAAGTAACGTTGCTTATCGATAAGGATCTCACGTGAAGCTCGCATGATTACCTGTCCCAAAGCATCATCCATGTGAATATATGATGACAAGAAGTCTCGCAAGCAGCAATGCCCAGAGATGAAGCTCAAGACCTGCTCCTGGTTGACCACAATGGAATTGACAGGCTGGAGTCTCAGTCCTTACTTCCAGGGTCTCCCAGTGAGGGGCGCGATGCGGTAACCCCTTTTGATACAACTCCCCATTCCCCGATCTCTCTTTCCACCCTGTCCGATGAAACACAGCATCAACGGCAATCCTCGTTCGCTCAGCCGGTGGCCGAAGGCCAACGGCGGACTCCCCGCACCTTGAATCGCGTTCGGTTTGACCTTGACGACGACACAGAAGACGAGCATCGATCGAATGGCTATCCTCGACACTCGGAAGACTCTTGGCTAGAGGAGGAAGACTACGCCCGCGGGGACAATACTCGGTCAGGAAGGAGTGTCACAGGGCAGACCATCCCTCTTCTGACAGATATAGAAGCCCCGAGTGTCACCCTTGCAACGTCCGAAGACTTTTTTCCCGAAGAGCACCTTGAGAATGCAAGGCCGAGGAGTGGAATGCGAATGGCTTTTATGAATATGGCGAACAGTATCATAGGAGCTGGCATCATCGGGCAGCCTTATGCACTGCGGCAGGCAGGAATGCTGATGGGCATAACACTCTTGGTTGCGCTTACAATCGCAGTGGACTGGACTATTCGATTGATAGTGATCAACTCCAAATTGAGCGGCGCGGATTCATACCAGGCAACTATGCAGCACTGCTTCGGGAAAAGCGGCCTAATTGCTATATCAATTGCTCAGTGGGCCTTTGCTTTCGGCGGTATGATCGCATTCTGTATCATTGTTGGGGATACCATACCGCACGTGCTCAGCTCATTGTTCCCTTCACTCCGAGATATGTCGTTTCTCTGGCTTCTTACCGACAGACGAGCAGTAATAGTCCTTCTTGTTCTGGGTATTTCTTACCCATTATCTCTATATCGGGATATTGCCAAGGTATGCTCCTCTCAGAGTTGCAATCACTAAACCTGACGATCATACAGCTGGCCAAAGCGTCTACTTTAGCTTTACTGAGTATGGTGGTCATTCTGGTCGCTGTGCTAACGCAGGGTTTCCGCGTCCCCTCGGAATCTCGGGGGGAGATGAAAAGCCTGTTGTTTGTTAACTCCGGCTTCTTCCAGGCTGTTGGAGTGATATCTTTCGGTAGGTCTCGAACTGCGCACAATGTCTGGAGCATTAACCTCGGTTTACTAATTGTGCATAGCTTTTGTCTGCCGTATGTAATTATAAGTCTGTCGAATCCCGCTTTAAAACTAATTGTACCAAAGACCACAACAGCCTCCTAATATATGGTTCGCTGAAGAAGCCAACTTTGGATCGCTTTGCAAGGGTGACACATTACTCCACCGGAGTGTCACTCGTGATGTGCCTGACTATGGGCATTTCGGGCTTTCTTTTCTTTGGCTCCCAAACTCAAGGAAACGTGCTCAATAACTTCCCATCTGATAATATTATGGTCAATATAGCACGATTGTAAGTATAACACTACATAAACCTAGCAAATCTACGGACGAGCTGACCTTAGAAGTTGCCTTGGCTTGAACATGCTCACGACTTTGCCATTGGAGGCTTTTGTATGCCGTGAAGTCATGACAACTTATTACTTTTCTGATGAGCCCTTCAACATGAATCGGCACATAATTTTCACGTCGGCACTGGTTGTGTCAGCTATGGCCATGGCTTTGATTACCTGCGACCTCGGAGCGGTATTCGAACTCATCGGGGCAACAAGTGCCGCCGCTCTTGCATACATCTTTCCTCCTCTGTGCTATATCAAGTTAAGCAATGCCTCTCGAAAGGCCAAGATACCCGCATATTTGTGTATTGTCTTTGGGATAACCGTCATGGGTGTTAGTCTACTGCAAGCAATTGCGAAAATGATCAGGAGTAAGTTGATAAATCTAAAGTAAGACCTTTTGAAATGAGATACTGATCCTGGAATACTACCATCATAGACGAGGGTGGTGTAGGTACTTGCAGTGCTTAGCCAGGCCACCACTAAGCCCATCCTCCCATGCTTATTCTAGGTCTGCCCTCCAAAAGATAATAGACTTTTCTGCTCATACCCTTCTTTAGGCTGGTGTAAATAGATATTTTCAGCATTCAGCATATACGGTGTACTTTTATGTTTAAGACTTGTACTAGGGAAAGCAAACAATATGCGTTGTAACAAAGAATATATTATCCAAAACAAACAGTCTGTATGTGTTTCGCTTCACGGGACTTCACTCTTTCCCGTTTCACTCTGCGTTTGCATCCAAGTTTGTCAGTAGCTCAAAATATGGGATTCAACCTTTCTCTGTCCCCCCAACAACAGTCCTTCTCTGTCTCTCTTCACCATCTCACATCTCACATTTTCATTTTCTCTTGTTTGTTTGTATTCCTTTACATGTTCGTGGGGTTCTTTGTTGTATGTATCTTTCCTCTTCAATCGGGGATAACACTGTTTACTATCACATACACTCACTTCTATTTTCTTCCTTTCTTCTCTTCTTCCTAAATCCGTTCACTGAGGATCCCATTGCCCCTCATTTTCTTCATATCCTGTATCGGTATCTACATCTGTTTACATATTGCATCACTTTCTTGCTTGCGTTGTCAGTGCCTGATCAGTGAAAGATGGATTCCGAGAAAGCAGAGCGGCTAAGCCGGCTCCAGATGGTGAGTTTCTCTGTGAATCCTTGTGTTTGTGCAATGGCCATATCATCCATACTCATCTCATTTATCAACAATAGGAAGATCTGGGAACCGCCAGGCGGGAACACATCTCTACCACAGATAGCAGGAAGGTAAAAAAGGCCCGTTTAGAAGATATCGAAGCCACCCGACTATCGAATCAGCCCGGGACGGAGGCTCAGCGTTTAGCTGAGCAGAATCGGCAACAGCTCACCGAATGGAAGAGTAAGTGGCCATATTGCCACACACTCAGGCGCCTAGCATCCCTATTGCTAATCAAAATGAAAGATGTATTCAAAAGGATAGGTGATACCGTGGACGTAGAGAGTCTCGATGAGCTCCTAAATGGCCAAAGTCACCGTCTTCAACTGAGGGCCGCTTTGCACGGATCTGGCAGCTATGACAGTGGAAAGTCTTTAAAGACGACGGACGACTACCCTAAGCTATCAGAAGCTTCACTCTCGGCGTCTACTAGGGGTTCTAGATCGCGAGGTCGAGGTCGCGGCATAGCTGGCACGAGAGGGCGTGGCGATGTGAGAGTCGTATCTGGCAGGTATAACTCAATCAAATTATATATTTGATAGATCAAGCTAATCCTGAGAAGAATCCCGTCTAGCACTTCTAATCGTGCTTCTGATTCTAAGCTAGGGCACCGCGCACATCAAGCTTCTGGAGCCTGCAGGACTTCACTAGACCCGGCTCTAGAAATAAACAACAGTGATTCTAACGGGAAAGGTTACGAGAAACAGGCCCAGGATAAGCCACCGTATCAGTTTGGGGGGAACAGAGGAAGTAAGCAGTTACTCGCACAGTTATACACAACACGACTAACCATTGTATACGATCTAGATGGCAATAGGAGTCAAATGCCAGCCGTTGTCAAAACTAGACGACCTATGTAAGTCATAGGCTAGTTTTAGTTTCCTCTTTCTGACATCAATCAGCAGGGACGGCCTACCAAGGCTTCTTAGCCCTCCTGAGTCTTTTCTAGCAGAAGCCAGAAAATTGCTCCAGAGGGTCTCAGAGGCCACACCTGCTGCTGCCCAGAATGAATCTAACCTCCATAGTACTCCTGTAACGGCCTCACCTTGCGAAAGCCGAACGGCACAGCCCAGCACCGCACAAAAAACCCCTCTGCCAAACAATAAAGCTGAGGCCGGTCATGATGAGCCAGCATTAATGACTACCCTTGCAATAGCACCCCAAGAAAATCGAATGCCCCAGCTGAGCACTGCCCAAGCCACTTCTAATCAAATCACCAGTGACATGCCTAATCAAAATCCAGAATCCACTAACGGTATCCCCACAACTACAAACAAGGATCAGTCGGCTTCGGAATCCGCCCTCAATAGAACTTCCTCGGAAGTTCTTCTTGATTTGAGTAGTACACCACCCACAAAGGACTCATTTCTAAGCGACAACAACCTAATAATGAGCCCTTCGCTCCAAGAGCTGGAGGGTCTGGAATTCATGCAGAGCTTAACAAATGCCCTTGGAAGCACATCGTCGCCCATTTTCCAGAGGCTTGACTGTGAGGAGCCCTCAAAGAATACAATCTTCGACGGGAAAAGCTCGGCTTTCCATCAAGCGGATGAAGATGGACCGTGTGATAAATTCCAGCGTGATATAGAAATGCTCTGTAAGCTAATGGCGTCAACATCACTTTCGGACAAGCATCGTGAAAGCTTGGAGGAATGCAAAGCGGAGCTCGAGGCAAAACTCCGGAATTTCCAGCGCACACCTCCGCTAATTCCAGCCACTTTAGAATCTTCAGCTGAAAGCCCTATTGATGGAGGGGGCGCTTTGCCTGTCTCAAAAAATCGAGACAGTCCTAGTCTACTAAGCCGCCTTAATGTGACGGCCGCCCCGTTCGTTCCAAGTAGACTCGATATGTCACCCACCCCCACTCGAGCACGAGCCAAATCCGTGTCATTCGCGGTACATCCGGGCCATATAATTGGTAACCACCTGCTGCCAGGTCGGCGTGAGCCTCAGGTTGCAGTACAGCCCAAGGAGACTCACATATTTGGTGATCACGTACTCCCTGGTAGACGTCAAGTGAGCGGTATGGCAAATTCCTTTCCTCATTCTTGATATATGGCAGCAGCTACTGAGATTGCAGCCTTTTAGAGTCGAGCAGCACTCAAATCAAGTTCAGTATCCCAAGGAAACGAACAGTGCTGCCAAGTTTGAAAATCCCGGGGTTTGGAGGGCTTGAGAACCCTGCTCTAGATTCACTCCACCCTCTTGGCGATACTCAACAGACACTTCTACATACAGGACCAGTAAACAAGGTTGTCCGAAAACCCAGTGCACCTGAAGATCAGTTGCAGCAGTCAATACACGCACCAAAGGAGAATAAAACCCCAGTAACTCGATCGGTTGGACAAGCCTTGGGTGGCCTTCAAGCTTCGATCTATGCGGTTCGTGAGGAAAGCAAGCCCATCCGTTGAGATGAAGATCTTCCGGGGAATGACCAGCGATCTGAGTTGCTTGAAGTAAGTATACTTTAGACCACTATCGGTTTGCTTCTCTGAAAAAGACTTTGCCTCCTGTTTAACTCGTTGGCTCCACGTACGCGATTCTCCTGTTATTCGAGGTAGTGTTTATGTGACCTTGAGTCTTCCCCTCGCCCCATGACTCCTTTCTCTCCGCTATCTAAATGTCTTTTCTTTTCTTTCCTTTGCCTACAGCATTGTTGTTCCTCTATACACTCTGGGAGCTATTTTATGTATAGTATTTCGGATTCTGAGAGTCGCCCTTTGCATATTCATCAAGAGGGCTAGTGGTCGTTCGATAAATTCATTGAAGCACATGCCTATCTGGGCATCGTAACACCCAAAAGGTTTCTCAGCTGTACATCCACTGGTTTTGTCTTCTGGGCAAGCTCTAAACTCTCAATCTGTCGTTAAAGCAATGTCTATTTGAGAAAAAATGATAGATATTGAATAATTGATGACGACCAATGGAATGTCCCCACCAGCTGGCACTCAAGGCATATCCTTTTTCGTTTCCTTGATATTCTCTTTTTCTCGTTTGAAGTCCCTACAGATACTCCAGACAACGTCATGCTCATGGCTTTTTAACAGACTACGTATAGTAAAGATGTGTGGTTCCCGTAGACATCTCAGCCACATACTTGTCTAAGGAGACACAGCTTGGTTGCTTTGAGCTAGGGTGCAGAGAATATAACAAATTAACATTCATCAACAAAATTCATTACATATGAACCCGGAGCTCCATTATCCGTTCCCCAATCCTGAACGCCATATATTTGAACTACCGATGAGATGGCCTCTAACGATGGAATGCCTGGAGGATCTCCGCGTAACTATGGCTACTCTATTCATGTTGCCCTGTAACTATACTGAATCCGATAAGCGTCCTATTGCTGTTGCTGCTGTTGTTGCTGTGGTAGAGGTCCCTCGTTAACCTTCGGCCTCTTAGTATCCATGGCACCACCGATGGGAGCAGGCCCGCTGCCGCCCAAAGTGGATGCATTAGTCACGTCACTCAAAGGAGGTCGTTTCCCGTTTAGATTCTGTGGCCCGACGCCCCTGTTTGCAGATGCAGCATTCGCAGCATTCTTGGGGTCGATGTTCGGTCTTGTTAACGGGCGGTAGGATGAGGTTGTTTGCGCTCGATTCATGGGACTGCCGATTCCGCTGGGGGCGCCAATTTTCCGATGCATATCTTGAGAAGGGTTGACATAGTCACGGGTGTTGTTGGCGGCGGGGGATACGCCGGCAAGCATAGGTTTGGAAATCGGAACACTCTTACTGTGGTCGACGCCCGCTGTCTTGCGAATGGATGGGCTTTCTGCGTGGGGGTCGAACGCCGGGGCAGCGTTAGCTTGTGGGTTGTCACGTAGGAGATCGACTGCTCGGGCTGAGAAGAATGATGCGGATGGCATCGGTGAGCTTCCAGGTGGGAGCAGGTCCTGGGATCTGGGATCGTGAGGATTAGGAACTTGTTCCCGTTTAATGGGCACCTGACCACCTGCGCCGGGCATGGCAGTGTCCTGGTTAGCTTTTGGTTGACCTGGTAGTATTCTTCCGCTTGGAAGGCTGTGTTGCGGGTTTTGAGCGAGTGGGGCAGGGTTTGGTCTGCCATTCAGAGCAGGAGGTAGTATCTGTCTAGAGGCAGCTGCCTGGTTCAGCGGTCTTTCTGGTTTGGATGGTGTAACAATGGCGGGATTGGGTCTTGCTGCAGCTAAGGGGTTATGCTGTTGAGGGCCCCTGTACGGGGCTGGGCCATTTTGACGGTTCATAGGTGTCGGTGGCTGTTGAAATCTCTGGGTATCTGGGCCTATTACTATTTCATCTGGGTTTCCAGTTGCGGCGACTCCAAAGTCCGCTTCGTCAAATAGGTCACCTGCGATCGTCAGCGAAATGTATACCAATGTAGCTTGATTTATCGTTGCGTACTTCCGAACTCTCCATCAGCATCAAAGGCATTATCGGCTAAGTTATTGCTGTTCTTTCCCGCATCAGTCGGGCGAGGGGGAAGATCATCATCCTCCTGCATCGGCTTCTGCTGAGCTGGTTCTTTCTTGATGGGTGCGAAATCAGGGTGTCGGTGAAGGTCGTCCACATCCCACCTCGCCTGAGAGCATGTTAGTACTTGGGCCTAGTCGACCCATAAACTATAGAAACACATACAGGCGCTGTCTTCACTTTTGTCACTTTCGATACGTAATCCTTATCATATATGCAATTGCCCAACACGTTGCCGAAGTTCCTCAATGTACGCTTCAAGGCATCTGTAGTTCCTTCTTTCTTTGCTTTTTCGAAGGCCGCAGCTTTCCCTTTACAGTTCTCAATGTGGCCGTACCCGATATCCTAACGTCATTCAAGGTGGTTAGCGTTTGGGAACATCGGGGACATATCATTCACGAAAACGAGTATACCTCATGGTACGTCCCATCTTTCAGAGTCACCCTCACTACAACAGACAGTCCCAAACTAATCTTCCCTGTATTTGGGCTCTCATCAACCTGTTATAACAAACAAGGGTTTTATCAGCTGTCCGATCTCGGGCACAGGCAACATAGATATATGCTTTTAGCAATAGAACATACGAAATCGATCTGAATTTGTTGTATCGAACTCGACCACCCATTAAAACCAAAGACCTCATTGGCAAGGTTAATGCATTTGTCTGCAGCCAGATAATGGACTCTCTGTCCCGCGGCGCCTGGCCTAGAGGAGATGTATTCGGGGCCTAATTTCTTATCGAGCCGTGCTTGTAGTGTGGCGATCTCCCGTGCTGTATATTCATTCATGCGGCGAGGACATTCCTCAAAGGGATTTGCTGATGTAGTGTCGGTCGTGTTGGGCATCATGATGCATGTCGGATTGCCTCGATGTTGGTCGCCAACACTAAGACGCGTTAGCTTGGATCGGGATTAACAGCAGCGGTAGCGTAGCACACTGGGTTGGCTCACGCGGGCATCATTAAAACATATATAAATGTTACACTATTTAAGAAAGAGTATCATTGGAATACACCGATACGTGTGGCATACACAGAGGGGGGTAATGAAGACAGGCTGAAGTCAATTGTGTAGCTCGACGCGTGACGGAATCCGACTGTCGCGATATCACGTGATAATAGATGTTATATTGTCAGGGACCAGACCCATCAGAATTTTGGCTATAGTTGGTTCGATAGATTCTCTCGTGGTATCAATGTTTTTCTTGCTAATACTATGCTCGACAAATGTTTACTCCTGTCCGTGGCCGAGACCTCCAACAAGAGCCATTCACTGGACTACGAGGCTTGCACTGGGCGTAAGGCCAAGGTCCTTTAGTGACTCCCCATAGTATTCAGAATCAAACACCTTTCTTGGGAAGGTCTGCAAGAAACTCTGCACGTCAATGCCGTCTTCCTGTTTGAGAGCCGCAGCAACCTCGAACAGCGTGGTCGTGACAGGAAGCGTCTTCAGAATGTTTCCCTTAGGGGTTTGGAATCTCAGACGAGTTTCGGTGTAGGCAGATGCGGGCTTCGATGTAGAAGGGCCCGAACTTGTGGCCAATGGAGCAGAAGCTGGTTCAGCTGGAGGTGCTACACCTGCTCGTTCTGCGCGCTCCCGCTCAGCCCTCCGTCGCCGCTCTTCTTTATCAGCCTCGATCTTCGCCTTGACACGTCGTTTCGCTTCGATATCTGCCTGCTTCTCCTGTTTCTTCTTCTCTGCTTCCTTCATCATTTGCTTCCTCTGGAGCTCCTCCTTCACATCTTGGGATTCTTTCGTGCTCTTTCGCCGAATTTCCTAATCGCAGAGTGGTTAGTAGATACTCCCCCAAAAGTAGTAAAGGGTGTCGCATTTTACTTCATTTCTCTTCTGGTCAATCTTATCCTGCGCAGACTGCACTGATCGCTTCGCTGCCAGCTTCTGTCTGAGATCTTCGAGTCTCGCCTTCTTTTCATCATCCGTGAGAGGCTTGAGTTCCTCCGTAGATTCAGAGAAATCCACATGCTGGGACTTAGAGGCATGAAATTCTGCTTGCGCATGGCTTCGAAATTTCTTTCCACATTCGTTGCAGACCAGGCTCCTAGCTTCCTCGCCCGGTTGGAGCTGAGGGCCCTCTTCCTCATCATCATTCTTGGACTCAGTCTTTATCTCCTCCAAAGATTTGTCTTGATTCGCTTCGAGCCATTCCAAAGCGCCCTGGACTGAGGAAGAAAAGCTTGTTGTTAGTGGATACCCGGAGAACAGCCAGTGGTAGTATGGCGGAACACCTACGGCCACCGCCATTGGTAACGGCCAACTCGGCTCGTTCCTTATCGAAGCCCATTTCAATGAGCTGGTCCAAATCTGAGGGAGCCATGGTAGTGTCGTGACAAGAGGTGTAGAGAGGTGTAGAGAGTAGAGAGATTCGAAGTGGGATTGAGTATGGATGGGGATCGGTTGGAGAAGAAGTGGGGCAGAACAAGGTACAACAAGATAGTCGTTATGTAGTGTGCCGACGTATGGGTGTAAATAGACCACTAGATATGCTCAGTATCCCAAGAGAAATAAAGGATAATGATTTTTGTGGAGAGCTATCAAATTGATGTTTGGTGTTGATGCTGTACACAGTAGTAAAGAAAGGTGTTCAAGTGACGTACTTATCGGAACCCGCTTGACTGTTATTACTCACCTTCGATACGGTACTGTATGTACGTACATACATAACATACCATAATACCATTGTTGACCACCTATATGGATGAATATCTTCTTAACAGATCAAACCAATCGATATTAGTCTACACTTTACCATGGCCATTCCACATAACTACCGTTTTTGGTACTAAAGGAACTCATCACCATCACCATACGAGGATATCGTCAAGGCAGAATACAGCTGTAGTATACTGGTCGAGACCGTTAAAAACCTAGAGACTCTTATGAAGCAGAACCCAATCTACAAGGCTGGCAAATTAGGCATTGCTACGGCTAACAGGGGTATGTCCTTCTCGTAACGAAGATTAACTCAAAAAATAATCAAGCTATAGTGTCCCAGGTATGGCTGTCCACATGTAGTGGGGAATCCGTCACGTTCCAAAGAGTTTAATCTCAGTATCTGTAGAATATCAAACTCAATGTAACAAAAAAGAGTACTAAGCATTCTAGTAGCGGCGAGTCCCAGCATCATATCTTGGGGTCGGTGTCTAGCTTCATAGGAAACTTCTTGACATCCCATTCTTCGGAGATACAATGCTGAAGAGCGGTCAGTCAGCAGACGTGGACATCTATCTAGAACGTTGAGTAATGCCTAAGGGAACTCGCTATGGCTTCCCTAATAAGTATAGTGACTAGTATGCATTGACCAGACGCAGACAGAGGAGTAATCTCGAGCAGATCACAATCTATGCAAAACATCCGTCACATGTATCGAATACCAACTACGAAGATTTGGGTCATATTTTTAGGGTCCGAGGATGTGAAGGAGTGGATCCCGCGGGATAGGGCCAGGCTTTCGAGAAAGACAAAAGAAAAAGGGGAGTCGGATGATTCCCCTCTTGCAATTGCTTCAGCTGTCGGTAAAGCAACGTTGTTCATAACAACCACGGAGATAGAGGAGAAACGCACTTCAGAATGCCAGATGTTCATAGATCCATAGGAGAGTACTGGACTTATCTCGGGAGACGAGGGGAACAAAGAGGATAAATAGTCCGTGATGACATCACCTGACTTCCACCCGCGGGATGGCTGAGTCAGCGCGGTCGGGGGCCAATTGGCGTCGTTGCGACAAGTCGAGTATTGCGCCTGAATAATAAACCAGCAGCATCACCATCGTACTACTTCCTACCTGACCAGACTAACTACATTGGTCATCTCTCAGCCTCCTAGATCATTTGTTGTCCGGCTGACTTGACCTCATCGGCTGCTCTATCACGCAGAAGTACATTCATTCTCCGTTGCTCGGAACCATTTATTAGTCCTAACCCTCCTTGTGTTTGCCTGCGCACTCGTGTCTTGTGCCTCCAAAATGTCTATCATTCTCGAGCCGCCCGAGTTGGCCTTCAAGCGTGAGTATACCTTTCGGGATTGGGCTCCTTCATCATTGACTCGGGGCTAAACAATTTGATCGCAGGCCCCTTCAATCGTGAAGTCTGCCAGATCCTACATCTCAATAATGAAAATCAGGAGCCTGTTGTTTTCAAGGTATGCGGAAGGACACTCCCCTGAGATCTCGATCGCACACTAAGAGTTGCTCGGTACTAGGTTAAAACGACCGCCCCGAAACAGTATGCAGTCGCTCTCTTCCCTACTTCATCTCTGCCTACAGTGATCGTGGTGTTTACTAACATGGATCAGCTACTGTGTTCGCCCCAACTCGGGACGGATAGAACCTGGAAAGAGCGTCGATGTCCAAGGTGGGTTCGGAAATCAACCCTATGATGTCGGAGACCTCATAATGTCTAACTATTATAAAAGTGTTACTACAGGCCATGAAAGAGGAGCCTGTCCCGGATGCCAAATGTAAGGACAAGTTCCTCGTCCAAACTGTCGCGGTAACTCGTGATATGGAGTTTGCGAACGTCACTTCTATCGTACGCCTCTCTTGATCGATATTTACGGATCAATACCCTAACGGTCTCATAGTTTGAGAAGGCTTCCAAGGCTTCAATCCAGGAGCGCAAGATCCGCGTGAACTGGTTGTCCGCGGAAGACTCTCCAACCGCCGAGCAGAAAGAGACGAACGGTGTTGTACGTTTCACATCATCGCCCAGCCTTTCGCATAGGTCACCCCAGGACTAATCGTTTATTTAGAATGTGCCGGATGACGAACCCCCTGCCTATACTTCTCCCGCTGCCAACTTCCAGACCCCTGCCGTAGGAGCTGCCAGCAAAGTCGCCAACGACACGTCACCAATCCCACCGCCAGATTTCAGCGATAAGCGAGACATCGCTACCCCACAGACGAATGAATCCAAGGCTTCCTCTGCAAAGGCAACCATTGCAAGCGCTATTCCAACCTCGGGTGAAGACCTAAGTGCGCAACTTGCCGAGGCTAAGGCGCAGATCCAGAAACTGAAAGACAGGCTGGCAGATCAGGGCTTGAGGCAAAGGAAGATCGGCGGCGAGACCGAAAAGTCAGCTGCGCCGGCGTTGCAACAACAGCACGCTCAATCTGTCGAGTCCGGAGTGCCGGTGCAAATGGTGGCTGGTTTGTGTCTGCTAAGTTTCTTGATTGCGTACTTTTTCTTCTAGTCGCCGATCTTTCCCTCTTTATCTTTTCTTTTCTTACTAATTCCACTTTTACCCCCCATGTTTCAATTATTTTGTTACAGATGAACTGTATTCCTTTTGAGTTGCTTCCGTGGCATCGTTCCTAGCCTCAACGCCCCCTTATATCGTTATTTCCCCAGTTGCACTCTACACCGCTGTTGCCTTATTCATACCTCTTGTCTGCGTTTTCGTTTCTACTTTTCTTTTTCTATCCTTTTCCTTTCCCTTTCCCGTTCCTTTACCTTTGATCTTCCTTTTCTTTCCGCCTTTTTTCTCTTTTCTATTGTTCCTCTATTACTTTCTTCGATTTCTTATATTCGACCATGACGACCAAAATGGACGCACAGAACAGCAATAGAAACAAATGTTAAAAAAACAATTTCCAATCATACGAGTAGTCCGACTTTCTATCATGTTTTAATAATTTCCACTTGCCTTATTGAAGCCCAAGCCTTGTCAAGTATTGTTAATATTGATTTAGTCAAGACAGACATCGTACGCTCGACTCCAGGTAATGCGCCAGGCCAATATGACCCTTGTGTGCTCCCTTTCACTTATATGTATTTCTACGGCCGCTTTATTCGAAATTAAAGAATCAAGTAAACATCGTCGGACGCCTAGTAACACCCATTCACTGAATAATTACACATGGTTTAGTCTACCCGACAGCAGGACCGTGGATATCATCTCTATTCTATAATCATCAACAGTATCCATAACCCAGTTAGTAAAATCAGCGATAGTACATATACAAATCAATTTTGAAGTTCGCTCTCCTTCCACCCATCTTCATTCTCCTCCGGCCCAGCCGACTCAGCCGAGATAGTCTCTCCGCTACGTCCGGACTTCCCGCCACCACCGACAATCCGGCCCCCCTGGGCTCTCTTAACCCGACACCACATCCCGACATTCTTGTCCAGAATGAACGTCCAGATAACCCAGACCCAGGAACGATGGCAAGGCAGCGGCTCGTAGAACTCGCTCGCGATGCGATGAAGCGCATGTAATCTTGTCCAAGGGATGGCGGGGAAATCGTGGTGTTCATTATGCAGACCGACGTTGTAAGTCAAGATGTTGAGTGGTCCATAGTAGGAGTATGTTTCGGGGGGAGGGAGGTTATCCAAGGGGTGGGGCTGTTTCTTTTCGGTGGATTTCGTCTTCTGCACTGTGATAGACTCCGTTCCGTGGTCGACCTTGGAGAAGAAGTAATGTTCTGCGATGAAGTGGCCTGCGCATGGATGGAGCGAGCCGGCGAGGAACGAGCTGAGGATGAGGTAGAAGAAAGGCTGTAGTGAACCGCCGCAGAATTTTGTGAGGGCGTAGTCGAAGGAGAGTTGGACGGTAAGATTTAGAGCGTGGATGTAGGTGAAGGGCGGGCTGTAGATGAACATAGGCCGGACGGCGTAGAAGAGGATCTGGAAAGTGCAGAAGAAGGCCTTGCCGAGGAGGGAGTCAAGGAGGAAGGCTTCAACCGCAGTTGGAAGATCGGTATCGAGGCCTGTGACGCCGAGAGACTTATGATGCGTTAGGTGGTAGGGCTAGTTTTATATTGTCAGTGACTAGTGGCTTCTGGCGGTTATACCCTGGACATGACATACCCGGAACGCGGCGCTGTAAGGCAGCCCAATAGGGAGATTGGCAAAAATCGCCAGCAGGCGATTACCCATTGGAGACCGGAAGGCCAGGTTATGAGAAATTTCATGGATGGCGAGGAAGAGATTCTGATTGGCGGTTGCTCCGATCAAGTATGCGGTTGCAAGGAACCGCCAGGACAGCATCGAGGTGTCCCGGAGTAGATACGCACAGCATATCTGGAGGGAGACAACGCCGAACACGACGTATTTGGTGAGAGGTTCGGGACCGCAGAGCTTGGTTACCTGTTATAGCGAACCCATGAGATTAGCGGTGCATGAGATGGAGCGGTGAAAGATGTTGAACGCACCTCTGGATGGGCCTTGATAATCGCTTGTCGTCTTGAACGGTGAGGCTCTTCCGTATATGTCCAAAAGAATTGGTCCTCAACTATAGACGACTCTGGCGGTGGAATTCGAACCGACTGCTGGTCATTCTGTGCATCGAGGGCCTTGTTCGCGGCGGACACGCGGAGATGCGGAGTATCGGTGGTCGCGACGGCAGAGGACATGATTAATGGGGGGCGGGGTGGGATAGGGAAAAGGTGATAGATTTACGCCATGGATCGAGAACGGGTAAAGAAGGGGAGAAAGAAGAGAAGGAGGCAATGGCAAAGCGACGATCCGAGTCTTCTGATTAATTGCAACGACAACGTGAGTCGGAGTGGATTGTTTCCACGTGGGGCCCTCCCGGCGCCACGGATGGTTGTGACTGGTCCGATCTACCACCTTGCCTATTCGGGAATTATGGTTTGATATCCTGGATCCATGGGTTGATCCAGTCCAGTGTATACCGAGTATACCGAGTATGTTCATGACCATTACTATTGATATCATTGGGTTTTTCTTGATCTCATAATGCTATAAGCAAAGTAACATATACAACATCCAATCAAACGCCCTGGTTTAGTAATCGTCTCCACGACTGATCACTTCCTTAACGTTGGGCCGGAGGACAATAGTCTGCATGATCAGTTAGTTGGAATTCTCAAGTTTCAGGTACAGCGGGGTGGTGCGGTCTTACATGTTCGTATTGGGCAGTGTAAGAGCCCTTGATATCGCAAAGTGGCGGGTAGTCCTGGACAATTCCGGACGAAACCAGGTTGTTCAACTACAAATATGTCAGCAAGCATTTCCTAAGGCCCAGAGAGCTTTATCGTCTTACTCCAAGAAGATATTTGTCCTGTCCAAGTCGGTCAAGATAACGACGGCAGAAAGGCAAAGTGCCGAAGTTCTTGTTGATCACATTCAACAGGTTCTTGGCCGAAGAAAGACGCAGAGGTACCGGAGAGGCATTAGGAACCAAGGCGTAGTGGGATGTTTCCATCTATTAGCAAGTTAGCTCCGTCTAGACTCACAGTATTTGCCCAGTAGCACGCTTACGTCTTCTCTCACGTAGCCCTTTCCGGTACTACCGAAGGTCTCAATGGCGAAAACTTCACCTTCCTCCATCTTGGTCTGATCACCACCCTTCACAATCGGAACACTCTTGCCTCCGTGGATGACGTGCTGGTCAATGTTGTGACCGTTGAGATTCCTAATACACTTCACGGGATGCATGGTCCCGTTGATTTCGACTTCATAACTTTCCATGGCCTCCTGGATGGCGGCACCAATATCGCTCATGCGGACGTCAATACCCGCTTCCTGCATGCAGTCATCAGCAAAAGTTCCATAAAATTAGGAAGTTGGAGGCATAGCAGCATACGCGAATTCCAGTATTGGTAGCATCCTTAACGGCCTCAAGCAATGGGTCGTAAACTGGGTCGAAAGCCACAGTAAAAGCACTGTCGACAATACGGCCGTTAATGTGCGCGCCGAAGTCGACCTTCATCACATCTCCCTGCTGCAACACCATCTTATTGCCCGCATTGGGTGTGTAGTGAGCGGCACAATGGTTGATGCTCAGGCCGCAGGGGAAACCCATACCACCCTTGAGGTTGTCACCTTCCTCAAGACCCTGGTGGCCAGTCAAAGCACGCACCGAATCCTCGATGCCCTCAGCAATCTCCGTCAAGGTCTGGCCCGGCTTGATGGTCTTCTGCGCATACTGACGGACCTGACGGTGCACCTCGGCACCCTGACGGTACTCCTGCAGGAAATCATTGTTCATGCGGTCGAGATAACGCTTTTCTTCGTTGGTCGTGCGGTACAAGTTATCATCCTTATACTCGACGATCTCGCCCTCAGGATACTGCTTGCCGGCGAAGAGTTGAGACAAAGGGACCCGCGGGGGCTCGCTCTGAACCTTGGCACCGCCCTTCTTCTTCTTCTTAGACTTGCGCTTCTTCTTTTTCTTGGCGGCTATACATCACCGGTTGTGGTCAGCGGGGTTCCGTCTTCCTTGACCGGGGGTATCTTGGTTGGTTTAGCACACCTCCGTTGGCTCCGCCTTCGGGAGCAGCGTTTCCTTCATCAGCGTCATCATCCGAGTCGTCCTCTGCCTCTCCGGCTTCTGCTTGACCCGCGGTAGGGGCGTCCGCTTTAGCGGCACCGCCCTGGCCGTTCACTGGGACAGGACATATCTTATCAGTTTAAGTGCGATCGTCACTGCAAGAACGGGGTAAGCACTTACGGTCAAGCTTCTGCAGATCCTCGCTAGCCTGAGCTGCCATTATCAAGAGGATTTGACACAAGAAAATCCGTTGGCGGGGTGCAAAAACCTGCGTTGGGTGGGCAGAGAAATCTGACGGCGGAAAAAAAAGAGGGGAGCGGCTGCTTTCGGTATTTAGTATTGAAGGGTTCCAATGCCAAGACGTAACTGCCTTCTTTACCTAGTATTATATACCCAGGCATACTGAGATACTCCCTCGCCACTGTAAAACTGCGAAAGAATCACTCTTGTCGTTCGTACTACTTGGTTACTCGATATTGATGTAATAGAGGACTCTGTATTCATCAAGTGGCTTGCTCTGTCGTGTAACTTTGTATTGTTTGGTTCGAGACTCAATACTAGATGGTCGCGTGCACAACTGGCTTTCATACCAACACTATGATAGATTTACCTTTATGTGTGTCTGTTGCACGTATGTATATATTTTCTTTAGTCCAGTTCTATTTATGATGTCAGTTACAGTACGGAGTGGTGCTGAGGAAACCCTGTGTTTTCCTAACAAAAGTCCAAGATACATACATGGGTGAAACACACGGTATTATCCAACTATCAACGATGCATCAAGATAGTAAGTAGAACGAATCCAACAGTTAAATAGCTAAATAAAGGAAATAATAAACATATTAATAGTAGTCAAACGCTAAATTAGCTTCTACATATGAAATGAACGTACATACCTTTAGCCCCTTCCTATAGATCGACTAAAGTTAGATTATCAGATAACAACCGATCAACCGATGACGCAGCACCTCCGATGAGCGGCGGAATTTCCTCACTTTCCTCCCATCCTTCCGCTCCCAATCTATATCCAATCCAACCAACTACCTATTGTTTCGCCTCCCAATCACCCGTGCCCTCTCTCCCAAGTGCAAGCCACCCCTATCCTCTATCATCAGGATCGAATGACAACCAAGACACGTCCAGAAACATGATATTTCCTCGCGTGAGGACCCCCGGCATTCGACTCCGGACCACTCATCCACACACGCAGCATTGGAACCACACCCATCCCACATCATACACCAGTACAACTTCGTTCTCGACATCGCCAACGAGGCGCGCAACGAGCCGTGAGCCGAATCACTATGAAGTCCTCGAAGTGCCCATAACGGCGTCACCAGCCGAGATCAAAAAGTGCGTATACCCCTCTATACCACCAGATCTCCTGGCCTCAGATACATATATATGCCAAGGGAAAACCACATTCACTTTACACACGGCCTCCAATCACAATTCCACTAATATCTACCAAAGAAAAAGGCTAACAGTAAAATTCCCAACTTAGAAACTTCTACGCCCTCTCCCTCCGCCACCACCCAGACCGCAACCGCAACGACCCAAAAGCCTCCTCACGCTTCGCCCGAATCTCCTCCGCCTACGAAATCCTCGGCAATCACACCAAACGCGCCGCCTACGACCGCGAACACGGAATCATTGCCCGCCACTCAACACACAGCACCGCAAATCCTGGCCAACATCCCATGGGCAGCTACAGTAGCTACAGTGCAAATCTGCACACAAAAGGGGCATCATACGCCGGATCGCGGCCAGCTAGCGGACTGAGTAAACGCCGGGGACAGTTCCGCGGGCCGCCACCCAGTTTCTATGCGCATGGGGGTTACGGGAATAGGAAGGCTCCTGGAGGAGCGTCGTCGTCATCAGCCGCGGGCGGCTGGAGCGAGCATGATCCTACAGCATTTATTTATCGAAACCCTGTGAATCATTTCAATGCGCCAGGGCATTATAAGACACAGTCAGCTGAGGATGCGAGACGGAAGGAGAGGCGGTCGAAGGAGATGGGTGCGGAGCTGAATGAGCAGTATATCGGAAGTCGCGGGGATTTTGCTGTGCGGTTTATTATCGTTTGCGGCATTCTGGTGGGCGCTGGTTCTATGACGGGTTTCATCCGTTGGCCTGGGGAACGGAGCACGAAGGCTAGCGGTAGTAAACCTCGGCGGAAAGAAGATTGAGTCGCATATATCCTATAGTTTAGTATATAGAAAGTGTTTTCTTCCCAATCGCTTATGTACAGTACCTTTAGGAGCTAGTGAGATGGATTCTTAACAGACTATATACCCCCAGGTTGAGTCGTGCACGGTCCTGGCTCCCCCGCAGCTGCGTTTCCCTTTGCTTTTTATAGTTCTCTCAGTAGGCCCGTTAAGGTGGATGGGGCATAATGCAGCCCGTGCTTATCGACTTTGGTTCGACTCACGGTCACCATATCCATCGCAGCGGATATGCTAGAACATGCTTGTCAAATCACCTGACGTTTGCTCTACAATGGAGGGACGATCGGTCCTAACTGATATACATTGATCATGGATAGATACGGTACACGATTAGTAAGGTTGGCATTTGATCACACTCGCCCGTTCCCAGCATATCCGCGGAGCCTCATATATATGCACCCATTCCGAGTACAGCTATATGACATCTAGAAAACAACTGAAGATAGAAAAGAGTCTAATATTATTCACAAATTACTATCCTCAAGCTAGCGGAACACGGTATTATAGGCGTGGAGAGATAGTACAGAGAGACTCGCTTAAGCCTCGAAGGTGAAGCTGGCACCGACCTTGTGGGCAGCCTGGTTCAGGTTCTGGGTATCGAAGGAAGCACCAAGGCCAAGGGTGACACCAGGGCGGAGCAGAACGTTGTAAGCCAGAGCGGCGACACCACGGTCGTTGATCTTGGCCTATTTTGTCATCAGTTAGCGCTGTTTCACCTCACGTAGACAAAAAAAAAAAAAATTTGCATACCTTGGCGAAGGAAGAGGGGTCGAGTCTGTACTTGCTGGCAACCTCAAGGCCGACGGAGTTGCCGGTCTTGGAGTCCCAGGTAGCCTTAGCACCAGCCTCAACCTGAGCGTTGACGCGGTGGTAGTAACTGGCGGCGAAGACAGACAGGTTGTTGCTGGCGGTGATGGCAGCGGAGTACTGGGGAACGCTGTAGCCAATGGCAGCGGAGTACTTGGTGATGGCAGCCTTCTGGACGTCGTAGCCACCCTCAGCACCAACAAGGAAGCCCTCGTGGCCGAGGACAGCGTCGAAGTTGGCGGAGGGGCCGTTCAGGAGGTCGAAGAAGGCACGGGCGTGCAGGTTGGGCTGCTTGAAGTGAAGGTTGACCTTAGCACCCTTGGACTGCTTGGAAGGCTGGTACTGGGTGAGGATCTCGGCCTTGAGGCCGTTGGCAATGTTGTTGTCGAGCTCGAGCTTGGTGTCGAGGGCGTTGGCAGTGGTCCATGCCTGGGTGAGGGTGAGGCCTGGGCGGGGACAGAATATTAGCAAGACTGCATGATGGCTAATCCTGGATGAAAGAAAGACTTTGATATGCTGAGACAAGCCTTGGCCGCATGAAAATGAAAACATGGACCGAGTGTCTCGCAATATTGGGCAATTGGGATTGGGTGGTTTGCGTATGCGACGTTTGCGTCTTTTGGGGCCTTTACCAGTGGGCTTGTCGACATACTTGGCCTCGAGCTATAGGATTAATCGGTTAGCATCATGTCCGGTGAGTTGACATCACTCATAAGATGCAAGTTGTGAGACTTACGGAGCCAGCGATGGGACCCTCGTGGGCGTTCTTGCCCTTCACGTTGAAGGTGACGCCATTGGGAGCCTTGGACTTGACCTCAAGGCTGGCTAAAAGAATACAAGTTAGCTTAGTTGCGCGCAAAATATATTCTGGCCATCAATTGTAGGCCGAATAACAAGACACATACCAGCGCTGGTGTGGTAGAAATCCTTGTTAAGGAGCTATTGCGCAGAATATTAGCACGAAAATCCTTCCCGGCAAGCTATTTGTTGTCGATTTTTGCAAATCAAAGGAATGCACAAGAGCATACATCGTTGGCCGCCTTGGCGATGTCAGAGAAAGAAGCAGGAGCAGACATTATGAATGTGAGAGGAGTTGTTAACGATAACGTGGGTATCGTAAAGGTAATATAAAGGTTGTAAGGGGACGGAAACGGTGAGGGGAGAAGAAGGGAGGAAAGCGATGGGGAAAAGCGAAGGTTGAAGGTTGAGTCCCAAACAACAAGGAAACCACGGGAAAAGCCGCTCTCTCTGATTGGCTGTTTCTCGGTTGCCGGTAAAAGCCGCTAAGTCCCGTGACGTTGATGCCTGGGGTGGACATGCCGTCATCTGCAACTGGACACTTTCAAGTTTTATCCAATGGCAGTAGTAGACACCTTCCATAAACTCATATTACTACTACTAGTACAGAGTAGTACTAGTACTAACATTACCCGTGACATGCCCCTCGTGCCATGAATCAACTAAAATAAAAACTAAATATTTTTACCTATAATAGAGCTACAACCTGAAAGAAGGCATGATTATACAAGAGCTAAGGGGAACAAGAGCAGTTTTGAAAGGGACTTCATAACCCTCCGCGCTGTTTGAGGCGGAAAAAAACACTTTTCGAGACACGTCTCTAATGCATGAGTCTATCCCAAATACCCGACATAAATTGCAAGCATAATTATTTAAACATTTACTCAACATGGTCGTACTTGGCGTTGTGAGTCGCAATAGCTCTGGTGTCAGACGTTAGCATCTGCCTTCTGAGGTAACAAACAGTCAAAGGGAGAGGCGACTCATTGCAAGCTTACCTTCCACTAGGGTCGGTCTGTTTCGACCATGTCGGCACCCAACGCTCAACAGTAGATGCGCAGTAAGGTGGGAAGTGCTCGTCGAACATCATACGGTACCAGTAACTGCTATGGTCAGCTCCTATTTCTCACTCATGACTCTGTCAGGTGCAGGACATACGCTTCCTTTGTATCAGGGATATCGTTGCCCCATTCGGGCTTGGGGTTCTTCATCATTTCATCAGTGACATGAAGTTCAGCATGGTCCTTCAGACCGTCGATCCAGCTGTAGCCAACGCCGTCGCTGAACTGCTCCTTCTGGCGCCAGAGGATCTTCTCGGGAAGGTATGGCTCGACATCGGGCTCATCGGTAGTGTCGAATGCTTTACGCAGGATGTACTTCTCAATGCGCCCCTTGGTGATCATCTTTTCCTGAGGATCAATGCCCATAGCAGTCTCAAGGAAGTTCTTGTCCAAGAAAGGCACACGGGCTTCCAGACCCCAAGCGGAGGTCGACTTGTTCGCTCTGAGACAGTCTGCCAGGTGCAGGGCCTTGACTCGTCTCACAGTCTCCTTGTGGAATTCTTCCTTGTTGGGGGCAGCGTGGAAGTAGAGGTAGCCACCGAAGATCTCGTCACTTCCCTCACCACTCAGAACCATCTTCACACCCATCGCCTTGATCTTGCGGCTGAGGAGATACATGGGGGTAGATGCACGGATGGTGGTCACATCATAAGTCTCCAGGTGGTAGATGACATCGGAAAGAGCGTTAATACCGTCCTCAACGGTGAAGGTGAAAGCGTGGTGCTTGGTTCCAAGGTACCTGGCCACCTCAAGGGCAGCCTCAGTATCGGGAGCACCGGGCAGACCGATGGAGAAGGAGTGCAGCTGTTGGAAAGTGGTGACGGTAGAGAGCTCGTTGCTGTCGTCAATGCCAACCAGATCGGATGAGCCCGTCTGGTTCTGGATGGCTACCTTGGCAGCCTCCTGCATGCGCAAAGTCTCACGCTGAGCAATGGAGGCGACCAAGCTGGAATCCAGACCACCGGACAGCAGAACACCGTAAGGAACTTCAGCCATCAGACGCTTCCGAACAGACTTCTCCAAGGTGTGACGGAGAACCTTAAGGTCGAGAGGAGTCGTGGGGACGGCAGTGGAATCCCACCACTTGGGCTCGAAATAGCGAGTCATAGAGCCGGTCTTCGAGTCGAAAATATGGCCAGGAGGGAAGGCCTCGATCTTATCGCAAACTGGGTGCAAGGACTTCAGCTCCGAAGCGAAGTAGATAGCCCCAGGGGTCTCCGAAGACCAGCCGATGTAGAAGCTAGTGACACCAATGGGATCGCGTGCCGCAACAACCCGGTCTTGCTTTCTGTCATAAAGAACCCAAGAGAACATGCCGTCAAGGTGCTTGGGGGCATCAAGACCATGTTCCATGTACTGAACTCGTCAGCCTCCATCACGTCACTGTTTGCGGCTGTAATGGTCCTTTCGCACGTACCAATGGGATAACGACTTCGCAATCCGAATGTGTTTTGAAGTCATATTGGTTCTTCAGGTTCTTTCTGATAATACGGTGGTTGTAGATCTCTCCGTTGACGGCCAGAGCGAGGGAACCGTCTTCGTTCACAAGGGGCTGAGCACCAGAGTCTGAAAGGTCTTAGCAGGACACCTCGCTTGCGAAGCTTGGCAGGGCACATACCGACACCGACGATACACAGACGCTCGTGTGCAAGGACTGCGATGCGTTAGCTCCTAGTTCCCAGGTGGAGATTCCTTGTAGAATTGAAGTTGACTGACTGGTCTTATCAGCGATGTAGTTTCCGCCTGTTGTTTTCTCAGTATAGTATTCACCAAACCCTTCCACATTTATGACTCACTCCAATCGGGTCCACGATGGCGCACGCTGGCAACAAAATCAGTCTCGACTCTACTGTCTGGTTAAAGACTAGGAATACTTACGCCTTGGCCATGCGCAAAGCCGTAGGCTTAAATTTTTGCACATCAGGGTGGCTGCCGAGGGTAGCAACCGTTAGCGACTTTTGATCCGGGAATGACCCCCGTACCCGCTGCTAGGGTTTCGCGGGGGGGGAGGGATCAAGCAGAAGCAGTAGGGACCTACTTATAACACGCGAAGATGCCACACATGATGACGACGAGCAATTGGCTCACTAGAAAAAGCGACAAGCAGCAAGACGAGGAGAAGAAGAGAAGGAAGAGGAATTGCCACGCGTGCTTTCCGGGAAAAGTATAGGGTATGGGGAAGAGTGACTTTTTAAAATGCGATTTCCGGCGGGGCGGAATCGAGGGGCGATTTCGGCCACAATTTATTCAATCTTTTTTGACGGACGTGACTCACTGATAAGATAACCCGCTCTGGGTCTGGATCGGTGCCCTCCAATGACAGCTTGATTATTCCAGGACTACTCCCTTTTTCTTAAGGTTTTTCGTACGGTGCAAAACTGATCAGATACTACCTGTTCGTACCATGGGAGGTATTGGCGATTAATTGGACACGTCTGGAGCAGACCAATTCGACCCTTAAAAACCAATTCCTCCCCATCCATCAAGCGGATCATTCTACCCCACATACGGAGTACTAACTACGGAAGTGTCAGATCACCCGTTACAGGTAGAAATGACCCTGAGAGCACAGTGAATATACGATGCCAGAGAAGACCCAAAGAAATGGACGGGGTCAGAGAAGCAAAGAACAACGAAGCGATTCTAAAACGCCGTCCATAACCACCCGTTTTGTGAATGCTAAGACGCCACGCTCGCTAGAGGGAGTAAAGAAAACAAAATATCGTGATCATAAAAGCAAGAAAAGTGATGCGCGCATGCGCCACCAGTCATCACGGCCAGAGATATGCATAACACGTCATTCTAGCTTCTCATCCTTCCCCATCCCTTCACAAGAAACGAGAAAGACGCTGCATAGAATGAGATACCTAGTAACGTAAAATCTCTCCCACATGGCTATCTACCAGCCGCAAACATTCGCCTCAACTCGTAATGCGCCATAACCGCCTAAGAAGTTTGGCGAGGAAAGACGCCATATGGAAAGAAAGAAGTAAACCCCCGACAACTTAATCCGGTCTGTCGCAGAGTGGAAGGGTGGCTCAAAGCGTCGGGTTCTCCTTCACAACTTGTCTCACTCGTTTCTCGTATGCCGGGCGATCCTTCTTAAACAGGTTGTATGCTTCCGCCTGTGCAGGCGACTCCGGATTGGGGTCATCGAGCAGGTCCTGAATGCCGAGCAGAATCTGTTTAATGGTGATGGCAGGTTTCCAGGCTTCCTCTTCGTTCAAAATTGAGAGGCAGACGGTGCCTGAGGGGTAGACATTCGGGTGAAACAGAGGAGGGACGAATTTGCCTGTTGTAGTGATCATTAGCTTTCCGCCATGAGACCCAGCAGGGTGACCGCTGCTTTCCACTCCGCTCTGTTCTCAACAAAGGGCGAGAATACGTACACTTTGGAGGTTTAGTCGGGTATTCTTTACATAAACAGGTTAGTCAATACATTTCTGTCTTCGCGACATCGGGGAAGCAGACAACAACTTACCGTCTGGAAAAGTGACATCAAGCTTGAAAAGTCCTCCGTCCCAGAGGGTCTGTGCCTTTCCAGGGACACCACATTCCCAGCGCTTCAAATCCAACACACCCTGAGGGGTTCGATGAGGCTTCGCATAGAATCCAAAAGGGTGGTCACGTCGCCACTGCTTTCTGTACAGATGCACGATCGCAATCAGTATCTGAGAAAAGCCAACCTGAGGCAAGGCCGTAGCCAAGCGCCAAACGATTCTATTACATACCTTTCTTCCGTCAGGCGATTAATACAGAGAGACATCTTGAACGTTGGAGTGGCGCAAAAAGTAGCAACTAGTCGAATCTACCAGAGAATAAACAAGAGCCGAGTGAAGAGTGGGCAAGCTGGATTAGCTGTAGAAAGAACTCTGCAGGGAGCGAGTGGGTAATAAAAGAAGTAAGAAGATGAAGAAAGGATAGAGATGAACAGGAAGGGAACACAAAAGTGGGAATGAGAGGCGCTGTCACCGAACCTGTGGAAGTCCGTGAATGTCCCAAAGTCCCTCTTAGAAGCCCATCGGCTTGATGCCCCACAGCCAATCGCTGGCCGGCCCTGCTGAGATTGATCTGGGTCACCTGACCACCACGTATTAGTACATGCATAACAGAAGTGATAACAGCAGGAGATTGCCAATGCCATATCTATTGATCTATAAAGAGCTCGGATTTTACACACAAAACCAACATCGCTGTTCATTATTGTCAATGCTTCTACCCAATAATCGTGACTCAGAACAAGGCAGGCGCCGTGCATATTGGCCGATACTAACCAAGCCCTATATCTCCATTTAAATCGATGTCACCAGTGTCATGCCCCAAGAAAAGCACTATATCCCATTGTCCGATGTTTTGAACTAGTGCTCTTATCAAACATATCGCAATGCGTAGGAAGCAAAGATAGAAGGAACCGCCTATGTGATGGGCAGGCTGGTTCCTATCAGTGAACCTAGTAGCAACACGGCTGAAGAGAGCTTTTGCCTTTATAAAAGCTGCAAAGCCTCAGGAGGCCCATTGGACTTGTTTGGCTGGTTTCTCTCTCTCTCGAGCCACCCTTCTCTGCTCTTGATACATGGTTATGATGTGCCAGGTGTTATTGAAGTATTGAAAGGAATCTGGTGTTTGGTGTTGGAGCAAATAAAATTAGATGCTTGTCGGTATCATTCATGGCCTCTATTCCTTTGTGTTTCTCATTCATATATTCCTTGCTCAAACTTCTGTGTGTCAAAGAACCGAGCTGTGATTGGATTCCCGTTGAATATTCGGCCCTCCAGAGCATTGACAGCCTGAAAAAAGGATGGATCAGTAAACAGGCATGCAAAACACCTGGTTAAGGACACTTACTCTTAGAGCAGATAGCTGATTGGTGAATTTGACAAATACCGGCACTGGAGGGGCCGAGCCGCGGGCAATGAAGACACGTTCGACATTTCCATACTGTTCAGGCTAGGTTAGAGTTGAATGATGGCACCATAGGTAGTAACCCACCTTTTCAGAACACTCGTCCCCGATCTCTTGCATCAAGCCCCCATCCTGGTCGCCTTCTAGTTCGGCGTCCACATCCATACCATCTAACATGCCCTTCAAGACAACGACCTCGCTCATCTGACCAAATTTCCCTTCATCTTCTTTCTTTCTCGCACCTCCAATGATTTTGCCCCTGCCAGCGGGCGTGGCGAAGCCACCACCCTCTGAGTCTGGCCGCTTTTTCTGTTTCTCGACCTTGACCTGCAATGGGTTGACGATACCCGATCCCGTTGCGCCCAAACCAGAGCCTTTTGTCCAACCATACTTTTCAAGCAGACGTTGAGCAAATCCTTTTTGTCCGGGCCGGAGTGAGCGCTGACCCTCCTCTTCACCTTCACCCTCACCTTCCACTGGCTGCTCCTGAGCGAAAACTTCCTCAAGCTCTGCTTCTGATGCGGGTATATCTGCCGGAGGGGCAGGTAAAGTATAGCGGACAGGTGCACGAGAAATAGTCGCAGAGGCAGGTTGCAGCGCTTCTAGCGGCCGTGGTTGTGGTGGCGGCGCAGATTCTGCTACAGGCTGGGCTCCAGCTGACATCTGAAGACGACGCAAATAAGCGTCTTCACCCATAAGTTCATCTGGAACAGGCGCTGAGGATGCCTCTGGGGGAGGAGGTGGTGGTGTATAGTCGGTCATGGCCGTATCGGCTGCGTTTGTCTGCAGTTGCGCACGCCGGGCAAATGCCTCCTCCCCGGAAGCAGCATCTGGTATGGCAGCAGGGGGGGCAGGAGGAGATTCTGCAGGCGGTGGGGGTGGGATATCGTTGAGGTTTGGAGGCGGTGCGAAGCTGCTCGGAGGAGCGAATTGTCCTATGACAGTTCAGCGGTAGAATCATTAACACTATAGGACAACACATACGGTGCATTGGCCTTCCATAGTCCTCATCACTATACGAATCTCGGCTCGGAGATCGCGCTATGCGATGTGCGTAGAGGCGATCTTTCCACTCGCGAACTTCGGCTATCTGCTCGTCGCTGTGCTTATATTCTTCGTAACTATTAGGCCGTGACGGGTCGTAGATATCGTCCCAGTCCTGAGCAAAGTCCCGCGTGTCCTTATTCTTCTTACGCTTTTTGCGCCCACCCCGCTGCCTTTTTGGTCCAGAATAGAAATCATTGGCATCATCCTCTTCGGTATTAGCCCAGTCTGCAAGGGTAGTCTTAGAAGCCGCTGCAGGTGCGGGAACAGGGGCTGCCTTCGGTAAAGCTGGTTTCGGTTTTGGCTTCTGTGCAGATAGTTGTGGTCTTTTCGTAGGTTGAAATCGGAGAGAAGCTGATCGCCAAAACCAGAAGAACAAAGGACAAGTGAGCAATCAGATCACAAATGATAATACATGAAACTGTCCGTCATGAGAAGGGTTATGGTCTACCGGCATTGAGTTGCTGTTTCTTGGCAGCTGATTCATCTGGCTGCGACTCGCCTTCGGAGGCTTGCTTGAAGACGACCGGGGCGCGAGAAATCGTCCCGGGGGAGTTATCGGCGGATGGATCGAGCAGATTTGCATAGAGCGAGAGCATGCCCCCGGGTTTAGAGGGGGTGTTCTCGGAAGCCATGCGTCTAGTTGGTGTTATAGACAAGTGAGCCGAATAAAGAGAGTGAAGATAATAGTGTCGGAGAAGTTGGAGACAAAGCACTATCATGCGGAGTACAGCTTGAGCAACTTGTTTGCATCTCATATCACTTGACATGTGGAGCACGTGGCTTAGTCATGCCAGGATCCCTAACGTATTCGGTAAACGACCCGCCACTGCAAACGACCCGCCACCTCACGCGTTTTCAACGCGCCTTAATTTCTTAGATGATTAAAACACCAGCCATACCACCAAAAATGCCTAAATCATCAAAATTACGCGTTGAACAGGAAGGTAGAATCCTACTGGCTATATCAGCTATAAAAAGCAATGAAATTAGTACTGTGAAAAGGGCAGCTGAGATTTTTAATATATCTTGTTCTACATTATGTAATTGCCTAAAAGGAGTCTCTTTTAAAAGTGAGCAATGTGCCAATAGTCATAAATTGACTACTAGTAAAGAGGAATCGCTTAAGAAATAGATTCTATTACTAGATAAATATAGAGTACTGCCTCGGCCTGTATATGTACGAGAAATGGCCAATATCTTGCTTTTAACCCGTGATACTACTTCCTCCCCTACTACTGTAGGGGAGAAATGGGTATATAACTTTACCAGGCGTACACCTGAGTTTAAATCCTGCTTTGTATATCGCTATAACTATTAGTGTACTAAAATAGAGGATCCTAAGATTCTAGATACTTAGTTTGAGCAGGTAAACAAGGTTATTCAGAAGTATAATATAGCTTCAAGTAATATCTACAATTTCGATAAAACAGGATTTGTAATAGGTCTAATAGCTTTAGCCAAAGTTATTACTAGATCTAATATACCAGACAAGCCATTTTTATTATAGCCAGGGAACCGGGAATAGATTACTGCTATAGAATATATATGTTCTAATAGCTGGGCTCTATTTCCCTGTATTATCTTCAAAGACAAGGTATATATTGAGACCTGGTACGAGGATGATAGAGTTCCTTCTGATTGGAGGATTGAGATTAGTCCTAATGGCTGGATAAGCAATGATATTGGCCTATGTTGGCTGTAGAATTATTTTATACCTCTTACTACCGGCTGATCTATGGGAAAATACTGTCTACTTATTCTAGATAGTTACGATAGTTATCTAATATCTCGATTCGATCAGATCTGCGCAGAAAATGATATTATACTAATCTGTATATCTGCGCACGCTTCTCATAAGCTTCGACCGCTTGATATTGCTATTTTCTTGTCTTTAAAACGCGTGTACGGAGATCTGATTTAATCTAAGATACGCTGCGGGCTTAATTATATTGATAAACTCGATTTTCTGAATGTATATCCTGAGGCCTATATAGAGGCCTTTACCAGCAGCAATATTTATAGTGCTTTTAGAGTTACTGGCCTAGTTTCTCTATTTTCTGAGTGTATTCTGTCTGAGCTGACAGTTCAGCTTAAGACTCCTACATCTCCGGGTAGTAGATCTAGCAGTCAAGGCAGCTCAGCACCTATAATACCTCATACAGTCAAGCAGCTGAATAAGTCAGAATCTAGCTTTAAAAGGCTGCTTAAAAATCGGTATTGCAGTTCTGATTCGCCTGTTAAAGCTCGCCTAAATTAAATAATAAAAGGCGCCGAACAAGCTTTCTATAATATAATGATATTAAAGTATTAACTTGATCAAAGTCAGGCTGAAAACAAAAGACAGACTAAAAAATGAAAGCGCTCTACTAAGTAGATTACTTTTGAAGAAGGTATATCAGTATCCGAAGCCCGAATTCTTATAGAGTGCCGAAATCAGGCAGATAAAGTTATACAGGTAGATAGAGCTCTATCTACTGAATCGGCTTTTAGGCGCGCTCTGCCTAGATATTCTGGCTGCAATGTATAGGGTCATAAAATTACACACTGCCCAAATCGATAGAACTACTCATTTTTGTATAGGAGTTTAAATTTATGGTGTTTTGACTATTTTAATTTTTATATGGCGGTTGGGGTGGCGGGTTGTTTGCAGTGGCGGGTCGTTTACCGAATATGTTATCATTATTGGATGCTCTTCCTGCTCCAAGTACAACGGTGAAAGGACTCTATAGCCAGGGCCAGACTCAAATCAGATCACTCAGCTTGAAGATCGCTACGGATTGAATCATAATGGCGTCGAATCTAGATTTTGCACGTCGATTTTTGGGATTGACTGTATGCCTCTTGTCCTGACTTAACTTCAAGAGGTCACTAGTACATAAGTTGAATAGTACCACTAAATCATCAACTACCCTTGAGCGCATATACTTGCAAGCTTTGAACAGGAACCAGCCTACAACCAGGGTTTATAACGTATTAATAGATTGGCCTTGGGATAAGGTCCGCAGCAGTCCACTGTACTTTCTATAAGAAGTGTGAACAGCACTAGAATGACTTCGGTGGATAGAGAGTGCCATAACAACAACCATCCCGACAGACAATCGATCTCTTTGCCGCTGTCATGATCAATATGTGACGAAACATTCACAGTGGAATGGAATCTCTTGCGGTCGACTCATTGCACCTCGCAGCCGCGCGTATGCTGCTCTCGAAGACCATTTGCGGAGTTTTGGACCCGGCGGTTCTCCCCAGGCCACGTTCGGCTTACACACTGGAGGCTACATCCTAGCATCTAAGATGACGATTGCATCGATTGAGCAACTTTGAGAAAACAGCAACCTAATGGAAAGCTTGCAAGTAGCTGCCTAGTATTACTGTACTATGTAGAAATTACCCAGCCCGGAATAAAACGGCAAGGCCCCCTTCCTTAGTCATGTGGGGGGTGGAGAACTCCTCACAATGAACGATAATAATCCCCGAGGGTGGATCGTGTCATGAATCGTGGAGGCGATCGGTCATATCCGTTGCCTACCCATTGCCGGCCGAGAGGAGCTGAGCTTGTCCATCTACTCCTCCTGTATATCCTGGATGGATAACAAACTGACAACCAACTGACAAAATCGTACAACTTCCATCCGTCCACGAATCGGAGATCTACGTTCTTAATATCAATCCCTGAAGCCAAGACATTATCAGTGTCTTGTCAGATCCACCATGACCACCTTAGCGCAGTCCTTCTCCTCTCGGAGCGCCGAGATTGCAGTTGTGGTCCCCAAGAGACAGACCCCCCTGTCCCCTACTCTCAGCATCACCTATCAACAGCTGCATGCTCATGTGGCCGATTTCCAAGCTAAATTGGCCAAGCTGGGCGTCGGTCACGGAGGTGCGGTGTCCTTGGCGCTGGTGAATTCGTTCGAATTCATCGTCGGGTTTCTAGGCGCGTCCTGGCAGCGGGCGATCGCCGCTCCACTGAATCCCGCTTATAAGCAGGAGGAGTTCGAGTTCTATATCGATGACCTTAGTTCGACGCTAGTGCTGATCCCCAAGGGATCGTATGCGCAGAATGGCCCCGCCGTGCGAGCTGGAAGGAAATACAATGCTGCGATTGCGGAGTGCTACTGGAATGGCACCGAGGTGGTTTTGGATGTGAAGGAACAAGGAAAGTTGGCGGGTAGCCCGGGTGTAGCTGTCGGACAAGCCCAGCCGGACGATATTGCTCTTGTGCTTCATACAAGTGGCACGACCGGCAGGCCCAAAGCTGTAGGTCTTCCCGTTCCGGCAAATCTATAGATGCTGACATGGAAAAGGTTCCACTTACCCACAAGAATCTCACCACCACCATGAGTATGTGCCCGGATAGCATGCATCGAACAGTATTAACCATGCCGTAGGGAACATCCAGGATACATACAAGCTAACGCCACAGGATCGTACGTATTTGGTGATGCCTCTTTTTCATGTCCACGGTCTCCTAGCAGCGTTCCTGGCGCCTCTATACTCCGGAGGTTCCGTCATTGTACCCCCGAAGTTCTCCGCCCATGAATTCTGGTCGGACTTCGTAACCTATAATGCGAACTGGTACACAGCTGTGCCTACTATCCACCAGATTCTGCTCAAAACTCCCTTGCCCAACCCTATCCCCAGTATCCGCTTCATCCGCTCATGTTCCTCACCATTATCCCCCAAAACCTTCCAGGATCTGGAAAAGACGTTCAACGCGCCAGTCCTGGAGGCATATGCAATGACCGAAGCCGCTCATCAGATGACCAGCAACCCTCTCCCGCCCGGAAAGCGCCAGCCCGGCAGTGTCGGCCTCGGACAGGGCGTAGAAGTCAAGATCCTCGATCAAGATGGCAACGAGGTTCCCCAAGGCAAGGAGGCCGAGATTTGTGTGCGCGGTGAGAATGTAACCAAGGGGTATCTGAACAACCCATCCGCCAACAAATCCTCGTTCACCAAGGACGGGTTCTTCCGGACGGGAGACCAGGGTAAGAAGGATCCGGACGGCTACGTGATCATCACCGGCCGTATCAAAGAGCTCATCAACAAGGGTGGAGAAAAGATCAGTCCTATCGAGCTGGACAATACGCTCTTGCACCACCCCAAGGTAGCCGAGGCTGTGTGCTTCGCCATCCCAGACGAGGGACACTATGGCGAGGACATCGGAGCTGCGGTGGTCCTGAAGGGCAACCACACAGCCACGGAGGGTGAATTGAAGTCGTTCATGGCAGAGAAGTTGGCGAAATTCAAGACTCCCAAGAGGGTATGTATCCCGCCCAACATCTCCCTACATACCACAATGCAAGTCAAGTCACGTTGACTGACACCTTATGACTAGGTCTGGATCGTTCCACAGATTCCCAAGACCGCAACGGGCAAAATCCAGCGCCGCAAGGTCGCAGAGGCGATGCTGACTCCCAAGGCAAAGCTGTAAATCGGATTTTCACATTCACACATATTCATCTGTATGTACAACATACAATACACACATTCGTATTGGACATAATGCCTACCTACACAGAGACAGTAGTACTAGTAGTACCAACCCCCTTATGGATCCAATTCAACCCAATACCCAATAAATCTTAGGAGCAGCCTTATTTACCAACTCTAACGGCACACATAAACTACAACAGCCAACATCAGCCCAAACCCACCAATCCCAAAAGAAAAAGAGAGAGAAAGGAAAGATTATCAACATACCGGAATAATCTGTGCCTTCTCCACATCCCACACCCCACTGTGCGTATAAATATCCTGACTGATCAACTCCCTCACCTCGGCCTCATTCTCTGCGACAACAATCAAAGCGCTCCCATTAAAGGGAGGGGTCTCGCCAGGTACGGGGTGAGAATTCAACGTTCCACCTGTATTATATACCCCGCCGTCAGTTTCTTACGTCCATTTCATGGTCCATATGTTCATGTGCATTTTCGAACCAAATTCGAGAGGGGAAGCAGAAAAGAAGGGGGGGGGGGGGATGTATGGGGTAGACAATACCACCGCAGACGATCGAGCCCTTCTCGACAAGAGGCTTTACGTTTTCGAGGTGTTGACTGAAATTTACAATGTTAGTGGTTGTTTTGAGAAAAGTTCCATGGTGGGGTTGAGCGAAATACATACTCGCGGACTTCCAGACGCTTTTGCAACGCGTCTGGCTTGTCAGGGACGAGGCAGATGAATTCCTTTTTGGCGGACATTTTTATTTTATTTTTCTTTTTCTTTTCTTGGTGGCTTGTGTCGGTGGAGGGAAATGTCTCAGATCGGTGATCGATAGAGGGATTTAAAGCTGATGTCTTAGTAGAGGTCGGTAGTTAGTATTTATGGAGGTCCAAGTGGGGATTAATTCAATCGCCTTGCGGGGAAAGAGAAACATTTATCCATATTAATTGGCTATCTTTTTTATCATCCCGGATTATCTTCTTTGCATCACGCATGGTTCCATTTTCGATTACGAATCAGTTAAGCCTCACAATCATAACAGCCCGACAAATTGTAGCCTATATATGTATGTACATGGACGCCAGGCACCGTTCTACCCTGGTTCTTTGCTCGCCGACGGCAACAGCCTCGCCCCTTTTTCTTTTAAGACACGGCTCAGTCCTAACTGAGCTGTGCACCTCATAGACATTGATCATGAAGATAATAACAGCCACCCAATGGGTGCGAGCACCAGGCCACGGCAGACTGAAAACCCCCCGTCACAATCTTAGGAAACCCGGCCCGGGGCAGTAGGCTTGCTTGCACAGTCGTCAAGGGAAACCAGGTAACACCAGTAATACAAGCGTAAAATCACCCGTTCACTCTATGAGCGTCGACACCGCTGAACACGTACCCCATAGCGCCAAAAATAGAAATGTAGCACGATCCCTAGAACGCGACATGAAGAAGACTAATTACCGGAACCATGAGATGTCCGTTTCAAACGTCCAAATGGGGGGGGGAGGGATGGTAAAGGCAAAAAGCACGAGTATGAAGGAGAGAAAAAAAAATCCCATGTAGTGAACCACGGACATAAACGGGAAAAGGGTATTAAAATCTTGGAGAAAATAAGAAGCGAAAGCCGCCGGCTCGGGAAGGAAAGGACCAAGTCCAGACATATGCTTAGTACGCTTTACGGTCTCCAAGATTGCCGGGTTTTTCATCAGTGTCGATATGCCACACAACGTAATTAGGCAAGCCGTACACCTGGTATCCCGCTCGCTTCGCCATACGTGCAAATCCCTCGGTTTCGGCCTGGTTCTCGAAGGCATATGCGGGGAAATTGATTCCTAGGATTACAGTTAGAAGCAGCTCTCCGGGGCAATCATTCCGAAAGCTGTGTATAACATACCTGTACGATGGACGTCGGCCTTGACGAGAATGTTGACACCACCGATCCCATCAAGCTCGACCTCTTCGTCCTTGTTGTTCCGCCAGTCACCCATGGAAACAAGGTATTGGCGGCCCGTATCATATTCCTTATAGCCCTCAGCAAGCACGGTGTCCGGGTCGAGGGTTTGTCGCAGCCGGCGTCCCTTGTCAGACTCAATCCACGAGTTGTAGTCAACTGCGAAGGTTAGCATTGACCATTGTCGGAAATCGTTATTTCCACTTACAGCGACCTTCGACATCAACACCGTCCTTATATCTGTGGAACCAAATATCTGCAGAGAAGTCAGTCTTTGCTATAGAATAACTGTAGCATTCCACATACTCGGAACGAGGATATCTCTGTCATGGGCCATGAAGTCCTGAAGAATAGTCTCTGGGCTGTCGACAATATCCACATCTCTCCAGTAAACCCAGGAGTGATCAGGCTTCAGGGCGGAGTAGAGCAGATAGTTACGAGCCCGGCCAATAGCCTTCCGGCGCGGACCCTGGGCGGCAAACGAGTGACGATCCTCAACGTTCATGTTCACATCGGCCCCAAAGTCCTTCTTGATAATGCTTGCACTGCGGAACGCAACCTTGTCGCCCTGTTCCTGGATCCGATTCAATTCAGAGACGAGGACGCCTTCGGTGTCATCCTTGGAATCGCCGACGAGGAAAGCCAAGTCAATGAGGTGATGCGGATAGGACAGCTTGTAGAGAAGCTCGAAGTACTTTTGCAGATATGGGGCAGCATCTCTCAGCGGCGTCAGGATGAGCACTCGTTCGGCGTTTGCGACAGCTTGAGCACTAGAGCCGATGGAGTTCAGGTCGACGTTGTGAATTGTAGAAGAGTTGACTTCGTAAGGCTCATGGTGGTTATAGACGACAGGGGTTTGCATATGGGCATTCCATTCGGCCATTTCGTTAAGACTCATATCCATTGGCGACTTGGGAGGTCCGTAACAGTAGAAACTGGACGGTCGAGTTAGTATGTGCATCATGTGCAGGGGTTTGGGGTTCCAGCCTGCGTGCCACGCCAAACACAGGTTGAAAGCGAGTCGATTACTTACTTTTGCATCTCCGATGCAGACTTACTAATACCACGCCACAGCAAGATCAACAAGCCGGTGAGGGCCAATGACACCAGGAAACGAGTCCGCGTCACCAGGACCAGAATGGCCCTCCATGGGGGCAACCTCGCCTTCGCGGACTTCCACGTTACACCACCCTTGGGGAGAAGCATCTTTGCGATCTAAGCAATAGCGAAAAGCGAAGAGGACTTGAGGTATGGATATCGTTCAAAGACGAAAGTTGTCAGTATCTCGAACCGGTGACGATCCCGGGAAAAATGTAGGGTCGCTGGCACCAACGTCCGGAGATCAATCACCCTTTAGCCGATCGCACGACCAATGAAGGTAGGACGGACCGGAAGGGAAAAGGAGCGACCGAAAAGAGCACTTGGCGGTGGCGCCGACAAAGTCGAAAGGAGTCACTTGTCTAAGGCAATCCGAAGTTGTTGTCGACTCAGTTGGAACGGGAAGAAGGAGTGCAAAAGAGAAACAAAAAAAAAAAAAAAAAAAAAAAAAAAAAAAAAAAAAAAAAAAAAAAAAAAAAAAATCGAGGTTGCGCAAGAAGTATGGGGAAGGGGGCAGGAGGAGCGAAGATGGTCCGTGGGTGTGGAAAAAGGACAGAAACGTTGGTTTGCGGGAGGGAGCGGCAACAAGATGCCTCCCAGCCAGGCAAAAAAAGGAAAAAAAAAAAAATTATATATATATATATATATATTAAGAGAGAAACGAAACGAATGGATTTGACGGTCGTCAAAAAGAGGAGAATAATAATATTATTACAAGCAAAGACTTGCAAAAAAGCAAGATGTGAATGGGACCGTGTCGAAGGAGAGAAGTAAAAGAATGGGGGGAAAATTCAGAAAAACAATAGGTTCTCGAATACTGAACGAAATGGGGGCACAAGTGAAGGGACCACCTGCGGATGGAAAAGTCCAGACAAAACACGCTTCGGGATTGGCGTTCACGTTACTTTTTATAGTCACATCAGATATTCAACCTGATCTCGTCCATTCGGCCCTACGCCATCTCATTCCTGGGAAATTCACCCTCACTACCCAACCCCATTACATCGTTCTCAGAGTCATTCAGTTGGTGAAGGGGGAAAACAAAATGATCTTATTCGGATTAGATCACCTAGTCTGCCTCATGTCGACCATGAGCTCTAGCTCGGCATTCCAGGAAGGGTCTTTATCTTCTTGGCACACACGCGGCCAATGGGACCCGTCCCAATTCGTTTGGTTGTTATACTGGGTAAAAGGGGGGTTCATCATTTTTATACCATCTTGGCTAGACTCACGACACTACACGAGAGTATAGTGATAATAATAACAATAATAATAACCCATTCAGTCACATTCGCTCTATGTTCGTATTCGCTTTAAATTGGACATTGATACACGCAAAAGAAAACAATGAAAAATAAAAAACCGAAATCAATCGTATATATGTATAGATAGAGGTAAAAGAAAACACCCCTTCCACTCCGAATCATCACAAAACCAGAAGATGAAGACAACCAATCCCAATATGGACAAAGGAAAGAAATTATGTAATTCAACATGAGGATAAAAAAAAAAAGGAAATCCGTGTAACTTACAATTCCTGACCCAGTTTTTTGATGTACACCACACTTGCTCCAGTTCGCCAGGATCCAGTGAAAACAAGAAGACAGAGGCCTATAGACCGATGTTGAGAACACTAAGACATCTCAGTGTACATAATCCGTCCCGATGGAAAATCAAATGGTACAATGCCACGCTATGCCAGAAAACACAATCGAAACAGCAGAATCGGCTCCAAATCACAATTCTATGCCCAAGCACAAGGAAATTCATTTCAAGGCCAAGTAAGGGTTCTGTGAGGCAACATGCCCAGCTACCATCTCATGGCGACGGAACTATGGACTGGCGCCGTGATGCGGGAACCGAAAAAGTCGATTGTGTGAAGACTGGCGACGAAGGCCCGGTCATTGGGGGCGAATGGCTGAGGAAGCTCTGCGAAAAGGACTGGGAAGACCCGGTGTGTGGGGGGTCGAAGCGGGAGGTCTCCGTGCCATTCACGGTGATCTCGTCGCAGAAAACACGTAGGCCAGGCAACATGTTGCGCGGCCTCGAATTGGAAAGCTGGGTAAGAGGCTGGGGACTTGGCTGTTCGGTCTTGGGCGATCGGAACATGTGTTCATAGGACTTCAGCTGGAGCTCAAGCGCCTGGTTACGCTCCTCCAATAGCTGATTTTCTTGCTTCAAGAACTTGATCTGTTGCTGAGCAGACTGGTTCTGCTGCTGGAGGTTGGCGATCAACTGTTGGAGCTGCATACACCGGATTTGAGGCTGAAGCTTCTCAGATAGCTGTCGAGGCATCTCATTTTCCTGGCGAATAAGGTGGACAATGATCAGAAGCATGAAATCGATGAGGAAAATAGCACCCTGCACGATGTGCTCCTTCGACTCGGGAAGACTCTTGGATGGATTCCACCCGGCCCGCTCAAGGAAGAAGTCATGAATACGACTGTCCAGTTCACGGTGCAACTGGCTCAAGTTCTTTCGTCGGTTGCCCTCTGCAATGCGGTGCTTCTCCCTCTGATCATCACATTCACCCGTGATCATGCTCCCCTTACGCTTTCGGCCACACAATTGCTGCAGTGGAGGTTTGCGGTTAATATGCTTTGGGGCGATCAAGTTCACGAGGTCAGCTGAAGAAAGCTCCTGGGGCCATTCAAACATTTTCTGAGAAGGCATGGACTCGGGCCATGAGCTATCGGCCGAATTGGCAGGCGAGGGGGGTGTAACCATGTGTTCGGATGCTGGGAACGGCGACTTGACCGGGAATGATTCCTGAGAGCTAGGTGGGCTAGGAGCGAAGATCTTGGAGGAGGCCAAAGGATTGAATGGCCCGCGAGGCAATGGGTCTACACGGGGCAGGGGCGGTAACCGACGATCCTCAGTCATTTCTGTTGCGTTAGGTGCGCTGGCGATAGAACGGACGCTTCTAAGTTCCTGTTAGTTATGCGTCGAGCGGCCAATGAGGGTCAGAACCTACGGAAGAGAGTAGCGCCGTGAGATGTCATCAGTCATTGAACTCATATCTTCAAACATGGCGGCTGCAGTTGCTTAGGGTTTCGAGATAAGGTGAGGTGCAGCGGGAGGATATGTATGTCTTAGTAAAGTGGATGACCCAGAGAGATGTCGATATGTATGTGCGAATGTCTGAGATTGATATAAACAAATGTCTCTGGGGAGGAGAGATCGACGAGAAGGGTCGCAGGGCGGGAAAGACAGTTGATAATAAATTAGTCTGAGGTCAAAGGCAGGAAGTAAGGGCTAGTGATGAAACAATCAAGGGAGGATGTTGCTATGGGAGAGCAAGAAGGGATCAGACGAGAGAGTAGTCAGACTGATCCACGAGGTATAGACAAGATGAAGAACTGAATGCTTCCCGAAGGGTACGGTGCGATCCGCTGCATGTTTTATATCTTTTGCAGATGGCGAACGAGGAGGGGAATGGATCTCAGTAACCAAAAGTAGTAAGAGAGGGGGGGCGAGAATGGATTGTGGCGGCGCTCAGGACTCTATGGAGACTGCAGTAATCGATAGAGTGAAGATGGAGATGTATCATGTTGAAGATCTGCGCTCATCTCGATAGGGAAGTGGATTTTGATTAGGGTGTGTGGACATGTACTTTCCGACAATGACATACAGATCTCTCTCCCTCCCACTTTTTCTCTGTTTTAGGTGCAGAGATCGATCAATAGTATTATTTGGGTCTTTTTTTTTTTACAAATATGTTTAAAATAATAATAGATAATGTTATTATTTTATTATTGTTCTTTTCCTAGTGTTGGTCTCCTGTAATAATAATAATAGAAAAACTAAAGAATATTTTCTACCTTCGCTTTTACTACATCATCATTCCTTTATTTTTATTTTATGTCTTTTTTAGAAAAAAAAAAAAAAAAAAAAAAAACAGGAACAATAATAATAGAAAAGAAAATAAATACAGAGTACATAAATAAAATATACGAAATAAATAAATACATAATATTTCGTTTCCCCCTACCTTCCCTTATTGCATGCCTGGACCCTCACTATAGGTAGAAAGTTAGGGCATGATGGAACCTCCTGTCCGGGAGAGTCTCCAGTCAATCCTACTACTTACATGTGTGTATCTGCAGCCCACTTCCTCCCTTCCGGTCTCCATGAGGCCGCGGGGAAGTAGCCTCAAGATTCCGCAAAGTTCAACTGACCCCATTTAGTGTCCTTTTGGGCGAGACTCGTCCGAATCTCTGTCACAAAATGGGCACAGACGCGAGGCCGAGACGATCAGCGAATCAACGTGCTTTGATCGCGAGGCACTCATTTTGAATAGAAAGTATTCAAAGCCCTTGATTTGTCACCAATGCAATGGTTTGAATTCGATCTACACGGGCCATAGAAGGTAAATGTATCGAATCCCCTTGCATCGACGTCTTCAATAATCCATCTGGACCAATGGCCGTCAACCATGCTGTCATGTCTCCCCTCTTAATCTACCTGGGATGGCATCGTATTCCTTTCCCACCTCCCCCATCTGGAGACCCATGATGACTAACTAAGTAAAAATAGTGCCTATTCTCTGCAGCCATGCGCAAGCACTGTGGCTGTTGCGGAACTGGTTCCGGCGCTTGTCCGATAGATATCCAAGACTTAGGTTCGGAGAATACCATGGTGAGCCCAACACCCTGGGCAGTGGTCCAAACAGAGAACCAACTATTCTAGATCGTGAGCATCATTCACAGACACCCCAGATCGGACATCCGCGAGTTGCAGCCACAGCCATGATGAGACAAGGGGAACACCTGTCCTCTGGGTGGGTTCGATCGTTCGAGCTACGGAGTACTCCGTTCTCGATTTACGATGTAGTATGTCCATACAGTCATCTTGCAGCAGGCTCCATCCCACTCCCCTGTCTAGTGTAGCACATCGCGAGGGACCTAGAATATTCGAAAGATAGACAAAAGTACCCATGGAGCACCTTGACGAACCATGATCATGAACCATACATTAACATCCGACGCACAGGCGGACGCAGGTTCCCCGAGGTAAATCCTTCCTCCGCAGGAGGTGTTCAGGGCCAGATAGCACGAAGCAAGGACTCTGGGGCCGAGAGAAAATCATCCCCAAATCAAGAGGTACCTGAGACATTCTCTGTGAGGAGTTGGTGCCTACCAGACGTTGAATGTTTAACATGACTACATAGACTAATACTGGATATCGACGCCATCGTATCAGAATCAACAGTATCAGCGAGTATAGCCGAATGCGGCCCAGACGCTACTTTCCTAGCTTCCATAGAAGAAGGGGGTCAAAACACAGAGTTTCTGATCGTCACAGCCCCCGAGACGGACCCATTCACTTGGGTCACCAGGAAATCCCAGTGACCAGGATCTGACGGCTGTCAGACCCAACGATTATTAGTTCTGGACTCTGTTTTCTTATTTTGGTTAAGACTGTGCTTAAGGCTGTCACCTGCTACTTAGAATGGTGATTTGGAATTGGGTTATTTAGTGACGTCTCCAACGGGAGAGACAGATTTAGATCGCTCGAGGAGTTTCGCTAGATCCAACTAACAGACCAGGGTGGAGATTATCCAGTGAGGTCGCTCCGTAAATGAGATTCACGATACTAGGGTTATTATGCTGGTCATCAGCCCATGAGGTCGGCGGCTTGCCCATCCATCATCCCTACCCGGGATCTTTTGAGGCAGAGCCCGGGGACGGAGTACTTCGGTGGAGATGAAGAGAAGTGGAAGATCCCCAAATACGCCATCTGGGGGTCAAATTCAAACAGTGCAAACAGCCCAGATGATGTGTGGACTGTGGTAACCCCGTTAGGATGGCTAGTGGTGGGTCTCATGGCAGCCCGGATAAGATCTGTCATATTCGAAATCCTAGGGATCGACGGGTGAGTATGAAGAATTCAGTGGGCTTCATGCGTCGAGCAAGTGTTCTTTCTCTCAGCTAGCCCCACGTTCCGTGCCCACCCACCCCTTGGGAGCCATGAGGCTATAGCCTTTGAGTTACCAAAGATTGGTCTTCGTCTTTCCCGGATTGACGCTCCCCTGGGTATAGCAGTCCCGTATTAATTTTCCCATTTTACACCCGTTTCCCGTTACCATGGTGGATGATTCGTTTTTTCCCCGATTGGGGGAGTTGCGACTCTAGACTGACTCTGAACGTTAGGAGCCAAACTGCAAAGGTTTTAATTAAGCACTAATATAAGCGAAATTGAGGACTAGGAATGCCCCAGTTCTCTTAGCTTGATGAGTTGGCAATACCTCCATCAATCTATCCAATCCTTGAAGACTAGCCGAGAAAGAGGTCATAATCAAAGATGAGCATACCATGGTGAACCCCTGTTTGAGCCAACAAACTCAACCTTGCACGTACTCGTCACCCAGGCACGAACTCTTTTTGAAACTCAAAATAAGACCATCACGCACACACAGGCGTATATATGTATGTATGGAAGGATGGATGGATGTACTTTTGCACATACATCGCATACGTACCTTTTGGAAATGAATCTCTCTTAAGCTATGGACAACCCAGAACCAGTCATGTGTACCTACATTGAACCTTCACGATGCCACCGAAATTGTCCGAGTGGCCTGGGGTTTAACAAATTCCTCATATATTCTCCGATATACCATGGTCTGGAAGAGTCGATACTCCATAATTTGCCTTGTAATTGGTGACCCAGACTGTGGTAGTAGGAATAGATTAGAGGGGACGTGTGAGGTTTGAACCTTAATCGGCCATCCTCCAGTTGCAAGGGCTTCCCTTCCCTTGGCAAGTTCTATCTCGGAACTCATCCATACCAACGGGTTTGCACATTTAACTCCATTTATTCGTACTATAATGTTCGATTGAGGGTTATCACTTCCCGAGATGAGCTCCTGGTTACTTCGTGTGGTTGAGCTATTGTGTTGGCAGTGTTACACGGCAGGATATCCAGCGGGGGTCAGTGCAATAGCACCAATATTATTAGTACAGGCTAGGTGCCTCGTCTTAGGGCACGATCAACATTATCGACCACGATCAAATGAATCCTGCAATTTACGACGCTCCTTATACATTTGCCACCCCCGAAGTAAAAAGATATAATTAAAAAAAAAAATTAAAAAAAAGAAGAAAAATCAACATGCCCTAAAAGAGTAAGTCATAAATAAATACATTAATGTCATGACAAAAACCCTCAACAGACGCGAAACTTCGCCACGGTACTGGAACAGTCCCAAACAATATGATACATCACATTGGCCCAGAGCCCTACCCACTACAGACTAACCTATCAACCACACAGACAACCTAACGCCTCCTACCGGTTTCAAAACGCACACACATACATTAACGACCTGCATCATTACTACATGCATACAACTGCTACCCTCATACAGGGGATATCCCTCCCCAGGCCTAACCCTGTGCAATGGGGACATCATGTATCAAGTCTCATCCATTCGCTGGGAGGAGGCCACGACGACGTTCTTCGCTGACTAGGGCGAGATTCGATGTCTAAGTTAATCGACTCGTGCTCGTGTTTCAGGTTGTGGCTCTTGTTACTCCAATAGTTCATTGCCGCTGACATAGTATTATTAAGATACGTACATACGTCCGACATTTCTTTGATATATGCATGCAGTGCCTCTTTCCTTTTTTTTTCCCAGTATTCGCTATTACGCACATACGCAGACAGAGGTCCATTATCCACTCCTGCAAGGATCACATCACTCACTTCTGCTGAACAGCGGGCAGAGAGGCCAAGTAGTAGTGGTATCCTTTGTATGACGATAGCAAGGTATCCATCCACATTGACCATTATTGCCACTGAGAGTCCACGAAGGCCAAAAACCTTCCTACCTTCCTTCCAATCCTTCCTACGTACGACACTACACTAGACCAAACCAACGCACCCTCCAAGACATGAACCGAGCTCCGTAGCCTACCAGTCATCCGTCGTCCAGCGTCCACGTAGAGCCACCCCCTTCAAACATCGCCAATTCCAACAACACTCTAGAGGTAGACAAACCACCTTGAACACTACCTATCCAGACGAAACCAAAACCCGAGGCATCCAGACCCCCTATGCGGCAGGTAGTATTGCATAGAAAGCTGCAAGGCATGCCCATTGTATCTATCATATTAAACCCACCCGCATTCCAAATAGACCAAGCTTTTTTTCATTTCCAAGGTTCTTATTCTTTTCCCTTTTCCTTGGTTTCGTGGGTCTATAATTCTTCGATGGGACCCCGTCGATACCCAAATTCAATAAACACGGGCTTTCCTCACTTGCTGTCAAATGCCAGGGAAAAGACAGCCCCAGCAAATCCCGCTCGTCCGAAGTCAAGACCCCATCTATCATCGAAGGGATAGAGATATAATCATTCACGGGGATCGGGAGAGAAACTCAATGAACAGCCACTACTTACTCGGAAAGGCAGGAAGCCCACCGTGAACCCCATGCTCCATTGAAGGTAAAAAATATATAAAAATAAAATAAAATAAAAACGCAATGTCAATCCGTACATAAACAGAATAGTCTCATTATCCACATTTCCCAAAGCGTAGCCGACAGAACTACTTGTCCATCCGGTCCAAAGTACCAAAGTACCAAAAGCCTATGAGACTTTTACTAACAGAGCTACCAACATAACATGATATCCCCACCCACGGGAAATAGAACGAAGGGGGGTAAGACGCAAATAATCATAATAATAATAATGATAATAATAAAACTACACTAAGCTACACTAAGACTAAACCAAAATAAAATAGAATAAATAAATAAAAATGAAGAAAGGAAAAATAGAAAGGAAAGGGAACCCGCGGCTCCTCCGACCCATTGCTTCCACATGGCCGAAACCTAGGAATTTTGTTCCAGCCACACCAGATACACGATCAGATCCACGAGTCTCCAGTGTCTATCGGCCTCAAAACTAATAATTACCCAAACTATCTATCACCTTCTTGTTTTTAGGGTTTCTTATCCTTGGAAACTTGTATATCTCCCCAATATTTAAACATTAAAGCCCACTCCGCACGGGTCAATTTTTGAGTACCTTAATTCCTTGCTACCTACTTACTTTTGCTTTCTGTGTGGGTATCTTCTCATTCTTTGTCTGTTTGGCTTCCAAGTTCCAATTCCTACTTCCCTCACTCTCCCTGTCCCCACAATGATACATACATATTGGTGTTTATTGGTAGGGAGGGGGTGAATAAAACGGATATAGATCTGTCAATTGAAACTATATCGGATCGACAGAGGCTGATCATTGTTCTCTGTCGAAGGGGAACACTCACTCAGCCACCCCTTAAGATAGGCTACTATATCATGATACGGAATATCGAACTAGAGAGGTTCCTTTCTTGTCACGATTTGTCAAAGGATAAACCTTAACCGGGAAACCCTGAAGGTAGATGATTGCAGGACGCTCTGCATGAAGCTGTATAAGGACAGCACCCACTGTACGAAATGACTCGTCAATTTGTCTGCACCCATTGAAGGTATCTTTTCCGGAGAAGCAATCCATGTAGGCACAGCTGTACGAAGCACATACCCTCCCACGGGCCGCTGTGTGCTAAATGCTCAGGAAGATAACGCGTCCCGTCCTAAGACCCATTTCCGCTTTCTCAATCGTGCATGATCTCAGAATCGCCTGAAGAGAGTGGGAATGACCTCATCGGTCGGCGTAGGTGCAGTACATACAGTACTATTAGTAGTCTTAGGGGTAGTTACAACAGTTGGCCTGGATCGCTCTGTGCTCCCCGCCAAAGACCGAGGAACTCCGAATACTCTTGCAGGTTTTCAGGAAGATAGCTCCCTACGATCAAAGAGTTATTGATTTACGAGGTCAAGTTATTCACAATCCTACCTACAGCACAAATTGTCCCAGGAACAAGTGGCCAAAGAATAATAACGTTTATGACACAAGTACATCATCTGAAAAGGAGCGCTATAAAACAAGACTTTAGATGCCTGTGTCTTCAACAAAACGTGTGGCCCGCACGTAATTACCGATATCAAGCACACTGGCTTGCCTCGAGACCGACACGAATGAGCGGCGTCAGACATATTAACCACCAATTGCAATTTCATACAAAGTGAGACAAAAAAAAAAAAAGTAGTGTCAGCTGGGATTCAAATCCCCGCTGAAAGCAACAAACCCAGACTGCGAATTTGCTCAAACAAGTTCAATTATAGTCATAAAAACAAAGCACAGGAATCAATATACCCATTGCTGATTAAGCAACTCTACACGGTAGTAAGTGGAGTCCGATAAAAGAAATAACAAAGTGCACAACAGTTTGGTATCGAAACGTCCTTTACAGAGCGTACTGGACCAGGGCACCGAAGACAGCGGCCAAGCCCATAGCAGGCATAGTGGAGACATCGAGAGCAGAAGCAGCACCAGTAGAGGTGGCAGATGCCTTGCCAGTGGAAGTGGTAGAGCCAGACTTGCCATCACGGGTCTCAGGGTTCGAGGTGGTCTTGCAGGTTTCTGTGCCCTTGATGACCTCGCGGTTCTTGGCCATCTTGTCGAAGGCGGTGCAGCTGATGTTACCAGTGCTCTGCATGTTAAAGTCACCCCTAACCAGCTTAAGGGAGTCAAGGTGGGCCCTAAAAGATATTGTTAGAACGGATTTTTGGAAATCTTTCATGCCCTTGTAAGTCCAAACTTACTCATTGAATTCACCGCTGAAATCAATAGCACCAGTGACGGTCTCCAGCTTGGGGAAGTCGATAGTGTTAAGCTTGTCACTGCGGGCAATCTGGAAGCCACCGTTGACAGTCTTGAGCACAGGCATGCTGATGTTGCTGAGCTTGCTGTTGTCGTTGAAGATCAAGTCGCTAGTCTCGGTAAGGTTAGGAGCGCTGAACGACTGGAACTTGTTACCCCAGAAGCCGAGCTGGCCCTTGAGCTTCTCCAAGGAGGGAACGGAAACCGAGCTGACGTTACGGAAGGTCATGTTCTGACCAGTACCAAGGTTGGGGAATTCGATCTCAAGACCGTCCATGTTACCAGCGAAGTTGATGAGGGCAGTAGCGTTCTTCAGGTTGTTAACGTTGACGGTCTTCAGGTTGGTGTTCTCAGTGATATCAAAGCCGCCGACGGTCTCGAGAGAGATACCGTTAAGGCTGCTCAAACCAGTGTTGGTAATGACGACATGGCCAGCTTCTGTAACACCCTTGGTGAAATCCAGGCTCTGGAGCTGAGGCAGAGCAGTAAATTCGATCGAGCCAACCTTGGTGAGAGAGCCGAAGCTGAGGGTAGTGAGAGTGGTAAGGCCGGTCAGCTTGAAGGTGTCGCCGATGGAGTTCAACGAAGAAGCAGAGAGGCCGGTCATGTTGGAAGCACCATCGCAGCTCAGCGCACCGGAGATCTGCTTAATTCCATTGAGTTGGAGATCGCCGGAGTAGGTACCGGAGATCTCAACATCACCATCGAGGGTGCTGCAGCTCGAGTAGCCGTCGGCATCGCTCTGGTTCTCGATCTTGATGGTGTCACCCTTGCCGCATTCTACATATATGGTTAGTCATTCATCTCGAATCATGTTTCGGTGCGCCGTTCTTCACTCACTATCACTAGCAGCAAAGACGGCCTGGGTCGCGGCCAGGGCGGGAAGAGCGTATTTGATGAACATTGTTATTGTTTTTCTTCTAATGGAGATGGTGTCAGTACATTGGGCGCAGTCTCGGACTTCTTTCAGCGAGGTAACCAGAGTTTACTGGTGGATGCAGTCCCAGGTATAGGTATACACAGGTGGAACACATCGAAAGATGCTGGGGTATTGAATGAATAATAGATGCCTTCACTTACCAATAATCTTGTGGACTACTTGAGTATGACGGGGCAATATTAACAGTAGCGCAAAGCCGCGAAGAGTTGAAAGAGGGGGTGGGATCCAAAGATAAATAAACGAGTGGAAGAAAGATAGAGCCTCAACGAAAGAGAAGCTGTTTGATTATGGTTCCTTCAGCGAAAGGATGTGCACAGATTGAGTAGGCACGTCTTGACACAACAAGAAAAGAGAAGAAAGGAGAAGAAGAGAAGGAGAGACTGGGATGGCGAAGAAAAGCGTCAGAAGAGGGAAGGAAGGACTGGCTTTGCAGGACCGCAAAAGAAAGGAGTCGTGGCCCGAGGACGGTGGACCTGAGACCGGGGTGGTTCCTCCTTGCTACGACGAAAATTAATTACGTTACTAGTACGTGTATCACCTTGGTAATCAATCGTTTCCATTTTTGAACCCTCTTTTTCGCATTGGGAAAATATTATTACCGGGTGCAATGCCAGCAGGTGAAAGTAATCCTGTTTTTTTTTTTTTTTTTTTTTTTCCCTTCTGACCAGGAATGAGCCCGTTGCTCCCGTCCTTAAGTTTCTTCCCCCTTATCGTGTCGCACCTTTCCAATAAGCAAGGTCCAATCCTAATCCTGATTCGCCCTCAGATTCTTGCTTCCCCATCGCCATTGACCATTCATACCAAAACATTGTCAGTCTGTCCCACGCCTCCGCTGTGTACCTGGATCCCTGTAGCCGAAATAGTAATAATCATAATAAAAAACAAAATAATACACATAAGATTGTCTACAGAGTATATAATATTCCCCTCGCAAATCTATAATTTGCATACAAATTAGAATATCTAAATATCTACTACCATGTAGTCCTTCTATACACCAATTTATCCAGTACTATTATTGTTAATACATTCATATTACCGACCGTATTTTTGTATCGAGTATTGTGTATTCCGTACAACCATGTACGGAGTATAAGACGTTATTTGGTATGCACTAAAATACTGTCTCAAAACAAAGGCAAGACAAAAAAAAATTTTCTTTCTGACCTCATAGTGGAGTTGACTTTATTTAACGGATATATAGGATTATAGATACGACTATCCAAGATCATCACGGTGATCGTTCATAAAACAATAATACAGATTTACAGCAATTCCCCCTCCAGGACTCCGTACCTACGAAGTAGAACTTATTTGTATTGGCGCTAGAAGGGGCCAGACTCTAACTGATTACAAGGATATCATGTATTTGCGTACACCTTCGTCGGGAGTATTATTACTATCACAGTCCAGCATCTATCGACTACGTAGTACCTAGGCAAGAAAAGGTGGTAGATCCCGATCACCCCATTCCACGCCGAACCTATTTCCTACGGCCGACCCAACTCACACCATATTTAGGAGCAAATGTCGTTCCTTCATTTCTCAGAGGGTCCCTTGAATGCTATTAACGTTACGGAGTAGACAAATTCATTAACAGAGGGTAAATAAAGCCTGCCGTGGCCGATCTGAATTTGCTGGAATCTAGTGGGACCCGCTCCCTCTCCCATTTCTGGTTTGTGAGCCATTGCGAACAGACAATTGGAATGGAGAGTCGCCTGCCCAAGTGGTCGGCGACCAACTCTGGCCTCATGCTGACATGCGCGTTCATTATGTGGCTGTCAGAATCTTCATTCTTGTCATGTCAAGTTAGTCCATTGCAGTGGGTTACATTCTTCTGGTCCCGATCGCATTTTGTTCTCATAGGTAAACTAACTACTCCATAAATGTTTTTAGTTTTGTTGATGATGATACTCGATCTACTCCGTAAAACTCAATGTGACCAATTCCACGGTTCGAATTTTTCATTTGTCTCTTGGCCCTTTTGTGTTCTGAGCCGGGCTCGTCAGGTACCATGGGTAAAGCGGGTAATTATAGGTCAACAGTTACCAATGGATGATAATAATAGGTGAGTCTAGTGGCGAAACCACGGCTGGAACGTCCAATAGACAATCATCATCACGTGCCGAAGAATACAATGACGGCTGTAATTTGGATACCTCAGCTCTGGCCCACTTGGTCTGATGCTAATGAAGCTAGCTGGACCCATACCAAGCTCCTGTAATTGCGATCTTACAGCACAACGGGGCAACCCGACTCAGTTAATCTGCACAAATTGATGGAGACGTCTTCTAGACTTTTGTACTTGACACTGACTATACATAAGTACTGCTGTGGCAAATTCTCAGCTTAAGATTACGAGAATCACTTCGAAAATCAAAAATAAAATTAAAAAAAAAGACCTACTCATCATTCTAAATGGATGTAAACAGAACAGCCTCAATACAGAAGTCGGTAATTCTCTACGTCTGCACAAAGCCATTTTGAGGAATGTTCCAGTTGTTTACAATAATTGGGAAAATCAACGGCTGTAGCTTGGCAGATCGATCCTTTTCCTCTCTTCATAAACCAGTCTTGTTGGAAAGAATGGAAGCTGATTGCTTACTTCTTTCGTTGCGATCGGTTTAGGGTTCTCACCCATCACTCCACTATCGGCCACGGCCCATCCAAACTCCACAACTAGCCGTCGTAACAATCACTCCTTCCGGGACCAGGTAGTTTACTATATTATTGCTATCGCTGCACGGAGTAATCCGAATGTATTTCGTGGCCTACCCTCCCTCCTACCTTCCCTTCCCATCTTATCAAGTGATGTACTACGAAGTAGGTAGGTAATGGCTTTTGCGTAGTGTTTGCCCGTACATTCCAAACTGTGGCATTTCCGCTAGCTCTTTACATTAACCATACGGAGTACAAAGTCATTACAATCCCCTATCCTTGGCATGTTACACCTAAATATACAAGCCTACCCATTAAACTAGTCCACGTAGTGCTTGTAAATCTTGATTCAATCATCATCACATATGTTCGAGAAGCGAAGAAAGAACCGAAGCATAAGAGACGTATGCCATGCTCCGAAAGCATGTCAAGAGTACGTCTGAGTGCTTCAGACTATGACAGCGACAACAAAAGGGTTTCAATGTAAGGCTCGAGTGAATCCATAACTATCTATATCTCGTAGTATCACAACTCAACTGTATAGCCCGTCCTCACTCCCAGTCGTCACAACTACCTCGCTCGGACAAAACTGCTTCGAAGTCGAACAATCCCCTAACCGCAACAGCCGATCATCTTTCCCATTATCTCTAGAGGGGGATATACATTAGTTTTTAACGATGTTTTCTACTGTATTGAGGTCAAACATATTGAAGGCTTTGATCTACATACCAGCGTCAACCTCGTGCCTAGTGACACGCTTCTTGAGATAGCCAAGGCTAAAGACCCCGAACTGTAGGCCAATAGGATTGCCCGCCGTAGTCACAGTTGCAGTCTAAGTAACGATCATTATCTATTCATCATCTGTCTACACTTCCATCTTAACCGTTCAATGACTGTTTGCCGATCCATCACCAGGAATTGTTTCAACGCGGTTTCGATGTTTCATTTATCTCCCCTAGAGCATTCGCAATGACATGGTAACGGATTGAAGTCCAATATATAGCATAGGTTGAAATGACTCTTCCACACCTCTCTCTTCTTCCTACGACGATTTGACATGCTAGCTTGTGCTCTCCTAGGGTCATATATAGTTTATCACAGAGCTCGCTAGCTTTTCACAATCATAGCAGAGCCAAACCTACATCTAGGAACACCAGGCCAGGAATTTACATGGTTATCCCTCTGAGTTTAATGGTTGATAGAGAAGGGACTGAATGCCGTAGGACTCCCTTGAAGAACTTACTTCAGACTGTTATGGGATGAGGACCCAATAACACTCGTTGATATTCCACAGCTCTCTTCTGTATCTGATGAGAACCAACATCATATTCAATGAGCGCACAGCTCTTCAAATGCTGGCCTTCGTGTCATAGAGGATGCATATTATCCTAATTCTCCAATATACTATTGATCACACCTGGTCTCGTATAAACACCCTATTAGCTATACCCCCGTCTCGTTCATGCAGACTATGGAACCAAGGAAGGCTCTGGGAAGGTATGTTCCATGGATGGGGCAAATGGGGAGCGGGTGTTGGTTAGGGTTATATCACCGAGTTACCTTGCTATGGGGGGCGTATAAGGCACTCAGTTGACACAGAACAGGGCATGATGGTTGCAGGTACACCAGGCAGTGCTAGCATTACTACCATTGCATGCACTCAATTGAACAACCAATTGGCTGGGTGTTCACTCGGCTCAATTGAAGCCAGCCTTGATCGGAAATGCACTGCATGTAATACCCCTTGTCACACTAGGTAATACACCAATACATAAGACGAATCTTACCTGTATCTACCCGCCACCACGTTCTTTGAAACGCCACTGGACGGGTGGCTAAACACTACCTAACACCCCAGACGTTACTCCGTATGACTGCTCGCAATGAATGAAACAACTGCGCACCGGAAATAGCAGAAGTGGCTGACGATGAATGGATGATCATTATAATCTTATACATCATAGAGTTACATAACTATGAGACAGAACATAGAGACGCTGTACGATTGTTACCCCGATGACTACAGGATGCTGTGCAACTTGAGTACTAGGGAGTCTTTAGACAACATCCGTGCGACCTTGACAACTAGGAATATGCAGCAGCGGCTTTGGCTTCCGCTCCAATATTCATCATATCGGAAACCCTGTCTGTCAACTTGGCACCACTTAACTTAAGCTTTCTGAACAACTCATCCGTTGTTACATATCATCACGTGGGTCGCTACCAATTTCTATTTGTTATTACGGTGTTTGAGAAAGTTGGCTGGTATCGCTAGATCCTACTGAATAATACATAGTCCGAACAGGACCACTCGAGCGCATGCAAAAGCTCTGCATACAGTGCATTGGTTCTATGCGTTTCTAAGATTAGTCGGTAATTGAATGCAATGGCCAAGTTCATTTCCTTCGGCCAAGAGCCGATTTGTTTAAATTATTTTATTTCCTAGTGGCGGCCGTATCGATATGTATCTTGGATGCCTATCCATATGCAACAGATAGCAATATTACACTAGGTCTGCTGATGTGGATAATCAAGTTTATCGACGGCTTCGGTTCGCTTGAACATTAATTAACGTCGAGATGACGCAAGCACATTTTTCTGAGTGACTTTTTCTTGGTTGTGTGTGTGAACTGGATTTCCGTGTGCAGTAATTCTATTTGAATCCCCGTTTTATCAGAAAGAGTAAAACAAAAATGAACATTACTACATCGATGTCAGAGTCTCTCGATATGACACGTCTCTACTCCATCCTATCTTCTACATGTAACTGAGCCACTGCAAGGGCAAAAGCAAGGAACAATAATGATGTACTGCTCAGTAACATCAATTGGACTATTCTGCTGTGAGAACTTCAGCTTGGACATTCTGCACTTTAGAAATTCAAGATCATTCTTGGTATTCGACTTGAATGGCTATGGCTCGAGTACTCTGTACCACCTAACTATATAGTATAAAATATATATTTGTGATCTCAAAAACGTCAATTCACCGGAGAGATTGACTTGGGATACCTACAAGCATGTGTTAACATTGCCACAGGAAGAGCGACCATCGTAGATAACATCCCATTACTATATATACTAAGTTAATCTGCCAAGGTGCAATGAGACTTTCAAGTGTAGTGCACTCAAATGACTATAGCACATGAATAGGGGAGACACAATGACTGGGACCCACATTAGAAAATGTATAACATCTCAATACTTCTTTCACTGCCTTCAAGGAGATCCATTCCTTAATACCTATGAAATACATCAAATAGACACATAAAATCAAAGCCATCGAAGACTACTACTTCTGTCGATAATACGAGCCCCGTGATTGATGACATATCCCGAGCTCCCATCATATATCATATCGTGACATCCACTAACCACAGCTACAACGCAAGCTTTCCAAAAGACTACTGGGTCGTTTATATCCAAGATATAGAACCTCAATATCAACTCTGAAGCGGAAAACCTATATACAGCTATACAGGTATATACAATGGCCCTCCGGCGCTCCGCACGCTTAAGCGCTGTGGCCAACAGCGTACAACCAACCATCCAAGCGAAGAAGACTAGCAGAGCTCAGCAAACCAACGGCATCACCAAAACACGAAAGACCTCCACAAAAGGGAAGAAGACCGTGGGGTTGGCTCTAGAACGGACTCTTGAGAACCCAAACCCGAGCAAAACAGCAAAAGCCGACCCGGCCAAACAAGAAAAACCCAATAACATTTTCGATCCTTTACCCGCTGATCGTAGTATCAGCAGGCTACACTCCACACCCCCTCCCCTTGACCGTCCCGTTGAACCTCATAGAACAAATGCGACCCTCCTAACACCTCACGGTTCTTCACTGGTTGCCTACCCGCCCGGTACTGAGGATGCCTCGCCTAGCAAAACCGGCCGACCACGTCCGACAGCCACGACCGGTACACTTCTCGAGAAAGCCATCGCGCATTTAATCGCTACAGACTCCCGTTTGGAACCGGTTATAAGGCAACATCCGTGTCCGCTCTTTTCGCCAGAGGGTTTAGCAGAGGAGGTCGATCCTTTCCGAAGTCTGGTGGTTAGCATCATCGGACAGCAGGTATCAGGCGCTGCGGCGAAATCAATTAAAAATAAGTTCGTGGCATTGTTCAACAGCAAGGGTAGCGGAGATGATACACTAGAGGCGAACCGATTCCCGAAACCCGAAGAGATAATTAAGTGTGATATCGCGACACTGCGGACCGCTGGTCTCTCTCAACGGAAAGCTGAATATATCCAGGGATTATCGCAGAAATTCGCAAGTGGCGAATTGAGTGCCCGAATGCTGTTGAATGCGAGCGATGAAGAGCTTCTTGAGAAGTTGACAGCTGTTCGGGGCTTGGGCAAGTGGTCCGTCGAGATGTTTGCTTGCTTTGCGTTGAAGCGCATAGACGTCTTCTCGACCGGTGATCTGGGTGTGCAGTAAGTCATTGCGCGTTATGTCTATGCGGCTATGGCTGGACAGTCTTCAGATGGTGACTAATACGGGGTAGAAGAGGATGCGCAGCTTTCATAGGGAAAGATGTGAGTAAATTAAAGGCAAAGGGGGGCGGTAAGTTCAAGTACATGGCAGAGAAAGATATGTTAGACCTGGCTGCGAAATTCGCTCCATATAGGTATGTTATATGAGCCCCGAAAGCGAAACGCATGGAACGCAGTTCTCATATGGTCTCAATAGAAGTTTATTTATGTGGTACATGTGGAGGGTAGAGAACGTGGATATCGCGGTCTTGACTACTTAGAGGAGGAAGGGTGTTGTTTGTAGTATATGATATTGTTGGTATATATTGGGCGGCCTGGTAGCGTGTGTCACGAAATTGAAACCCGCAGGTATCCTGCTGAACGGAGTGCTTTCCCAGGCTGCAGTTGGTATGAGGCAAACCTTCATCAGAAGAGTACTTGATCGTACTCGTCAAACCAAATGCTTATCAGGTTAGACCAGACTTATGTATTCCATGGCCTCGGATACTACGACTAATGGAGCCCCGGCCACATACTACCAGGTGGAAGCATTCAATCAACAAAATGGCGACAAATGAATTTGTACAGTATCAGTACACATGATTGAACGACGTATCAAAACCAATTAAATTCAGCCAGTGCTCATCGCAACTAAGCGCTGCAACCGAACCGAAACATAAGCCTGTCTTCATCTATATCCCGCTTTTCTATCACCGTGGCGCGGTTTTGAATCTTCTTATTCAGCAGAACTGAGAACAAGGTATTTACCGGCGCTTGACAACGAGGGAGTCGAGGTCCGCACGCTCCTTCTGCTCCTTCTCGATCTCGCGGATGATGGGGCTCAGGTATTCGACATCCTAGCAATAGCAATCAGCAATTTGTTGCTTCAATACCCCATAGAAGGTCTCGGAATTCCTTAATTTTGGGGTCCGGGGTGGCCTATATATGATGTAGGTTGGTTGACAAATCCGCTTCACGGGATTGGTCGAGAGGGTTTGCGGAGGATGGGAGGGCGAATTGCTAAGTAAAAGGCTTGGAATTCAACTCACATCTGCAGCCTTGGTCTGCTCATTAGCGGGAAGGAGGGTGTGAGAAACGGAGCACTGTTTGACGTATTGCATTAGACCGCTGGTTTGGAGGATATCGTATTTAGTAGAGACAAACCTGGAAAGCCCTGCGGATACGGAAGACACGGTCATAAGCCTCCTTAGGGGGAAGGCGCTTGATGGCAGTCTGAACAACCTCGCTCTCCTCGGGGATCAGGTCATCAGCCCTGTTTCTATTAGCCAACTGCGTCTGATGGCGAGCTATGAAAATTGTTCCCTGGACAAGCTAGACCGAGATAGGATGGAGAGAGGCTATAGGAAACATTGAGGCATTTAATTGAGAGCCATCGCTTCGACCTATCGGTATTTCCCGGCGCTTGTTTTGGGATATTGAGGGTAGGGAGGCCTACTTCAAACCGAGTCTTCTGTAGCCGGCAGCGTCGGTGTACCAATTGGCAATTGGCATCATCCAGCGCTTGAGCCAAGGGCGCTTGACGATGTAGCTGGTGAGAGAAGGAGCGGACATGGTGAATGATCCCGAATGGATGTAGTCTGGGGTCAATTGAGGTGGTGCGGAGAGGAGGGGGGTCGTGAGATATCAGACAAGCTGAACGAGAGTTGGCCCGACGTTGGAGATTGTGCAAAACGGAGGTTCGGCGGGTGACTTTCCCAAAAACATCCGATATTCGATGCCTGAGGCATTTAACCCAGCATCGACGCTTCCGATCATTCCACACGTGACTAATTCTCGGCTTGCCTCAGACTGCATAGCGCTTGGGACCGGGGTTGAACTTAATAGTACTCCACCTGACCGACAGAGGACGGTCCTTCGATTCACCTCGCTCACCATTCTCCGTACTGCTCCGCCCTCGCCGCGGTTCCGAAAATCTCGATTGACTCATTTCCCCCTCAAGATTTGTGACCCTACTGATCATCCCTATTCTCTGATAATTGGTTATGGGGTTCATCATCCGGTAAATTCATTCTCTGGTCCTGTAGGGGAGCTGAGTAGCTTCAAAGACCCCACCTGTCTGTGCTTCGGATAGGGCACGCTCAAACATAAGGTGGATTTCTCAGCATCGAGTCGTTTAACAAGACCCCCTCAATTCATTGGACCAGGCACTGTCATACCAACGCTCGCTGCAAAAGACGGAAAACGTTCACACTCCGCAGGAGAACCAACCATTCTGGGTTCCGGAGCGAGCACCGCTATGCTCGGGTCCGGGAGCCCTCGTGACAATTAAGACGGATAGATAGACTGCTTGGGCGCTGGCTAGAAGGATGTTTTCAGAAGAACACGGCACTTCGGCGACTGCCAACGGCTCCCAAGAGCAGCAGATTACACATTCAGATGGCCCTGCCACCACCAGCTTCGATGCGTCTTCCGCTACAGGCCCGCCGAGTTCTGCGCTTATCACTCGCCTCGAACTACTCTCTACACGCGTTCCAGATTTCTACATTGCCCCATTTTGTGGTGCCAGTGCGGGTGTAGCGTCGGGTATTGTAACATGTCCTCTCGATGTGATCAAGACCAAGTTGCAAGCCCAAGGAGGGTTTGTCCGTAGAGGTGGACAGGTGGTTGAAGCGAAAGCTTTATACCGAGGTATGCTCGGTACTGGAAGGATGATATGGCGTGAAGATGGTATTCGAGGACTATACCAAGGTTTAGGCCCCATGATTTTGGGATATTTGCCTACATGGGCTGTTTATTTGGCAGTTTATGATAGGTCTCGGGAATATTATCATGAAGTAACTGGTTTGTTTCCTTTTTCATTTAACTCGGGAATTTCGGTTTACTGAATCTCTGAGCAGATAGTTGGTGGCTCGCAAGAGGTTATGCTTCTCTAACGGCTGGCGCTTGCTCTACAATTGTGACTAATCCGATTTGGGTCATCAAAACGCGACTCATGTCACAGAGCCTTAGATCAGACAGTGAGGGCTTCCGTGCTCCATGGCGATACTCCGGCACGTGGGATGCGGCTCGCAAGATGTATAAGACCGAAGGAATTCGGTCATTTTACGCGGGGCTCACACCGGCATTGTTAGGATTGACACACGTTGCCATACAGTTCCCGCTTTATGAATACTTGAAAATGGCATTTACTGGGTACGGAATCGGGGAACACCCTGACAACGGTACTTCTCACTGGATTGGGATATCGTTGGCGACATTCCTCAGTAAGATTTGTGCGAGCACTGTGACCTATCCGCATGAGGTATTGCGCACGAGACTTCAAACCCAGCAGAGAACGTCTCCTGTGTCTTCACCGGAAGAGATAGCCTTCCGCGGGGGAGTAGATCACCCAGAGAGCCGTGGTAGGCCTCCAACAGCGGCCTCATCGGATGGCATGCCTAACCGGCCTCGGTATACAGGGATCGTTCGTACGTGTCAGACTATCTTGAAAGAAGAGGGTTGGCGAGCATTCTACTCGGGAATAGGCACGAACCTATTCCGTGCTGTTCCGGCTGCAATGACCACCATGCTTACATACGAATATCTACGGAAGACCATTAGCCACCTTCAACATGAAGGGGCATTGAAGCAGCAGATGGCAGAAGCAGCCGAAGACTCTGCCGGTATATGATGATGACTGAGTGTTCAGTCATTAGTTAATTTGGGGCATTGCAGGCTATTGTGAACCTCAATGTTATTGCCAAGGGAGCTAATTGTATGCGCACTGGCGTCATGGCTGTGCTGCAAGTAGCGGATACAGGAAGGGACTGTCTTGGGCTTCTTCCTTTTCTTACAAGTTTTACCCCATACATGAAAGTAAAAGGTTTCTTTCCTTTGAATATGTCCCTCGGCATCGGGGGTAGTCGGTTTCAAGGGTGTTAGGGTAGATCGAGGTTTTGGCATGTGAAGAATCGATTTCCTGAGCTCTACAGTCTTATGAGCGGTTTGTGTTTGATAAAAGACCTCTTCTTCTTTTCTTCTCCATTTTCTTTTATTCACGAGCGTTCGGTTACTTTTCGCATAATACTTGCATGACTGCTCTTGTACATACGTTACTATACCTACGTGTTTCATCGCCAGAATACACATATACCGAGTGAAGCGAGGTACTTGAGAAAAAAATGACTACGGAAGACATCCATGGTTGAAGCCAACCATGTGATCTACCTGGTAGCTTAAGTATAGATCAACCTTTGCATATATGCATCAGAGTACCATGCACAAACATCGATTACGTTCGGAAAGCACGATTGTATTCGGCTTCGTGGAACAAAAAACAAGCAGTATAGCGTATATTATACCTCAGGAAAGCTAGGGACGGCAGCTTTACCTGATACATTGCAATCCTACGATTTTCTTATAGAATACATCAGCAACGCATGATTCTTGGATTCTGTGATTCTAGTACATCTATATAATCTCGCGGACGTAGAGAAATTTTTGTTTCAGACTTTGAGCTAGGGTTATAGAATATAAAAAACAGTCACATACCAAGCAATTAACCAAGTAACGTGCTGGTTCTTGCCTAGCATCATTGGTCTAGTGGTAGAATTCATCGTTGCCATCGATGAGGCCCGTGTTCGATTCACGGATGATGCAGTCTCTTTTTTGGCTCTTCTTATTTTATATCATCGATATGAATGATGTTACATGATCTAGTTAGTCTATTGCACTGGGATAGGCACAGTCTGACCCTTTGCAGATGCCTTCCCTAGGTATTTCAAGCGCCCCTTTCGCACATTGAACTAGCTTATCAGACGTCCTTTTTTTCAGGTGTTTGATTTTGAATCTCTATTCAATCGACTTTAGATAGGTCAGTGTGTCGGTAAACTATATGGAGCGGGAGACTCTACTACCTGTTTTCAAGAGATACTTTGGGTGGCTCATGGATAAATGGAGAAACATGCGTACCTGGATATATAATTGTTTTGCTCATGAACCAATTTTGTCCCCTACATAGTACCACCAAATTCCGAACGAGTCGCATCTTGCTGTAGCCCTCAACTATACTATTACTGGTCAAACAGGTCTAAGACACCTTAGGGTACCTATGGAAACGGAGGTACGTATGAGACTGGATATAATTTCCCAATTAGGAACTTCTATAGAGCGACCTATGACCAAGAGAAATGCTTAGTCATGACAGTACTGCCACCTGAATAGGACTAGTCGCAATTAAACGATCTACCTACTTTTCTTTTACGTCTCCCACAGTCGCCGACTTTTTCTTCAGTTAACCACGTATGAACATCGAAATCCTTAATAGGTAATGTTTAACCCTATTCGTATTGTTTTTCTCGCCCTCCATAATGTTTGGGAGGGATTCAAAGCAGCTGTTTTTATCCGTTGAAATGATGAATTCTTTCAAAATGGTAGATCCAGTTAACACTCTGGAAAGGACTATTTCACACACTGAAAATTCTGATCATGGACATCACTGCGAATTCCGACTTAGCACTTGGCTGTACATCTGCTAATCTTTCACTAGTGTACCCTATAGTCTCACCTCTTAACATTAGAATAGCTTAGTTAGCAAATGCTAAAACCAATGAGAGAAACATGGATGCAGATGCAATATACGTACCCCTTCAGCCGTAGTATTACACCCTGACCCCAACTCTATTGATCGTACGGTACAACGTTCGTTACTTAGACACTTTCCGTTCAGCTTCGCGACTTTGGTCCAATGCCTGCTGAACCCATGACACTTGCTCCTTCTTCTCTTCTGCGGGCTTTTGGCGCGTAGTGGTGCCTGGAGCCTGCGCTTCACGGCGCGCGGTACGGATGGAACTGACGCAGTAGGAGGTGAGGATGAGAGCCATGGAAAAGGCAGCTATTGGGGCATTGACAGACTGATGAGGTTAATTGTTATGATAATACCTACGGTGGTAATGATACTACTGCCGATAAGGAGGCTAGGTGTTTATGCTTCCTTTACATTACCATTGAAGAATAAGATCAAACTTACCCCCGACGATCGACCAAATATTTTCCCTGCCATTTCGTCGCTTCTTATATTCTAAATGTACATAACGTAAATTATCGCTTGGAGGTTCAAAAACAAAGCGGAGTTTGATATCAGCTGATATGGTCGGGGGATAGTTGTTCCATAACCGAATGAGGAAGGTTTTATCAGATGGAGGGCGGCAAAATCCCCAAAGATAAGAAGATTAATTACACCAACGCGCCCGGTAAAGGGCGTGTTCTGTTCGCTTGGTAATTCCGACTGTACGAGACCCTCGTTGGCTGCTGAGAGACTAATACCGTTACTAAACCGGGATTCTATACTAGAAACGAACTAGAACGAACGCATCCCGCCGGTGCTCCTCCCGGTGGAACTCTGTGCGGTTTCCCGTGGGAAATGACTTGAACGATCAACCACTTGCATCGATGCTATCATCATGAGGCAAGGTCATTTGCTGGACCTCTCAATCAGATAACCAATCCTTCAACCATTCGGTTATGGCGACTCGGGGGTAACGTCATGTCCGAGGCCGGACCTATGAAGGCGACGGAGTTGCTGAAAGGGGACTAGCGCCGGTGAATTAGGCCGGGTTTGTCATCGCTCATTTTATCATATTAATCAATCAGTTAAGTTCCATCAATCTTTCTTCAATCATCCATCACTACCTCGGCCATCGAACCTTCATCACCCACAACCACTGGCCTTTCCACATAACTATCTGATTCGCTTTTTACCACTCCGAGCAATTGGTTTTACATATTCAGAAATGTTCAGACGCCTAGTAACTGTCGCTCCCCGGGTTGGCACCGTCGTGTCGCCTCGCATTACCCCGGCCCTTTCCGGCATTCAGAGCCAGCCTATTCTCCGGGCCCCTGCGACGAAGAGAGGATACCACGAGAAAGATGAGTATTTTGCTTCGTAAGAAAAGGATGACAACGAAACTGACTGCATGCACTGTTAGATCACTATAACAACCCGCGTAATGGTACGTCTACTTCCACTTATCAGAAGTTATCCGGCTTTTGATGGATCGGGATGCACATGCACTCAACATATCTTCTTCTCCGACGCACCCGACTGTTGCCCACTTGTTTTTTTCTATGCTTCTTTTTTTTTTATCAGAGTAGTGCCGACATGAGTGAGGCTAACGGCCCTAAAGTTGGCAGTTTCAACAAGAACGATGCCGACGTTGCCACTGGTCTTGTTGGCGCCCCCGCTTGTGGTGATGTCATGAAGCTCCAGATTCGTGTTGACAAGGATACGAATGTGATTAGCGATGTCAGGTTCAAGACTTTTGGCTGTGGCAGCGCTATCGCTAGTTCGAGTTACCTGACAGAGTTGGTGCGCGGTATGACTCTCGAGGAGGCCGGAAAGATTAAGAATACTGAAATTGCTCGTGAACTTTGTAAGTTTTTCCGAGGGGAAGCATATATTATTATTCATCTTACATTTGCTAACATCACGCTCCAGGCTGTAAGTTATCAATCGTTCTTCTCCCTCGCCTTAAATTATCCTGCCTTGGAATGCGTTTCCCCAAATATATGCTTGTTTATTGTGCCAAACGCCGAACCTTGCAAGCTAGCCAATGCATTTTATATGGGGTGATTTGGTGGAATATCGTACATTGTGTACGCGGATCTTGGGTAGATGGTCGACTGCTAAGATTCCGCTACCAATGTGCGAAACTACCGGTCTTGAAGGACACGGAGCCTTGGGGTATTATTGATTCTTGAAGAAAGCTGGACCGGCTTTTCTTGGAAAGATGTCCCACAATGTGTTCCTCAACCGGGTCGCATTTTCCACCCTGCACCATTGTCACATTGACTGGCTAATCGCTCATTTTACCCCAACAACACTCAAACAATCGCACGTTAACTACTGAAAGAACCTCTACTTACCAAACATAGTGCCCCCCGTGAAGTTGCACTGCTCGATGCTTGCTGAGGATGCCATCAAGTCGGCGATCTCCAACTACTATACCAAGAACCCTAAGGCTCGTACAACCGACCTTGGAGGTACCGGTGCCTCTATCCCTAACGTCAAGGTCGAGATTGAGAAGTCCGAGGGTGCCGCTGCTACTGCTTAACGAATTAACAAGCACAACAACCAAATCACAAAAAAAGAAAAATCGAAACCAACAAAAAATTCGAGTTGATACCAGATGAGATTCCCTGAACAGTTTTACGGTTTATTAGCGGGAGGTTGAAAATACCTTTTAGAATGGAATAGCGTGCTTGGACAGTTCGTTTCATTCCGGCAACAGACTGCATTGGGTACAGTCTTACTGCAAGGTTGCTATTTTCTTCTTCACAAATGATTTCCTTTTTCTTTTTTTTTCCCTTTTCCGTGATAACGCAGGAAGGCATTGTGATATAGTCCACTTGATGTGTCAAATAGTCTAATGAAAAGCACTTGCGTGCAGTGAGTTCGGATCGCTCCTCTTACTTGTTGATACATGTTTCCCTGGATAATCAAGTAGAATCTATCGAAGAACTGGAATTCTTTGTACTTTGACAATCTATATTCATCCGCTCAGAAAATACCTCTATTGATATACACATGTTTACAAGGAAACAAAGAATAAGAACTTTTCGTCCTCTTAACAAAACAAGCCAAACTAAGAAGAAAAGAAAAACCAAGAGAAGTATCGACACTCAATAGCCCCGCAATTATGAAACATGATTAGAAAAGAAACGCCGTTGATGCAGATAAGCCAACCCGTGCTCATCTATCGATCATTAACCAAGTGGGAAATGGCTTCAAGGGAGAAGATGGAGGAAGAAGAGGTCTAAAATAACAATTTACAGAGGGTGCTACGTCTGATAACGTATCTAGAAGAGATGATCTAAACCGGTTCACTAGAGGAGTCCGAGTCGACTCTTCAGGGACAGCAATGTCTCGTAGACCGATAACTTGAGCTCGACGCGGAGGAACCCGGTCCAGGCAGCGAGGAAGCGAAGGAAGTTGAAGGGACGGAGAAGGCCGCCTGTTTCGTGGATGAGGTCCATTTGTTCTTCGAAGACGGTCCGAGTGGCGTAGCGGGCAAGGATCAAGAATGTGCGGACGGGGCCTTGTCTGGTGTGGAGGTTTTCATCAAGACTGCGGGCTATGCGGGGTGTTAGTTTTACCACTGTACTCGGGCAAGCGGCAATAGTGCACTTACTGAGGTCATTGGTCTTAAGAATCAAGAGTATGATTCTGGGTACCTGGCCCAGCAGTTCGACCAGCTGCTGCAACATGCCCTCTCCAAGAGCGCCGGACATGCTCTCCTTCTCTGCAGCTGTGCGTGTGGTGGCAATGTTCTTCTTGGTCAACTTGGTGTAGTCTCTACCGGTGATTGCGCTGGCGAAGAGAGGGAACTGCTCATCCGTGATGCCAGCCACTTTGCGAGAATACTCGCGCATGTGTGCCTCGTCAGCTTCGATGACGGCCAACCACAGCTTGGCGTAGTTGCGACGTAAATCACGCGGGATATCACGGTACAATCCATGGTCGTAGAGGATGATGTCGAAGTTTTGACTGCGCCGGTTAGGGTTTTTGCGGATCGCAATATTGCCACCATGAGGATCGCAGTGCAAAGGAGCATTGTCGCCAAAAATCATCTCGTTGAAGATATGCGCTAGGGCGGCGGAGACTTCGTCACGATCGATGTTGTTGGAATCCAGAAACTCCAAATCATCTGGTCGACGGCCGGACAAGAACTCCATGACGAGTATGCGCTTCTGAGCCCACATAACTATGCCTGTTAGTATACAGCAACCACGTCTAAAATGGAGTCAGTACGTACCCTCTGGAATGACAAGCGGCGCATCTGAATGTTCCTTGAAGTACTCGCTAGCCCTCCTAGCATTGTCCGCTTCCATCCTAAAATCTAGTTCTTGTGGCAAGGATAGATCCATTTCCTTCGAAAGCCACTCCAAATCGTACTCAGGGAAGAAGCGCTTCAGGGTGGAGAAGGTGAATCTGGTCAAGGCCAGATCCAAAGGGACCCATTCTGCCAACGCTGGATGCTGTACCTTGACTGCAACCTTCTGACCTGTTTCCTTCAAGATACCGATGTGAACTTGGGCAAGGGAAGCGGCGCCAATTGGTTCCGGGTCGAAACTTGAGAAGAGTTCGTCGATTCGACGGCCGGTGTCGGCGACGAACATTTCCTCGATTGATTCGATCGAAGAGATAGGGCATTTATCTTGAAGCGGAATGAAGGTTGTCGTCCATTCTAATGGCAGTAAGTAACCCATACTACTGAGGTGTTGCCCCAGCTTAATAAAAATGGAGCCGTTCTTCTCGAGAACCCTTAGGGTCCGCTCTGCGCAACGCTTGTGACATGCTCGGAGTTCTTCGTTTTGCTCTTCGGGTGAGGATGTTTCTCGGTTGAGGGTTACTCGATAGCTTAAAACATTGATATGAGCATAATTGACTGAAATGCATCTGTATGAGGTGCATATGTCCAACTTACTCATTGATGCACACGGCTAACGTGCCAACGACCCTTCCAGTTCTCACCGCAGCACGATAGAGATGTTGAACATTGTCAGAGAAAGTCACCACCCCGATGACTATAGCTCCCCCAGCGACCGTATACGTGATCACTTTCCTCCGTGACCATTCCGACCCCGATGGTTTCCTGCCATTGCCGTTCGCCTTCTCCGCCGCACCAAACAAGGCGGAGGTCTTGGTTGAATAAGAAGCGTGTGGTACTGACGCTACCCACGGTCCTCGTGGGTGTAGTTGGCGGGCCTTGCTAAAGCCTTGTGCTGAGTTGGATAATGATCTGTGAACAGACGAGGGGCCCGATGCGCGCTGGAAAGGGCGAATCCAAGGAGCAGACGAGGTATATCGGAGCACCGGCGCAGGATCAAAATCGGGTGCCCGCAGCGGAGCGCGGAGCGCCGCCCTCATACCGTACACAAGCAATGCCGTATGAAGAGCGACCGCAAATTGAGAGGGATAGTGGAATTGGTAATAGTCTGAACGGTACTCCGTATAGTGTCAGGCAGCTTGCGTGGGGGAGGCGCCACGGCGAAGAAGGACTTGAAATTCCGTAGAATAATTAATCTGCTCCACCCCGTCGGACTCGCCGCTTGCCGCTTTTAGCTCTCGTCCCGAGGTACTCCGACTATCGCAGATTAAACCAATCTGGCTCCCGAGGCTGAATTCAGTATATCCTTTAAAATTTTCATGTACTCCTACTCATGACTGCAGGAGATAGCCATCACTGCACTAAGTATCTACATGGACCAGTCAAGCAGCAGGTCGGACCATCTTCCTGAACTGCTATGCATTGGTACAGGAACCACGAATCCGAATGATACCATTGCATCTGCTATAGCCCAAACAAAGAAGCTGTCTATGTGAGACAAGCTCTAGACCAACAAAGGAAGAACTCCAATGCGCCATCCTATGCAATGCTTGCCTATGAAGACCCAATATACCGTAAACTTTTTAGCGTTTGAGAATCCGCAACCCCCAAGGACTAAGGAAAATAAGCACAAAAATCCAGGAAAGAGAATGTGTTACACAGGTCAGCCTTATGTCTCAAGCTCATGGCGTCCACTCGGCATCTGTCTGTGTTGTATGTCGACGTCGAGGTAAGATTGAAGGCCTATGGGATGCCGAACTTGGTCTTCGACCACCTTCTTCAGCCAGAAGGTCGACATGAGATAGCCTGTTAGACACCCGCGGGACCCTGTTCCTCGACACACCAGGGTTCCCATTCAAGCCGGCTGCAAGACCTGGGGTGACTCCGTCTCTACTTCCAGGTCGGATCACAAGGGCAGAGCCACTCAGGGCATTTCGGGGATGCCGTTGGCTCTCCCGACCTTCAAAGAACCCTTTGGACTGACTACCCCGGTTGATCTGTGGCGTGGATGGGGCAGACTGGTTCGCTAGTAGACTGGGAGGTGTAGTGGAGGTACTTCGCCGTCGTACGCCAGGTTTGCGTTTACCCAGGCTATAGGCTTCGCTTCTCTCGTTGGACCGAATTAATTTTCCAGCCATATCCCTGACGAGAATGGCAGGGTCGTTCTCTAACTCCCTGATCGCATCCAGCAGTCCATATCTGGCAAGAAGACCACCCTGCTCTTCGCTCGCATCGCAGATGCTGGAAATTATCCGGAGTAAATTCAACCGCACTGCTGCTTTGTTATGATGTAGTTTCTGTCCTATTCTGTTGAACAGGTCTGGTCGCGCGAGCGTCGAGGCAATGGGTGGACTCAGTCTAAGAAGCTTCTGGAGGGGTTCGAGGAGATTCTCAAATGCATTTGCCTTTGATATCGTCAAACACCTAACAATGGAATCCGTAAATGATAGTTTATCAGGTCGGTTGTCGAGGAGGTGCTCCTCAACCTTCGCTGTCTCTTCTTGAAGCCTATTAAACGGTTAGGTTCGAGCGTATTCATTCCAAGACAGCCAGGGTGAAAATACTAACCATGTGAAGATAGCGTCTAGAGCAGTCACTTGCCAATATGGGTCGGAAAGTAAAGATATATAGAATGCCAGGCCTTTGTTGCGCCACAGCTCACGGCGGCCAACTTTGCCAGAATGAGCCATGTCGCAGAGAATTGGTAGTGCGAATTCCTTCAATGGTCGTTCAGTCTTCACTATCTTTTGCAGCAGTGGCACAATGCCATTCAGAGCCGCGTCCTCCTGCCGAGGTTTGTTTAAGCGGCACATATTGTAGATGGTGTTTAGGATCTGGTTAGAAACTTCTCGGAAATGGGGTCGCTTAATGGTAGACCTCAGCAAGTCCGTCAACACGTCGATGGCATTCGAATTCTGTAGAGCATCCAGAGTGGTCGATAACATGGAAAGATTTTTGATGAACTTCAACATGGTTATCTGGTGAACAGGAGTCATGCGCTTTAGTTCTTTAAGTACCCCTGGAGAGGATGTTAGTACCATTAACAACATGACTTGGGAGTAGTTCTTACTGTGTAGAACCGTCCGCTCAGCAACCATCTCTTTTACATGATTTTCGGCCTGGGAAAAAATGAAGAAGATGTTTGCAATACGACCTTCGACAGTCTCAGCCAGCTCCCCATCTTCGTCCAACACCCGACTCAGGACCAACGACAGAGGATCCAATACCGAGTTGCGGGACAGGATTCTACAGAAGTCATTCTTTGGCGTTGAGCCCTAAAAAGATTCGTCAGAAATCCTCTCAGAAAGCAGAAAATGCAGATACATACTTGCAACTCAAAAACGCTCCAGATACCGGTCACCCCAATTAATACTAAGTCACGCTCATCCTCGTAATCATCTTCCAGGAATTCAACTAGAACATTCAGTCCTCCTGCACTGACGAACATTTGCAAAGTGAGAGTGGAAGTTTGATACATTTGCTGTACAAAGGTTGCTGCTTCAAGTCGGATCTCTCGCGGGTACTTCTTCGAGGCGAACTCGTTGATGATAGGTATACCTCCAA